ACTGGAGACAGTCTATGACCGCTGCCCCTCTCATGACATTAAAATTGTTCTTGGCGATTTTAATGCCAAGGTTGGAAGAGAGCGCGTCTTTGCCCCGACAGTCGGACAATTCAGCCTCCACGAGACAACATCCAACAATGGACTGAGGCTAATTGACTTCGCCGCAGCACGAAACATGGTGGTGAGTAGCACCAGATTTGAACACCTTGATATCCACAAAGCTACCTGGCAGTCACCCGATCGAATGACAAAAAATCAAATAGACCATGTTGTGATAGATGGAAGGCATGCATCCAGTGTGCTGGACGTGCGTACGTTCCGTGGTGTGAATATTGATTCGGACCACCAACTTGTTGCAGCCAAGGTCCGCATGCGATTATGCATGGCGAAAAATGTACGCCCCAACACGCAGCGAAAACTAGACGTCGGAAAGCTGCTAGCACAACAGACTGCCGAAGCTTACTCCGCTCAACTCTCTGAGCTGCTTTCTCAACCGCTCTCGGAAACCGATACTGGTAGCGGACTTTGGGCACATATTTCCCGCTCACTGCACACAGCCGCAGAAGATGTCATTGGTTTCCAACAGCCGCTACCGAGAAACCAATGGTACGACGAGGAGTGCCGCGAAGCCACTGCAGCGAAGAATGCCGCGTACAAAAGAACCCTGCAGACGGCGACAACGCGCGCTGTGCATGATGTATATCGGGAGAAGAAGAGGGAGGAGAGGCGGCTTTTTAGACGCAAGAAGAGAGAGCAAGAAAAGCGAGAGCGAGAGGAGATGGAGCTTTGTAGAGACAGGAACGACGCTAGGAAATTTTTCCAGAAGGTGAAGCGTCTAACGCAAGGTTTTAAGCCCGCAGCGTCAGCCTGTAAGAACTCGGAAGGAAATCTGGTGGTGGACGGGCAAGCGGCACTGAGACTGTGGAGGGAACATTTCTCCAATCTTCTATCAGGCGAAGATGTTAACAATTCCGCCAGCGGAGATGACCCCACAGAACCGATCGCCGACGATGGTATTGAAGTACCGTCACCTAGCCATGACGAAGTCGAAACAGCCATCCAGCGGCTCAAAAACAACAAATCTGCGGGAGCAGATGGGCTGCCTGCGGAGCTGTTTAAGGCAGGCGGCAATGAGTTGGTAGGGTGCATGCACCAGCTCATTTGCAAAATATGGCTAACTGAAAGCATGCCTGATGATTGGAATCTCGGTGTCCTATGTCCCGTCTTAAAAAAAGGTGATCCCACGGTCTGCACCAACTATCGTGGAATCAGCCTTCTTTCCGTCGCATATAAGGTCATATCAAGCGTAGTGTGTGATAAGCTAAAGCCATTTGCGATAGCACTGATTGGGCCTTATCAGTGCGGCTTTATGCCTGGTAAATCCACCACTGACCAGATATTCACGCTACGCCAAATCCTGGAGAAAACTCATGAGTTTCAAATCGATACCCACCATCTTTTCGTCGATTATAAAGCAGCATTCGATAGCCCGAGGAGGGAACGTGTATATGCCGCACTGTCTGAGTTCGGTATCCCTGCAAAGCTAGTGCGACTTTGCAGAATGACGTTGAGCAACACTCGTAGCTCCGTCAAGGTAGGAAAGGACCTCTCCGAACCCTTTGATACCGTTCGAGGTTTCAGGCAAGGCGATGCCCTCTCGTGCTATCTCTTCAACTTCCTGCTGGAGAGTGTGGTGCGCAAAGCTGGTGTACACCGAGGCGGAACGATCTTTTTTAAAAGCGTTCAGCTTCTTGCGTACGCTGATGATATAGACATTATCAGCCGTACCAGGAGAGGCGTCACCGGAGCATTTGCGGCTATTGAGAAGGAAGCTGCAAAAGTGGGTTTGGTGATAAATGAGAGCAAAACTAAGTATATGTTTTCCTCTAGCAGGGACACGCGGCAACCAGACTCCCAGATCGCGGTGGAAAACTATACTTTCGAAATGGTGAAAGATTTTATGTATCTTGGCACCACCGTCACAGCAACCAACGATGTCAGCCTAGAAATCAAATGGAGATTAACTCTAGCCAATCGATGCTACTTCAGCCTCAGTAGGCAATTGAGTAGCAGAGACCTTTCCCGAAAAACCAAGCTAACGCTCTACAAGACGCTCATCCTCCCCGTGCTGCTTTATGGTGCAGAAGCATGGGTGATATCGCAGACTGATGCAGCAGCTCTTGCAGTGTTTGAGAGAAAGATGCTTCGGAAGATCTTCGGTCCCATACGCGTTGGCGACGACTACCGCATACGATGGAACAGCGAACTGTACGAGCTCTACGCTGACATTGACATAGTCAAGCGAATAAACATCCAGCGGCTAAGCTGGCTAGGTCATGTCGTGCGTATGGAAGAAGACGCTCCAGCGAAAAAAGTTCTCGATGCGGATGTTGGGGGGAGACGACGACGGGGGAGGCCTTGCCTACGTTGGAAGGACCAGGTAGAGAACGCACTTACTACCTGCGGAGTGACCAACTGGAAGCGACGCGCGCGAAGCAGAGGCGCGTGGAGAGCTGTGTTACGTCAGGTCATAGCCCGATAACGGGTTTGAAGACCAGTCAAGAAGAAGAAGAATGAATGAACATTTTTTCAAATCAATTATTTTTTAAAACAAGTAAAAAAGCTAAAGTCGGGTGTCCCGACTTTGAAATACTCTGTACATATGTTTACAATAATTATAGAAAATAAAAAAATTAAGAAAATAAAAAAAAAAAATTGATCGATTTTACCTCTCTCGGTATTCGAACTCACGTAAAGGGTTTATAATTGCACATTTACATAGCAATTGCGTCTGTGTGAGTGTATGTATGCCTATGCGCATCTATTCGTGTCTGTGTAAGCATTTTCGCAGTCAACCAAACAGCAACATCAACAACAGCCGCGGGTAGCGCTTGAGCAGCGCTGCAGCAGCGCTGCATCAGCAAATATATTTATGGCTATAACTTCTTGTTAAATCGGTCTATCATAATGAAATTTGGTATACGGACACATAATAACCAACTGGGGGTATTTCCAAAATTTATTTTATTTCGAAATTCCAAGAATTACGGGAGTTACGATTTGCGGGGTAGAGGGGGGAGGGAGGGGAATTCCAAAATATACATTTTCTGCGTATTCACATAAGGCATCTGGGACTAAAATTTGGTGTTCCTAGGTCTTATAGTCTCCGAGATATAGGCGATTATACGAATGGAAAATCGGGAAAACCCCCATAGGGGGGAAGTGGGGGGGAAAATCAAAAAAATAAAACAAACTCGTATAGAATACACACATAACGCATCTTTGTGCAAAATTTGGTGTCTCTATCTCTTATAGTCTCTGAGATCCAGGTGTTCATACGGACGGACAGACGGACAGACAGACAGACAGGGCTAGATCGACTCGTCTCGTCATGCTGATCAAGAATATATATACTTTGTGGGGTCTGCCACGCCTTCTTCTGCCTGTTACATTTTTCAGCTCCCGCAAACCTAATATACTCTTGTACATTTCATGTACAGAGTATAAAAAGCTTTACCAATTTTTTAATGGTCAGAATAATAGGTGTTGCCAGCAAAATTGTTTAATTAGTATTGAATTATTTGGAACGCATTTAATATCCTAATTGTTCGCCAATATTCTTCAAGTTATCATCTTTCAACAAGTTTCTAACACACATTTAAAAAATTCGTTTTTTTAAATCTAATTTAATTTTAATTTACATATTGGAAACCCATCAACCTCTTACAAAAATGAAATACACATATGTATCTTCTTAGTTTTAAATTAACGGACTTAAGTTATTTTAAAGCTGCAAAAAGTTAACAACTTTCAAGAGAACTGAAAAAAACTGCACATGAAACCGCAAAATTTATGAAGAGGTCTCCAACTCTGATGCTCCTCTCACCGGCAAGAAAACAAGCTTGCGAAACTACAACGCGGTATCTTCATCGAAACGAGATTCTGTAAGGGGCAGAAAGTTGCGGTTCCTGCCTGGCTTACGCTTAAAATTGGCTAAGGTTAAGGTAGTGCCCAAAAGCAACGCACAAATATACATAAATGTAATAAAATAAGTTACTTTAGAGGTGGGAACAAAATCTGCGACGGCGGACTCCGCAGTTCAACGGCATTTCCTGCCATTTTACCTATGTTTCTGGCTGCCTGACTTGGCAGTGCGTTGGATGCTGCGTCCACATCGTCTTTGCATTTGCATACTACATATGATAAGGAAACCTACGATGGGAGCAATGGCGGCCCTTCTTTACACAGCCTGCCTGCAGTGTGGACCAATCACCAAAACCTGTTTACCACAGGCATGAACCCACCACATTCCCGTGATGCGCTAGTTTCTGATTAGCTAAGCCCCAAACAGCCTAATATAAGTTGAGTTTTCTCCCGAACCGTCTGACGTATGCCCATGTACCTTCATTATACAACCAAATGCACTCAGGCGCGTGCACACCAAGCCATGAATGTTGTTGAACATCGCACGGCACGTTTATGCGGTGTGACTGTGTTAATCGAAAGCTTGGTCATAACTTTTTGATTGCATACACATATGTATGATTGTAAGAATGTGCCTACCACTATGAGTCACTGAGACAGAGACGCGCTTAAGAAAGGTAAAAGAAATAAGAGAAAAGGCCCAACATGAGTAAGTGCACATTCATGGCTTTTTAAATGGGCCGCCGAAAATAAAGAAATAAACATTGTGCCGCTTAGCTGTGAGCGTGACTGGCACCGCAATTCGTATTGCTGCTGTTTGGTTTGTTTTTTGTTTGGTGGCTTTCCAGTGGTCACTTTGGCGTCGTCGACGCCGTCATTCATTCACGCCAAGCGCTGATAACTTTTTGTGACATGTTGACTTATTTGCATATCTTTGTGCCAACGAAGTGGCTTTTCGAGGCTTGGACGCAGACAATAGATACACACATTTCAAATGCAGCTGCAATTGTTGGACACTTATATTTCAACTCGGAGCATTGCAAAATGGCTAACTCTTGGCAACGATGTGGTATACATATGTATGTATGTGTTATCACTTGTTAATTCGCATTTATTCAGTTGCTACATTTTGTTTTCGGGTTTCTAGAAATTCGCATGCTTGACTTGTATTTCGCGATGCAATTACAATGGTCAGTATACCTCCTTCTTCTATAACTTTATTAACTAAACCAATGTAAGAGGATAACTTATTTCCTCTTCTTACTTGGGGCAGGTTCTTCTGGCACTTCTTCTACTGGCTTCTCCGCGGTCCAGTTCTTGGGGCGCTCAGCAAACAAGGTGTAGTCATTATCTATTATATTAACGCCACCAACTTGGTAAGTAGGCGTATCGGGGAAAAATTCCCAGCCCTGTTCAATGGACATCTTCTTGATGACACCAGCGATACCTAACAAATTAAAGTTTGTATGTACTGGCATGTTCGATTATGCACAAAACAAAATTAAATTAACTCACCCAGAAACAGACCGGCGCACAAACCAGCCACATGATTGTGTTTCCATGCACCAAAAACGCCTCCAGCGGCAAAGCCACCAAGGAAATAGTTTATTCTACAATGCACAACCACATTAATGATGGCAGGGACTCGGGATGACTCTTTCCTAGTACTCACTTGTCATCCTTGCCGCGTGCATTTGTGGCAGCAAGCGTGGTTAGCGTAAATGCGGTCGCCATACCCATCAATGGCCCTGTATTGTAGGCGAAACGGCCAAGTGTGGGCAGATAGCCTTGCGTCTTTGACAGCGTCAGCACATCCACTGTGGACCACGCAAGACCAGTGATGGCGGCGTATTTGTTGATGGCCACAATTTTACCAAAAGCGTCCTCGCCCTCTGGAGCGTCATAGTATCCTGAACGCAGGATCGACATGGTTGCTGTTTGGTGCATACGGCAATGAATGAAGATGGTGTTATTAAAGACATATAATTCATGTGCAGGGCTGAGGCGCTCTTGATGCACGCGGGCACATTACGCCATCTTTGGTTGATGGGCACCAAGCGCATAATTGCCCCTTTATCCTGCGTCATTCTTTTACGGTTCTATGAATTTAATTACAGTAAAATATTGTTTAATCAACTAACCTGCCGAATTTACGTAATTCCAAACAGCGCAAACGAATCAGTGTATACCCATTCGGCATTTTGACAGCTGACAAAAACAGCTGTTGAAACAGTGTATACCTGTTCCTATAACAAAATACCATAAAATACTAAACCCTACAACCTACCAACTATTTTAAAAAGCTGTTAAAGAGTATTTAAATAGTTGATAACAAAAACCACTAAAATTATGGTTCCAGCAACATATGAATCTGTGTATTTTTAAAAAGTTAAAGGACAAAATTGTTTGAATGTTTATCGTACCGATTTCAATTTATTCGCGCTTTATTCATATCATATAAACTAGATTCACAAACACTGTGGTACTAATATTAAATCTTTAATCATAAGGTGCAATCGAATAATGGTAATAGTTGGATGTGTATTTTCTGATACCTACAGTTTAGACGATGAACATATAATGTCTACAAATGTTAAATATGCACTTAGTTCTTATGTCGATAGTGGTAGACTAGTTTGAATTACGTCTGAAGCGGAAATAGTTTATACAACAAACATTATTTAATTATACATATAGGGTGATGAAAATATTCATTTAATGAACTTTTTGGCATACAAATACACAGCTGTATTTAATAAGCGGAAATAGTTGAACATATTTGAGGGCAAAATAAAAACTGAATACATACAGGCAAACACAAAATATATATCATATGTACAGACACAAATTAGAGTTGATGAGTTTCAAATTAATAAATTTCTTTTAACAAATTTTTGGTTTTTAAATCAGTCATAATGTTACGCTTCTTAAATTTCGCTCGCATTTTCCACAATATCAAATGTTTACTGTTCCTCGTGTCCAATAATATCGATATCATCTGCCAAGGGACTTTCGATTTCTTCTTTGCTCTCATTACCATTTTGTTGATTTGTATCCAAATTAATTAATGATAATGTCATCTTGCTGCTCAGTACAACCTAATCCAAAGACAAGTGAAATCAACTCTCCATGAGTATTGATTGAGTTCATTAGACTTACCGCAGGTTCCTCGGGTGAACCATTCAACTCGACATCGTATACTTCTTCCCGTTTGGTTTGCGAATCGGTCACTAATATTTGAGCTTCATGACCCAAAGCGCCCTCCAAGTAAATGGAATGCGGCTCGGGCAGTTGTTCTTCCAATTTAGACTGAAAATTGCATAGTCAAATAAATATCTTTGTAAGAGAGGATGTCTTGGGAATGAAAGTGCACAGTTGTTAGATCTCTTCAAAGTGTTTCGTTGCTTAGAACTTTCTTTGAATCGTGGTAAGTGGAAAGTTGGAAGTTGACGGAAGTTATTTAGGTGCAACAAAGGTGCACTTACATGCTCATTCGGGGCGCGCAAAACAGGCGTTGGAGGGCGTCCACTCCACCGTTGGCCACCCTCGCAACTGGCTGTTACCTCCATGCCTAGAACCTAATTGGCGCACATATGTCAACGCACATAAATGCATTCATTTATACATGAACATAAACGAACAGAAGTGTACAAGTATATCAAAATAATTAGATTATCAATTAAATTTGAACTTACCGTTACTTCGCGTTCTGCACTAATATCGCGACGTTTGCGTTGCTGTTGATGTTGTTGACTGTTCCTTTTCTCGATTGCCTCATCCTGCTCCTTGCCGATATTTGTATGCCCATTGGAAATGTTGCGCTTCTCTACATTTTTCAAAGTCGAATTTTCGTCGTCGTTGTTTTCCTGTACGGCAAAAATTGTAAATTAGGCAACTCCAGAACCCAGATTTAGTTTACGTTCAAGATTAACAATTTCTTAACAAACATGTAACGCATTATTGGTTTATTGGGCAAAAAAAATTGTAAAGAACATAAAAATAAAAGATAACGATAACGGTTGAAAACAAATTTAGTTGTTAGAAAAATGCAACAAAATTAAATTAGCTGAGGTAATTCTGTTACTTGCTGGTACACTTAATAAATATATATAATTGCTGGTTAATTAACATAAGAGTAATTAAACGTAATTAAACGGTGGCTGCGATGCCGTTATTCACGGACCCATCAACGGCGCTAACCTTATTCAAATCAGTATCACTTGTCGTCTTAAGCTCATCTCGAACGTTCAATTGCTCGTCGGCAGCGTCTATTAAACCTTGTATCGCAGTTACAACTACACACACACATTTGGATTTGGATGTTTTGTGTCAAGTATAAAATTTATACAAGAATGCATATATGAAAAATGAAAACGAAGAAACGACAAAATGTATAATACATTTAATAAGGATTTCTTAGTGCTTATGTTTCGATTGCCAACTAAAACTAAACTAACGGTAGACTAGAGCTTTAGATGTACGAGGTATGAATGAGTTGTGAACCTGCATCTGCATGATGCTTGCGATGATCATCGGCACTCTTGAAATTAATATAAACGTTGAGAACGTGTTGTTGTTGTTGTTGCTGTTGTTTGATAGTCTCGTTTTCTGATTTGTTTTATAAATATGTCCCCATCATAAGAATTTAGTTGACAGTAGAAAGAGATATGGATAAACATACTCGTATATGTACAAGTATATATTTAGCATAATATCAGATAGTTAGTATGGCATGGTAATATGACGAGATACAGGTTGGCATGCTGTGCAACATACGAGTACGACATTGGTGTCGTAGACGAGCATAGTAAGAACATAGAGGCTTTTAGTAACAGTGCGATAACAAGGTTGCATAATTATTTATGCAAATTCCCGCTCATGCACAGACAGAGAGGCGTAGAGAGTGAGAGAGTACGAGAGTTAAGCCAGAATAATAGGATACACATACATATGTAGGTACCAACGAGCATTAAAACTGCATCTGTATGATCCTCAAGGCTCTTCCACATTGGCGTCAATCTCTGAACTAGTCTGGCCCTCAATGCATATATTTTTAATGCTCGTTGATCAACACAGAGGCGCTTTCAGGAGGAAACAAACAAAATTGCAAACAAATCGAGGGTGAAAAAGAAACTAATTTCGCTAAATTGAAAAACAAACTTATTCGTTGTTTGTACTTGTACTTAGTTTGATCATTTCTGTAAATTGCATGTATGAATTAAATGTTTGTTGTATTAAAAATTGGGTTGCCGCTTGAGAAACTTCATGGCAATCATCTTGAAAATGAGAGTACAAAAATAGGAGAGTTAATTAAAATCGAAAATGTACGGATGAAACTATAAGTTCTAACTAAAACTTTAAAAGAATACTAAGACCTAAAGAGATGGTACCGCCCTGTACTTTGTCACACATTTAATGCTAACCTTTGCCTCATTCTGATCGGTGTTCATTTCGGCAATCAGCTTGGCCATCGCACGCTCCGTATCCTCGAGCTTCTTACGCAATTTCTCAATTTCCATCAATTGTTGTGTTTCCTTATTGAAATGTAACTTTTCCGCCTCACTCAGCGCCTTCGCAGGTTGCTGGCCATGGAATTGCTGCTGATGCTGCTTCAGTGTGGTGGAGAGATTCGTGGCCACCGCCGTGGCCGACAAGCTAGCATTGTAGAGTTCCTTGCCATTGCGCTTGCCATTGGTGGCGACTGGGGACTCGTGAGTTTTAGTTCCTAAAAAGTTGGCGTATGATAGCTTTAACTTTGCCGATTCTTGCAATGCGTGCTTGCCACTAACAATTAGAGACAAACAACTATGTACAGAGATACGAAAATGTGTGTATGTGGTGGAGGAAAACTCTATGTGTAGTCTTTTGGTGTGCTGTGACCAAGTTGTAACGATATAGTATATATAAATGCATGGGAATGCTCTAACATTTATTCGTGCTAATATATACAGACATGATGGCAACGTATACACACATGTAGTACATAGAAATATATGGTAATGGTTGGTGAATTAGTAAGCATTTATGTACAACATTTAGGAATATAAAGCAAAAAACAAAAACAGTCCATCATATACACAATATATATATTATAATCACATCAAATGACATCAATATCCATTGCTTATTATTAAGCTTAATTAAAGATTGTCTAACTTAAAGCCAATTCAACTACGGATCATTGTTCTTGCCAATCGAAGGTCTACTAAACAAAATGAGGAGGACATATTTCAAAACGCATACATAAGCTGCGATTTCGAATTCAATTCTGATTTCGCTCTCGAAACACTCAAACAGCATCCTTTTGCTTACAATCATACAAAACGAATGCCAAAAGATACATACAAATAGTACATAAATATACGTGTAGAATATAAATTTGAATTCTCTGGGCTTACTTGTTTGATGTTCGCGCCAACCTTTTTGCATATGACAAGGTGAGGGCAAAATTTACAAATACAAATGAACGAGTTGATTAGATTTTATTGTGAGTTACGTGTGGAGTGATGTAATGTGTGATGCGAATATGTATTTCTTGGTGCAGTGTGTCTGTGTGACTAACAAAGTATTAAGTATATAAGTATATTGATACCATTTCAAAAATATCCCAAGCAAAAGTTCAAAATTAAAAATGCTGCCCGTGAACTTACCCAATGTGGTGCCATTTAAGTCCTCCACCTGACTGTGATTCTCCTGACCAAAAACTTCGCGACGGAAACTAGGATCGGTTGGAGCTGGTCCGTAAGGCGCATTTGGTATCTGTTTTTTGAACACGATCTGCAAATAGGGCTCGTTTAAGACATGACCATTGCAGAGGAGGCAGCAAAACAAACCTTCATGATTGTATAGCCGAAAAATACGACAATCCCAATAGTATATAGTGGCATTAGAAAGCCCATGCTGCTGCCCCTCTGTTGAGGTTGCTGTAAAGCTCCTGCCCCCATAGGCGGTCGCATACCGGGTATCGGTCCAGGCTGTCAAGTAAACGAATATGCATTTTATATTTATATCTCAATTAAAACTTAAACCTTATAATGCGTACTATTTCCTACTTTAAATGCTATGCTATGCTGCTTGGACTTAAGAACTTTAGTTTTCAAATAGACTGTGGTTCTTCCCCTTCGACTATCATTCAAATAAATGAAAAATAAATGCCCAACTTTTAAAGAAAAGAGCAATTAAGAAACCCGAAAGCCATAAATGTGCTAAGACGTTCGAAAAACCCCTCTATAAATTTCAAATACAAAAGGAAGCCGGGCTTTCAGTATCTCTGACCTTGGCATTCACAATATATTTAATTACTTTTATCAATATTTGGAAAACCTTGGGACTAATATGTGGTACATAATATTATCTGAAAAGATGGTACTGTTTAATGACATGACTGATCAATACTTCCAACTCATTTGGGACTGTAGCTACAAACTTCCACTTGGCGGAGTAACAAAAATTCAAATTAGGAGGATATGTATGTATATGATATTATGAAAACTTTGGAGTAAGCATTAGTATTTAGAATTTGTCATTAATCATAAGCCTAATGAAATGTACTTTTACCAAAAGTCACATTGTATAACATTCCGGTATGCACTTTCTATTGCGTCTGGTCAATAATTGTGACAAATGTCAAACGAATTACAAAATTGGCTGGCTCCTCTAGCCTCTGCTTTTTTTTTGTTTTTCTTAGGCGTACACAACAAATAGATGTGGGGGGCACTGGCACATTTTATTTGGCACAAGTTCAATACAATAATTTGCTTGCTCCCCACCACTCTTTCCTCACACAATTTGTTGTGTATATTTTCTTTTCTTGCCCATTTTGCATGGTTTGTCTATGATTTTTTAACTTTTGGCTTCCTTCATTTTGCGTGCAGTGTCATAAAAACAAAACCTAAAGCCAAATTAAATAAACGAGTCTATTTATAAAGTATGTACAAACATCCAATGAGCGGCAAGTCGAGGGCGCTGATTTATCATCGTTAATATGCAATTCAATGGGAGGAACTCGTAGTACATACTTGTACATACTCGTAAGTAACTAAACTTACCCTTCCATCAACAATGCGAGGCGGTGGATTGCTGGGGGAGCTCTTGCGCTCGACTACAGGCACGGTGGGCGTGGCAGGTATAGCGCGCCCACGTTCGCGCATTGCCTGATATATGGACTCCGGATGCAGGTGGGCCGGACGTTCCTGGCGCAAACCTGTGCGAAAATATTCTTTAATTATTTAATGTTCGCATTCAACAATGCATGCCAAAAAAACAAAATAGGGAACACCTGGGTGTTAAACTAAATAATCAACATAAATAATTCAAGATGTTTAGGAGAAAAGTATAATTAACCAGCGAGCTAGCCAAGCAAACAGTTTTTAGTTTAAAACGGCGTTAGGCTTTCGATTTTGGAATCAAACTGCCTTAAGATGCGCGCAAGAGCGGAACGTGTAACTTACTCCAGATGGAGCGTTGGGTGGGGAGTCTCATGCTAAAGAGCAGTTGTTAGTCAAGCTTAGTTAGTTAACAAACAGTTAACGGCACTTGGGACCACCTACTTATTTCACCCGTATACAAATTGATCTGTTTTCGATACAAATGCGGTCCAAATGGTTCAACGATCTTCGTAGAATTCATGAACTCTTCCCTGTCGAGCACGACATCACAACAACCTATGCAGGCGAAGGGTCATAGGTCATAGGTCACAGATCATGGCAACACAACACCAATACGCACACGTACACAAAGACGCGTCATCAATATTAAATAATAGATGAGCAAATACAGATTTTTTTTTTTTTTAAATATAAAATTTGGGGCACTCACCTCCGGGGCCACCACGCTGATCCTTTAAGTTTTGCTTGGGCGGCGTTCCGCCAAACATCATGGGATAGAACACCTTCGGCCAAAGTATGGCTATGCAGCCAATGACAGTAACTATGATGAGCGCCGTTTTCTTTGGAGTCATGCCCTCATTAAGGGATTGGCTAGCCGCGGGACGCTGCTTCATCTTTGCCTGCTGCGTTGCTGAAGACATTGTGTAATTCTATTTCGTATTTAAATCTAGTTATTAAGGCAGCTTTGCTTGTGCTCTGCTGTTTTTAATTTATTTATGTCTGTGAATTCCTATTTCAAGATTCGTTGGTTCCTTTCCTGTGGCCTTACTTAATTATCAGGTTAGCTCTGACGTTGACACATTTTTGCTAATTTAGTTCCTTTTGCAATTTCTTGTTCATTTATTTGTTTTGGGCCTTTTAATTTTCGCGCATTATCTGGAAAAGACAGCCAACAACATATATGAATCATTTGAAAAATTGTACATACATATGTATGTACGGATGTACAATTAGTATATACACAATTATGTATATGTATGTATATTCTGGGCCGCCCATTAAATTGATGCATATAGTATATGGCATATATAGAATACTTAGTAATTATGCGGTTCACTGAATAAACATTACTGTTTTCAGCACACATATGTTTGTATGTAATTGGTATAGGCCGAGTCTATATACATATGTATTCATATATTACACACAGAAAAAATAATTTCATACTACATAGTCGGACACAAATAAATATTTATGCATTTGAATTTTTTTAACAACACAATTTTATTACATAAATAGCAGTCCCGATATTTTTATTTTTAGCGCTCACAATTCGGTTTTTCTGGTTGTCTAAATTTTTTCACAAATCTCAATGTTTGCTGTTGTATCACAATTTTCACAAAAACGATCGCATAAATAATTATGTATGTACGTATATTTGTATGTATTTTTCCAAAATACATTTTCATAATATTACACTACACAAAACATTATGAATATGTATAGTACTTAACTACATATGTATGAATAAAATATATTTATGTTTTTGGCGACTGCTTACGCAAAGTTCGAATATTGTTTCCGAACTGGTCAAGCGAATTCTTCAAACTATTAGCGAATTTTTAAAAACGGCACAACAACGACAACGACCGAAGACGACGACACGCTACATGCCGCTATTGGCGCTCTGTGTCTGCTCGTCATAATCATCGAGCGTCGCGGTGCGTTATTTTAGCCGCATTGGCTGCGAGTTGGCCAAAATGACGAGCCTGACAAAATGCCTTCCAACGTGCCCTGCGACGATCGTATTTTTTGGCTGTGTGGATGCACATGCCGTTGTCAGAGTGTAGGGTGCCTCTGCATATTTGTTATTTGTTTTGTTTTTTTATATATCGCTATATTTCCACCGCTGGCGCTCTCTATGCCCTACACATGCACATGTGAGCATTTGCCGGGACCAACCAGCCGACAAATGGCTGAGAAACGCTTTTCAATTTTTCCATTTCGCTTTCGTGTACATACATATATGTACATATCTATACTATGTACATATTACCTGGCGAAAGTTTCAAGTGAGCAAAGCGTGTGCAAATTTTCAAATTATTTCACTGCTGCATATTACACAGCCGCATCGTGTGCGTAGCGACATTTACGGAGTTCAACAAGAAAATGGGATGGAGGTAACGAATAACACTTGTAATCATTATCCAGGTCGCAACTTTGACAATTTCTTACGATTTACATCTATTTATAGGTCCACTGGCATTGTAATACAGTTCAATGTCGTACGTTTAACAAATATTTTCATAATTTATTTTTAATCTCGCGAGCTTATAGGTTTCGCTTTTGTTGCTGCTATTTTTTTTAAATTTCGTGGCAAGCGATTCAAACTAGATCGGCATATTTTAATTTATTTTGTTCTTACACAATTACCTTATGTAGCAATTTATTTCTTGATTTTTTCTATTTATTATTAATTCAAACTGCCAGTTGTGTCGTTACTCGTTAGTCGAAAATTGAAAAATCAATATGGCTAGACGACAACAAATGGTATTTTTGGTGGGTATTTTCCAGGGATACACAAAAGAAATACTAAGGAATTTGTCGTAACATTAAAATGTGTTATTCATATATCTATGTTTTTTTAATGTTATATTTAATATAATAACATAAATAATAATATATATATATATATATTTCAATATAAATATAAATGTTTGATACGCCTTCCTTAAATTTATGAAAGTTATATATTGAAGCAGAAATTCACAGACTCAATTTAGTTTTCGGGCTAGTAAGAGTTCTAGTTCCGCTCACCACTGAGTCTGCCCTGGTATCAGCGCACACTTGTATGTACATTCGTATGCATGTGGCGCCGGTTTAATGTGAGAAACATTTTTTTAATTTGCTTGCAGTAAAATAGGCGATTTGCGCAAGTTCAGCAATACTAAAATTACATAAAGCAATAAAATCGGCTCGACGTTAAAAATAACTTAAATGGTGAGTTTTTAACGCAAGTAGTAACAATTTGCATGCGTGTTGGCTTGTTAAACAGCTGCGCAGACGAACAGAGTTGCCGCCAACCGTGGGCCTTTGAGGTAGACAAAAAATAGAGAGGTTTTTGCTTGAAGCCAGCGACCTGGTTACCCTTTTTAGTGATGGTGCTGTAATGTTGCTGACTTCTTTGTTATTGTAGACGTCTTACCCGAAAGCAAGCTGAAATTAGCAATTTTTAGAAACGCAAATTCAAAACGGCAGTGAAAATAATTGTTTTTCTTCAAAGCTATTATATAAAAAAAGAAAACTATATATACTGTGTCTTAAACCCAATGCACAATGGATAACGACGCTTGCGCTTCTGTTGAAAAGGAGCTAGACCGCGTAGTAACGAAATTGGAGCAACTATACGAGACTTCCACCGCCGAAATAGGAGACATTGCGTCTTTAATGTCCGAGCTAGTTAAAGTGCTGAATAAGGCTGAGAACGAGATGGTCACTACACTGAACACCAGCACTCAAATGAATGCACCTGCCAACGTGGACGACCCCATGGGTGATGGCGTTAGCATGCAGGTGGAGACGGAGCCGGCGGAACCACAGCGTCTGACCGAACGCCAAATAGAAATAATAAGAGAAGCGTTGTCCAAGTGCAACGAACGCGTACAAAAACTCTCAACAGAGCATCGGGACCTCCATGGAGCTGTATCAAAGATTGGTAAAGCTATTGATCGCAATTTCAGTGCGGATTTTAGCTCCACCATGCGCGTTGATGTGCTGCAGGAGGAGGACAATCTGATGTTGGTCAACAAAGCTATCGCCAAGCACTACTGCCGTCAGGGTATGGATAGTGTGGCCCGAACCCTGATCAAGGAATGTAACATGGCCGAAGATAATGCCCAAGATGTGTTCGACTCTGAGCGAGAGTTCGCGGAAATCTACAGTATTTGGCTGCAGATACAGAAAAGATATCTAAGGGAAGCGTTGGAATGGACCATACGTCATTCAGAACAACTTTTAGAAAGGCATTCTATCATTGAGTTTCGTCTGCATCGTATGCGTTTTATGCAACTGGTCTCGCAAGGAGTTGGCTCACAAAACGAGGCCATAATGTACGCTCGCACCAATTTCAAGAAGTTTGCAGTACGCTATGAGCATGAGATTGCCAACTTAATGGCCAGCTTCATATATCTGCCCGGCGGACTGGAAAATTCGCCTTATAAACATTTCCTGGAGCAGGAAATGTGGACAGAATTGTCGTTCATATTTTTGAAAGACGCATGTCAATTGCTTGGCATAAGCAAAAATTCTGCGCTCTCCGTGGTGATCAATGCTGGTTGTACAGCTCTGCCAGCACTGTTGAACATCAAGCAGGTGATGCAATCACGCCAGGTGCTGGGCATGTGGAATGGGTGTGACGAGCTGCCAATTGAAATAGATCTCCAGCCTGAATTTCGTTTTCATTCAATTTTTGCCTGTCCGATTTTACGGCAGCAAACCTCGGAGGACAATCCGCCGAAGAAGTTAACGTGCGGCCATGTTATTTCGAACGACGCCTTACACAAGCTAAGCAACGGGCATATCCTTAAGTGTCCATATTGTCCCGTCGAACAGAACTCCGAGGAAGCTGTTCGTATTTACTTTTAATTTTAAGTCTCTGATATGTAAAACGATAGCAAATAAGTGAGCCTGTTTGAAACGAGATGTTTGGCTTGGAGTTTCTTAGATTCGAAATTTCCGTATCAATGAATTTTAATGGTTCCCCAGAATTGCACGGAGCATACATTTGCAATATATGCATCGGCTTTTAGAAATCTTAGCAATTTATAATCAAACCTTCAACCGCGTTTGTACTTGTATGTGCTCCTTCTTGATCCGAATGATACAACCATCAGCCACAATAATAGAGAACAATGTAACGTTTTAGTTTTAAATAAATATACATATATATGAGTAAAACACAAGCGTAAATTTAGCCGTTGTTATTTAATGCAAGAATCGTCTGGTCGCCATGGTTTAAGACATCATCAACGTTTAATGCATTTTACATGCCCAATGCGAACAACAACCAATGTGCCGCATGTCACTGTGACATCGCTTACTGGCAGGCGACCATTGAACCGGTTTGTACACAGTGGTTTTTGGTTGAGTTAGGTAAACAAATGAACGAATGTATCGTATCTCGAAATTTCAACGTTACTGCTACGCATTTGCCAGTCTGCCAACTGATCTGCAATTGGATGTATACCAAAAATTGACCATTTTATATATTTTCATATTTAGTGTCAACGAACCTGAATGCAAATTTGCCATTCATCTCAAAGCAACACCCCCTGTTCAAGTGCTGATAAAATGAAGAACGTTTTGGATGTGATGTCGTTACAGCAGCACGTAGAAACGAGCAAAGCGCAAAGCATGAAGCCCATCGATTATCGGTGAGTGAGTGAAAACGTAGCGCCTATATGGTCAAATATTAATCACTTTCATTTGCAGAAAATCAAGTAAGCCCGGCCTAGTGCCACTCTATATTTTTGAATGTGCCACGAAACTAAAAATGAAGCCACTAACGGCAGCGTGTGCTGCCATTGTTTTCCATCGATTCTATAAGGAGGTCAAGACCAGTGATTACGATGAGTTTGTAAGTGAGCTTAGAAATTAGTAATGAAGAACTTTTGCTGATATTACTCCTTATAGCTGATTGCCGCCTCGTCACTTTACCTGGCTGGGAAAATCAAGGACGATGACAGTGTAAAAATTCGCGATGTTATCAATGTAGCTTACAGTACGCTTAATCGTGGAACGGCCCCTCTAGATCTAAACGATGAATATTGGGCTATGCGGGATGCTATTGTGCAAGCCGAACTTTTAATAACCCGTACCTTAAGCTTTGATTTAAACATTGATTTGGCGCACAAGGTAAGTTTACAGCAAAATATGATATATCCTTTACTATTTTATATTTTATATTGTTTTATTTACTGCAGTATTTATTGTACTACATGAAAACACTTCAGGACTGGATGGGGCCTCAGGTTTGGAATTCTGTGCCCATTGCGCAAGCAGCAGCATCATATTTGCAAGATTTTCACCACAGTCCCAACATTCTTAAATATAAGCCCACACACGTTGCTGTTGGGTGTCTCTCTCTTGCTCTACAAACTTATGGAGTACAAGTTCCACTAACTGACGAATCTGAGGAGGCTGCCATGTGGTATAAACCCCTGGTCAAAGATTTTTCCAGAGAGAAACAATGGGAGATCATTGAAGATGTTATCGAAGTATACAAGAATGAAGCAGCTCTTAAGTCCACATAAGCATCTAACATTGCTAACACTGCATTTCATCATATAGTTAGGTACTTGTGATAGCCCAGCAAATGGTACACTATATGCCATTTCCATTCTGATATAATTTATTTTCGAACATAAATCATGCGAATATAAGCTAACCATATACATATTTATACGGTGTGTACGCACATTCTACACAAATGTTTACTGAATTTAATGCGTAATTATAAAAAAGGTCAATGAAATGAAACACACAACTCCCGTAGTATATTCTTAGTTCCTGTACTTATGCTTGTGTTTATCTGCGCGATATCTTGAAGGTGAAGAGTTTCCACTGGCATACATATCTCGTTCGTCGTGTCGAGTGCGCGATCCGTAAAATGATGGCGATTGTGACCTAAAAGGACCATTAATGCAAATGTCAATGGCATTGTTATCATCAAATGATTACATCCATTAATTTGCATACTTGCGAGACCGTGAACTGGACGATGGTGTAGGACTTTCATAACGAGAGCTGCGCGATGTGCGCTCCGAGTATCGCTTTGGCGACTCTGATGGGCTGCTGGAACGATTGCGCTTTGAGGACTTGGCGCTGCGACTGCTTTCGGCCGAATAGTCCCGTCGACCATGTTCTGGTGAGTAGTCACGACGTCTGCTGTCGCTCCCGCTGTAAGGCGAGTGGGAACGTTTACGACTACTCCGCTGACTCGGACTGGAGCGTGAGCTACTGCTGTAATGCTGTGCGTGCCGACTCTCAGGACTCTCGCTTCGCTGACTCTTTGAATGCATATAGCTGAGTGGTGAGTCTACAATATCCACAACAGCATCCTAAAAAAAATAGTTTTTAGAGAAGAATTCAATAGGGATAAGTATACACGTAAGGAGGGGAACATGATTGAGTACGAACCTTCTTTAGTAAACGTTTGCGATAGTATTCGACTTGCTCTTGCAAGGTCCAGCCTGGTTCCAAGCGTCGCTTGCCGGATTCCAATTCATCTTGATACTGCATAGTTTTGAGCTCTATATCGCGCAATTTCTGACGCTTCTCATCACTGTACTTCTGTGAATTACCTCCGTCACTTTCATCATCAGAGGAGAAGAACTTGGGCGGATCTGGAGGATCCAAAGTATCCCACTTGCTTGTGGTTATGGCTTGGGCTTCAACTTGTTGGGGATCGACCGTTTCCCATTTTGAAGGTATGAAGCCACCGACTTTAGCTTGGGTCTTGGTGCTACTACCTGGCTTCTGCACTTGCTCTAATGGTATACCGTCAAAATCTTCGTCCACTACAATTGATATAAATGATTCATTTTAAACATTAAAAAAATATCTAATATACTTCACACAACTTACAGGGTACACCATCAATTTCATCGGAGTACTCTACATCTCTATGCTTCGGAGTATCCCGCTGTTGTGCAGCAGACTCTGGCAGCACGCGTTTGAGTACACCCTTCAGTAACGCTGCTCCGTCAAGGGGGACACCGTCCAAATCCTCGTCATCCTTTTCCTCACCTGACAGTGGAGCACCATCTATGTCTTCATCTAACGCCTCTTCTGATCGCGCCTCTTCCACTTGAGGCGGGGTGTTTGGTTGCTGCATTACAAACTAAAAATCCAAATTTTAAACATTTGTCGGTTCTATAGTCTCATGAGAGAACATTTACCTGTCTGCCTAGAAATATGGCTCGTAATTGACTTAAAAATTCCTTTGGGTAAATTGTCCATTCTTCCCACGTGCGTATCACGTTACAAACACGTGTTTTAAAACCCTCAGCCTTTAGTCGACTTTCAATTGTGAGATAATAACTGTGAAGACTTTCAAATATGTCCACAAGTTGCTTTTCCACGCTGCAAGGGAATCAAAGCCAACCACATTATTTTCTGAATTTAGGAATAACTTACGATTTTGACAATAACTTACGACTTTCGAAAGAACGAAGCATTTGCCACTTTTACAGTGCAATTGTGAAGAATATCGGATATGAGATATAATCGGCCAATCTTCTTCGAAGCTAGTGTCGATGCATTGGCAAGTGATTCTGCAATGCATTCACATATTTCATCAGCTGCATCTGCATGCTCAATGCAAAAGATCATGGCGTCACCGATGCGTGAACGTTCGGGCGTTAAGTGTCTAATCAAATCCTCCAAACGATCACGTTGGCTGCAAACAAGTGTTATGGCCATAATGGTTACAAATTAAGATTAATGCATTTAACTTACGCATTGGATAAAGCGCCTTTATGAACAACAGGTGCATCGGGATCCACGACTAATTCATCGGGCATGCCTTGTGTGTAAAAATTGGCAACTGGTGGTCGCCAAATAGGGCCGCCTTTAAACATGCGGAACTCTTTTTCTCGCCACTCGCTTGGAGTATCACCTTGCAATAGGGAGAAGAGTTTCCAACGATAATAAATGTGCGCTGGGCTTTCATTGTCAAACAGAAAAGAAAATAGGGGATTATCCATTTCCCGGCTCATAATTAATGCTTCAAACATGGGTCCTTCGCGTATGACAAACTCAATCATTCGATGTATGACATTAAGCACAGATCTGAAAAATATATCACTTTAATACGTCCACATTTTAAATATGGTACTCATGTATACTTTTCAGTAGGGATGAAGACTTTCACAACAGACTTGTGCAAGAGCTATAAAATAATATTATTAGTTAAAGTTTATCAACATTGCGAACTTAACGAATTTACCTTTTCCATATTTTCCTTCTCTTCGACTGATTCAAATTCCTTATAGTTCTTCTTAGGTAAGTTACACATTTCGCTTGGCGGCGGCTGTGCATTGAAGGGCAGACCAGACGATGGTGGTGGCATAGTCAACTCTAACAATGCAGGCGGCACAAAGATCGGAGTATTCATTATGGGTACAGTTTTTCCCCAGCCTAACCGCATCTCGTAGCCCATAAGATAGCGGCCATTGAGTAACTTAAGCGCACGCTCTGCGTCCCTGCGGCTCATATACGCAACAAAACCGCAATTACTACCTCGTTGTTTTTCTTCCTCAGAACGAGGCCACATAATTTTAATGCTAGCCAAAGGCCCATAACGTCCAAATATCTCCATAAGCTGTTGCTCTGAAATCTGCAAACCAAAATGTTTAACAAATGCCATATATTTGTAACTAATGTATGTGGATACCTTCGGATTGAGGTTGCCCAAATAGACATTGGTAGTGTTGGGATCACCGGTATCAAATGAGCCCACCTTACGTGAGGCACTTGAGTGCTGTGTTGAGCTTGAACTTGGCTGTTGTGTTGTTGGGGCATGCGAAACGGCCAGATGTTTATATTTATGTCGCTCTTCACGTTCTTCTTGTATTCTACAAAAAACAAAAATCACTTGAATTTAATTTTCTTACACTCTAAATTCAATTGTTGCTTACTGCCTCAGCTCTTCCTTGAATAGCTCCAAATTGCTTTTCTTCTTCTCCTGGTTTTTCTTTTTTAATGGACCCGTCTCCTTTTTGAGATCTGAGGCCAGCAGCTTGGCATAATCCTCTGCTTTATCAGTTGCATTCTTTTCGCTTAATTTAGATCCGGGTTTGTACAGCTTGCCCTTTTCGCTTTTATCCTCCCCTACACAAATAAGATTGCAGGATTATTTAATCGTTACGGAGACTAAATGAAAACTTACGTCTCGAGCCAGCATCGTAGGTACCGGCTTTAATCCAGACCTTAGACGAGGGTGTCGGCGCTTCTTGAAATGTCTCTACGAACTCTTTAAATGCCTGTTAGTGTACAATACATATATTATGGTTGAAAATAGCTAGAAAATGAGTTGACTAACATGTGCGGCAGCCGCCTCATCCTCCTTTTTCTTTTGCTCCTCGAGCTCCTTTTTCGATAGTTGTCGCTTCGCAAAGGTGCCAACAGTGAATGCCTCCAGTTTTTTTTCGCTGATGCGCTATCCAATACAATTTTAGTATTCCTCAGGATAAATTTTGAATTGCAAGTTACCTTCATGCTGCCAGTTCAGTTCTATTCTGACCAATGTGTTTTATTTATATTTTTCTAAATTGTTTATTCTGATACTCTTCTGACCACTCTACAATTCCGATGGGGTGTAGTGTTATCAAACACCAATATATGAGCTAGCCGCTTTCTCAACACTGAAAATGTGAACTGTCAAACTCACTATATCGAAACAAACTTGTCAACAAGCCGAGAGCTCTACTGAAAGCAATTAAATAGTGAACTTATAATATAAAACTCCAAACAATGGAGCTGCAAATATGCCGATTGTGCTTGCGCGGCTCCAAACATGAAGAAATGTTGAGTATTTTCGACAAAAGCAGACAACATAATCAGAATCCAAACGTTGCAAATGTGCTTCGCCAACATTTTTGGTTTGAGGTAAAGACACACACACGTATACATGCGTACACGCATAAATATGTATACACTCCCTTAGAATGGTTTTATATCGAGAATGCATTGCTTTTTCAGGTAGTGCCGAATGACGAAATATCAAATGTCGTGTGCAATGTTTGTTGGACACAGGTGTCTGAGTTTCACCAATTTTATGTGTCGATACAAGAGGCGCAGGCAATTTACGCGACCACATCAAAATTTAAGCAGGATCCAGAACTAGCCAATACGTCATGGCCAGAGGAAGTAATGTTGCCGGCTGATGTTTTAGCGGTGGACACTGCTAACACGCAGCTTAATGTTAATCCGCTTGATGAACTAGAGGTACCGACTAATTTAATATCGGATGAGGACAACAAGGTAGATATAAAACTGGAGAGGCAATCACCTGATCTGGATGATCGCGAGCCTTGTCCTGACTCCCCTGGGGACGAGAGCAATGATAATGAAGAACACGTTGTTGTGACACGAAGTGGCAGGGGCAGAGGTAGACCGCGCAAGCATGAGAAAGTTGATCTTCCTCCAAAGAAAAAAAGAGCACCAAAGGGAACAGTCAAACCCAGGGAAAAGCGGGGGCCAACAGAACGGAAGCTGTTCAAAAAACAAAAATGGCCGCCATTCTGCAAAGAGGACGAAGAAATAATACGAAAATATATTGTAATGGGCTGTGAGCTGTGTATATTTTTGGCAGAAGATTTCGAAGGCATTAGGGAGCATTTTAAGGAGAAGCACGAAGGTGAACGGCCGTACATAAAGTGCTGTGGGCGTAAACTAAACAAACGCTGCCTAATCGTCGAACATGCGCGGCGACATGAAAACCCCGAATACATAAAGTATGTTTATAGCTTTAGGCATTTTAATAACACTTTAACGTTTATATAATTATTGTTTAAATAGGTGCAATGATTGTGGCAAAGTTTTTGCTAATTCCAGTGTCCTGCGTGCGCATTGGCTTGTTCATCATGTGCCGCCCTCCGAATGCGATTACCAGTGTGACGAGTGCGGAAAACGCTTTTCGCGAAGGAATCTGCTCGAGTTGCATAAAGGCTCTCACGTGCCTGCAGACCAGCGCAAATTCATATGTCAAGAATGTCCAAAACATAACGCATTTGCCACTGAATATCATCTGCAAGTTCATCGGAGCATGCAGCATAGGAAAGCTGCCAACATATGCGATGTTTGTGGAAAAACAATAAAGGATAAGGCAGTTTTCGAAAAGCATGTACGCCTCCATTTTGAGGAAAGTGGGCCCCGCATCAAATGTCCTCGTCCGGATTGCGAGAGTTGGCTCAAGGACGAGGATAACCTCAAACAACATTTGAGGCGTCACAACGATGAAGGCAAACTGTTTATTTGCACTGAGTGTGGCAAAAGCTGCAAAAATTCACGCGCCCTCATTGGCCATAAACGTTACTCACACTCAAACACCATCTACACATGTGAGCAGTGCGGCAAGACATTTAAGAAGGACATTAGCTTAAAGGTGTGTGATGCCGGTTTCATTATATAAAACAAACCGAAAATTAACCCCTTTTTAAATTTATAGGAGCACATGGCTCAACATACTGGTGAACCACTTTACAAGTGCCCGTTCTGCCCACGCACATTCAATTCAAACGCTAACATGCATTCACATAAGAAGAAAATGCATCCAGTGGAATGGGACATTTGGCGGAAAACCAAAACTGGTAGCTCCCAGAAAGTACTACCTAGCGCACAGGTGGCCCAAATGTTCAGAGATGATGCCGAAGCATCAATTGTGCACGATTACAATGTTTAGCGAATATCGGTTGAATTCTGACAAGAGAGAAAATCCTTCTAATTGGATGTTGGTTAGATAAAAGTTTTGTTAATGCCAATCCAGAAATGTAGCTAAACCAGTGAGCTAACAAACTTAATCGGTCAAGCCAATATATTGTTGCTCTCTGATAGAAAGGGTAACTACAGTTTTTTATTTTCAGTATGTCTATTGCACCGACCTTGGATGTAGAAAATATGCGGACTTTAAATCAGCTTATAAAATATTACTCACCTGACTTCGGAACAAATAATTGATCGTTTCCGACTTAATACATAATTTTCCACAAAGCATTTATCGATACTTATTTATTTATTTTTGATTATTTTAAACAATTGTATAATTAATTGTAATCAACAAATGTTATTGGAAAATATTTCTTTGCAGAATGGTTCTTTCTCAAGCCCTTTCTACCAACAAGCAACAATTTTTAGATTACTATATATATTATATGCATACATTTATTAAACAAAGGTTTTCAAATTTATTTGTGTTAGAATGTGCTCTGCCTAAAATATAGAGTTAGTAAGCTTTTATCTTTATTATGCTTTTCCAAGAAGCCCTTCTAATCAGAACTTGTTCCGATACCGATTGGGATAGAGCGCAATATGCAACCTGTTAGTAGGGCGCAGCACATTAATAATAAAAACAGTCCTATGATCCATAACTAAATGCCTAACAACATTTACAACAACAAAAGAATTAGTTTGATAACAAATGTTCATATCTATAGGGCGTTTCGATTTTTTTTTCTACCCAGTACTTCTTTTTATCAGTGGCAAACAAGCATTCACTCACCTTTTCCAGTTTTTTATTACTGTTTGCTGATACTAAACATTCTCATGTTAGTTTATATATGTATTATATTTACTTATAAACTAAATCAACAAATTCTTTTCGTATCACAGCACAGAATTTAGGCAACCGCGGTTTTAGGCTATGCGAATACGTTTTTTAAAAAGTATATAAGCTACCCCTGTTGCCAGAAGCATGTAGACCAATAAAATGCCCACCGATGCACTATTGGACCGATTCTCAGGACTTAGAAACATATTTACACAACCAGTAAGAACATTGGCGATCATAAAAAATGTCAAGCCATTCATATTAAGAGCATCACAGATAAGAAAACCGCTGTGTATAGTTTTAGAATGATTTTGGGGTGTAGAGTGAGTCAACGGAATTCCTTCGTCCAGGGTGTCAGATATTGTTGATGTTGGTAACGGTAGCACAGTATTGATTATGAAATCAAATATGAACATGGTGAGCCAGAGCATTGTACTTATTATGCCAAATATCCACACGACATAACCAAAGTTGCAGGAGACGCGAGAAACACCGAAAAGGTAGGCGCTAATTACGAACAAACCCCAGCAGAGAAGCATTATGAAGAGCATAGTCCTTAGCCTTTTAATCATTTCGGCATAGCTGAGGATCGTTTTAGACATCAACCACCTGCTAAAGTACATGGAGATCAAGTATAAAACCACAAAACCGGGCAACGAGAGCAGACCCTCGCGATTAGCGCTGAACACTGATGAACGGGGATTGTCCTCGTTCATTATGTAATCCGAGATGCCGTGGCTCAAGCCCAATTGATGTGCAAAGAGCAGTCCTAAAACGACACCAACCATTACTAGGAGATCCTTTAATCTGTATCGATGACTTACCAAACGCCACCAATAAATATTGAAAGTCACTGCATACCATTGCACTTAACATTGTACCGAGAAGTTTAGTAAATCCCAATGTAAAGAATGCATTTAAATGTTCACCATACTCATGTGCATCTTGTCCATACTCAATGGCCATAATGATAACGGTGCGTCCGGTTCCTAACATTAAAAGTGGTAATACGGACCATAGCAAACTACGTCGCACATCGGCACAATTGCGTGGTCGACGAGACACTAAGCCCATTGTTACGACGAATAATCCAATGCCAGAATCCATTAAGTGAGCCCCAAATCCCGGACTCTTGCGAAAGGGCCTATGGAAGCTATTGAAATCGATGGCCAATATGCATATGGCAGTAATTATGTGAGTCAGGGCTCTAACCACTGTCAACGTGGTGGGACGGGCTCCCATGTCAAAAGTCTGACGTCGACGGGCAAGTCCCAGCGATCGCGTATGGCAAATGAAAATGGCGAAAAGTAACACCATAATTGCCATGTAATGGGCGCCATAATCGCTGCCCAAGTTTGTCACTATAAGCACGCCCGGCACAACGATCAGTACGAATTCGATAAGGTAGCGAATACAATTATTACTAATATTGTGAGTTGCAATCCGTGCCAGAACGATTCCCGAAAATGTCGTCGATATAACCAGCAGCGAGGAAGCACATTGCGCGAGCGACTCGGTCGAGCTCTTATCGTACACCTCGACCAATAGAGGTGTTAAGCGAGTCATAGCTGTTGTCTAGATACTGTTTTAACCGTTTGGACTTAACTATAACGATACTCATTTTTTTCAAAACCTCCCGTTGACCAACTGTTTTGTTGATAAAACATAATCTACATGCTGATAACTCAGCTCTTTTCAGTGCGCTCTTACTATTGACATATGGGAAATATCTATTTATTTACAGCCTGCACTCTATGCTAACCCAGCGAGATTTTTAAGCGACATACTTGTAAATGGCGAGACGAATCGATCTAATCCATTTGCATTTTTTTAGCCATTATTTAGCTAAATATTTTTCGAGTTTATAGTAAGGTAATCTGCAATTTCTTTAATTTACAACAATAAATGCTGTAAATATTGTTAAATTTTACTTAAACTATATCACATAAGAAGGTGTCTATATTAAATTTCATCGCCTTCAAATTGAAAGTAAAATTTAAATTGATGATCATAAATAACACAGCTTAATACATCATATTTAGTATGTATCTTTAAAATACCCATGGCTCATTCCATCAATGCTGCTTATTGCTCCTTTAAATATGCGTATAGGCCAAATATAGCAGAATATGCTATTTCGTTTCAACTAATGTCTGGAAAGTCGTGAGCATTTCATTGATTGTGTTTTTTCTTATAAATCTTAGTAAAACTTGGAATAGTGTTTGGTTTTAAAAGTGATCAACACAGCACATGAATTACTCTGTCTGTTACAATCAATAAACATTTAAACGCTGTCGTCCAATGTGCCAATGTTTATTTTTATACTTGGAATTTTTTTATTTATTTTTTTTAATTTAGTAAATGTTTAAAAGCCGTTACCTAGTGATGCCACCTGCTTTGTAAATTTTGAAATGAGAGCACAAGCTGGCAACTCTATTGATATTAAAATAAATTAATCAGGTGGCAACGGCCAGTTTCACATTGGTTGTTTGCGTGGACAAAACATAATAAAGAAAATGAATGTGAGTTTAATTCATTTCCTTATTTCTAAAAAATTTGCTAAATAAATCAACCTGATTCTCCCCAATATCTTGCAATGTATGCCTTAACTTACTTTCTTCGTTGCAACTTTGTTTTTTTCAAACAGGAATCTGAGATTCCCATTGACATACACACGTTGAAGCTGCAGGATTGGCTGATTAGCAGGCGCATCGTACCCAAGAACATCCAGGCAGCCGTTAAGGATATACATGGAAAAATTGGCAACGCGCTGCAAGACATGCCGTCTAATGAGCAGCTTATCAAGTTGCTGACAGGCACGAGTAAGTCTAAGAGACATGGGGCGCCCTAAGCAAGAATGTATCTTGAATGTTTTTTTTTGCAGATATCAACTATTTCCATGTCAAGGAGATAATCGAAATACTCAAGCAAACAGAAAAGGATACTAAAAGTGTTTTTGGTACCTACGGTAGTCAGCGTATGAAGGACTGGCAGGAAATATTGCGCCTGTATGAAAAGAACAGCACATACCTCGCCGAAGCAGCTCAGATATATGTACGTAATATTAACTACGAAATACCGGGTCTGCGAAAACAAATGACCAAACTGGAGCAGCAAACTGATGAGTGCTTGAAAAGAGCACACGACCTCAACAAGCCGGAGGCTCAGCTTCTTTCCGAGCATACTGCATTGCTGCAACAGCTGGGAGTTAAGGGTGACAATCTGCAAGCAGAATTCGTTGAGGTTCTTGCGGGCTTGCCTGAACTGTATAACAAGTCCATAAAAGACATTGGCAGGGTGCAGGCGGCTATCGACATATACGCAGAGGTCAGTGGGCAGCAGCAGGGCCTTCCTATCTTGCGTCATCTGGTGGAGCATGGCAACACAACTGTCTACCAATATATTCATAAAGAGGCACCACTCAATGTTGAAGAACCGGCCATAAAACTGAGCTTTAGTGAAGCCAACACAAAAAAGGATAGCGTGGGAGAAAATGCAACCAATGAAATTGATTTTGGCACTGATGATAATGGTGGCACTTCGTCAACTGTTTCAGGAGAAATGATCGACTATGGCGACTTAGGTAACTCTGATCTGCCGGAATCCGATAATGGTAATATTGATTGGGGCATTGAGAGTGCCCCAACTGATGCAGTAGAAATAAATTTCGACATTCCAATCGAAGAGTATGGCATTGTGGTCGAGGGTACTGGTATGGATGGTGGCACTGCTAAAGGTATGATCTGATTTATTCTAATTTATCATCCCTCTAATAAAGTATGGTGTCCCAACATTTTTTTAGGTGAACAGGCTTATACACTACTTGACTCACCAAATTATCGTGATCGCTTTCTCGATGAAATTTACGAGTTGGAGGCATTTCTACGTTTACGTCTCTACGAGCTCAATCATTTGGAAACTTCCAGTAATATTATGTTCACACTAATGGACAATGTTGGGAGTCATGACTCCCAAGACGTACGCAAACTACTATCGGATGTTGAAAAAATTATAAAACAGACGTCCGATGAGCAAACGCGTCACTTGTTCCAATTGAAGCATTCGCCGAAATATGCCGATCTTCTGGCTACAAAACTGAAGCAGATGACGAATGCTGTGGAGAAGGTCCGAAATACGCGTGAGGTGCTTAAAAAGCGTGCTGTAGATCTGCGCGAAGAGCGACAGCAACTGAATCCTGTATTGGACGAGCTGATTGCACAAACCCGGGTATTACAGTCGCATATTGAAAAGGATATTTCTAAACGCTATAAGAATCGTGTTGTAAATATTATGGGTGGAGTAAACTAATGACGTTGGATGTTTTGTAAGTTCATGGTGTTAAAATATAATGGCATATAAATCAATTGTTAAAAAAAATTGTTTTTTTTTATAAACCAATGTCTAATAGACTGAATTATTCAGACTGTGTGTCTAATAATTCAATCAAGGACTACGGCCATATGCTTTATAAATACGTCGCATGCCTGCCAAGGACAATATATTAAAATATTAAATATTTTAAATACAAGTAATGATGCATTTTTTAAAAGAAATTTATTCATTTTTATTTTGCTATTTTTATTAAATATACAAATTTAATTTATATTTTCTGTGTGTTTTAAATTTCTGTTGCTGCTTATTTTTGTATGCAGAATACAAATCTAATTAATTGTAGTTGCTGGTTGCATTTTGTTTTTGTTCATTAAAGTAGCCTTACAGAATTAACGTTTTAAACTTTCACTTATGTTATATATTTATATTTCATCTTAGCTGAACTGTGTGCCATTATAAACAAAAGAATTAAATCTTTGATACGCACATTCACTATATATATATATATATATAATTTTTACTTTTATAAAAACAAGAACAAATTCATGCGTCTCTAACCAAAATGGGCCTGAAAAGATTAAGGAAATATTTATAAAACTGTTCACGTAGTTACTTTTGGAGTTAAGAGTAGGAGAAGGACATTGTAGGGGAAATTTAAATGTGCATTAATCATTAATAAACAATTGACAAAATAATATGTAAATACAATTAAGAAGAAAGCAGGATACACGTTTGTTTAAGGGACAAGCTATACAATGTGTATAATTACTATACAAGTTTTGGGTGTAAAAAGCCACAAAATGGGTATATCTATAATGGATAAAAAGTAGACTTAGGCACTAGGCTAACAAAAATCGGGGTCTACAAATCATTACAGGTTCTACATACATACAAACGTTTTGTAATTGTAAGTATATTGTTGAACTAAATAGAAAATAACAAGCCCTAATAAAAAAAATAAATTGTAATTATTATACTTATACAGTGGCAACGGGCCTCATGATATGGTTACAACTTCTGTGTTCTGGCGTTGCTTGGCTTGTTGGTCTATTGTGATACGGGGCTAAGAGCTACGTGCACTTTTCTTCATCAAATAAATCTACAATTGGTTAATGGTGTTGCGTTTTACGTGAATATCGATATTGGGGTCGTATATAATGTCAGTGTGATTATACATCAACGTACGTATTTGTGTTCTCGTATATAGTATATGTATGATATAAAGTTAAATAAGCATAAAACTTGAAAAATTTGTTCGAAAGTTATTTGTGGTCTGCTGTTCATTTCCTCTTTTTTAGTCGAATAACCTAAGCCTAAATGGTTTGTGGATGCATTATGTATTTGTTATGCATTAATTTCGTGCTTTAACTTGAAAAAGCATTTTCGAAACAAATTGTCATTTCACAACTGTTTGCTTCTCTACTTTTTCTGAATGAATGCCTTCTTTCTTTTTGTATACATTTCTGGTTCTTTTTATAGCATTCCTATTCAATAAAACAATTACAACAGAATTGTACAAGAAAGATACCAAAACAAGGACAAAAGCCGCTCTCAAGCACATGTGAAATTTTTTGAAAATTTTCTACCTTTGTCGTGCGTTTGTTGTTGGTATGAACGTACCTGTATTACTTTCTACTTAGGGACTAAGCGCATATAATTTATGTATATATGTATTGGATTTTTTGTTTTGTTTTTGTTTGGCTTACACGCTACTATATATATTTATATGTATCTGTATATGTCTGTAGTCATGTTTTTTTTTCATTTTTGTTTTTGTGTTTTGTAATATAGACTTTGCATAGATTTATACACCTATCATAGCGCCGGTCGGATTAGAAATTATCGAGCTTAGTAGCTCCAATCTTTAAGCTATTGCTCTAAATTTCATAGCATACATGTGTGTATGTGTTATAAACCTTAACTAATTAGAATCTTTTTGTTACATATTTTTACCTACAAATTACGAATAGTACTCTTCAATGGGCTCTCAATTTGTTCACTTACAGATTAGAGAACTTGTTGCTGGTTGTTTGTTGCTGTCGGCTTATGTTGTTTTTTGTTTTAATAAAACACATCGCCTCTCTTAGCGGCAAAACTTGTCGGCGCTGGCCACCAACGGGGAGGAGGTTGATGATGATGCTGCGTGTGTGGGTGATGCTGCGCATAGTAGTGTTCCTGAAGTGCATTTGCCGCCCCCCCGCGCACACCACCCAGCGGCGACTACTTTGGCTGTCAATCATTCTTCACTGGATAGTAAATAAGATCCGGTTGCTGATGTGGCGGTAACTGTTGCTGTTGCATGTGATGCATGTAGTCATTAATGGGCGGCAGTACTGCCTTGGACTCGTCGCCGAGCATAGGATAACCCACTCCAGCGCCTCCAGCACGATCATAGACGGTGCCATGTGGGGGCGGCGGTGGCAAAAGGTGCGGGGCACCCGGAAGCGAATGCAGAGGATGTCCGCCGGCTAGCGTCGGTTGTTGCAGTGGATGATAGGGCTGGAAACTATTCTTTTGCTGCTCGCTGACCAATTGCTCACTGAGCGCATTGTGATGTGCTGCCGCAGCGACTGCCGCGTGATGCTGCTCGTACGCACTACTCCCATACACATTAGCCGGACCGCCGTGACGCATAAGTCCACCCGCATAGGCGCCGGGAGCACTGTGATGTTGTTGTTGTTGTTGCTGCTGCTGTTGCTGTTGTTGCTGCTGCTGCGGCGGGGGTTGTTGTGGTTGCAGAATGTCAAAATTGTACTCAACGGGCGTGGGATTTGTGTCGATGAGATTCGTGAGTATGCTGCCAATATTATTGTAATTGTGCGGATCAGTTGCAACACTTTGATTTCCTTGCGCCTGTGGCGGTTGATGCTGCTGTTGTTGCTGTTGAGGTTGCTGCGGCGCTTGTCCAACATTACCAAAACCTGGCGCTTGCGGCCACATATGTTGGAAGTTTAGCAGATCGTTACCCAGAGGTGCTTCCTGCTGCTGCTGTTGTTGTTGCTGCTGTTGCGATTTGTTCACTGCCTGCTGTTGTTGCTGCTGTTGTTGTTGGTTGGGCGGCGTGGCAGCGCCAACATTCATTGGAAGCCCCAAAAATTCAGCCGAATCAACAATATAAAACTTATTACTGTTATCCTTCATATCGTCCGACTTGAGCACGTGTTGTTGTTGTTGCTGCTGCTGCTGCTGTTGCGGCTGGCTGTTGGGCGCGGGAACAAACCCAATATTACCCCAACTATCTGCAGCTTGTTGTTGGTGTTGTTGTTGCTGTTGCTGCAAGTACTGTTGTTGCTGTGTGGTCGATGTGGATGGAGTTGGCTGGGGCGATTGTAGCCGCGCGTGCTGAGGCGAATGGGATGGTGCCTGATGTTGCTGTTGCAGTTGTTGCGTCGGCGTCTGATGGTGATGCAGAGGAGAGCGTTGTGATGGCTGTTGACTGTGACGATGCTGTTGCAATTGATGCTGCATCAGCTGATGCTGGTGATGCATTTGTGGTGGCATGTGGTGTGGGGAATTAAAGTGCTGTTGCTGCTGCTGTAGCTGTTGCGGGTGCGGACTCTGTGGCGTGTGACTGCGTAAGTGTTGTTGCTGCTGTTGCTGCTGCTGCTGGGTGAGATGATGCTGCTGTTGCGGCGGCGGTGGTTGCTGATATTGATTTATGAGCTGATGTTGTTGATAAGTGGCCGCTCCATTTCCACTTGCATCGAAGTGAAATTGATTATCTTGTCCAGGAAAACTGTTAATGCGCTGCAAATGCAACTCCGGAGTGGTGTTGTTCGGCGTATGGCGATGATGCGATTGCTGTGCAGGCGCCTGTTGTGCATTCGGAGGTGGAGTAGGATGTTGTCGGTGTAGGGTATTTTGTTGTTGTTGCGTTGGATTGCACTGCGGTGTTTGCTGCTGCTGCTGCTGCTGTGGTTGTGGGGGCTGCTGCTGTTGGGCCATCAGCTTTTCAGCGCCAAAGCTCTGGTTGTACATGGAATTCTGCTGAGATTCACTCGTCGACACCGAATGTTGAGACGTTGAAGCCGTCGAAGACTGTGAGCTGTTGCTACTGACCATGGCTGCATTGAACGGGTCTGGTTGCGAAGAGCCAGGAGTAGTGGAGAGCGGTGGTGTTGGTGTAGCACCCATAGCCTTCTGAGCGCCTGCCAATTGCATTTGCTGTTGTGATGCTGACACGACTTGTGACTTGGCTTTGCTAGCATTTGACTTCTTAGCGGTCTTCACTGGTGGTGGTCCTGGCATGTCTGGCAGCGGAGCCATATCTGTTGAAGGCAACATTATCAGAATCAAAATTCAAACTGGGTCGTCACTATTACCAAAAACACACATACCTTCATCGGCCTTTGGAAAACGTTGTTTGCCCTTCTTCGGCGGTGGTTGATTACCGTGCGTCGTCTGTTTGTGGCGAACCAGATGTGTCTTCCATTTAAAGGTCTGCAATAGACGAAATAATCATTTAATCAAATTTTGTGATAGAAATGAAAATTGAATTGCCCAACAAACCCGTTTACATACATAATTAAATATTTCAAAAGCCCCAACACATTTTTGATACGAATTACATAAGAGAATTCAGAATTAAAGTCGAATTGTCGAGTTTCAATTTAAATAATTTTTTGATGAAGAAGCACACTTTTAAGTCAACATTTGGATTGTTTTTGATGCTTAATATACACAAATTGTGCTCGTCACATTGCTAAATTGCTTTGTTATTATAAGGAATGCTTTTGCAACGTATATACATATTTCAATTCGTACAATACATGCGCATATTTATGCAGCTTTGGAACAATGAGTTGAATGAATGATATATAGTTGAAAACTAGATTTTAAAGGTACTTGCTTCACTACTTATATATATTCTTTTGAAATTGGTATAACTTGTACTCTTATAAATCGAACTGGTTAGCTATCAGTCCTAGCTAGTTATCTATTAAAGTAATAAGGGATTGGTAAGGGCAAATACCTTAAGATCCGACCCTTTACTAATTTCACTACATGCTGATATTGTTCCAGTAATTTGATTTGATTGGAATTTCTGCCCAATAGCTACCTGATCGCAGTAATTGCAACAATGCGGACGCTCCTCCGAGTGCGATGGCAAATGGCGCTGCAACGACTTGGCCGATCCGAAACGCTTGCCACATAGGGTGCACTTGCACTCGGAGACATCTACGTGGGCATTGCTGTAGTGCTCCTTCAGCGCGGGATATGTAAAGTAGGAAGAGCCACACAAATCGCACACATATGTACGCTTGACTTCCGTGTGCAGCTGCACATGCCTCTCCAAGTTGGCCTTAAGAGTGAATCGATTATGGCAAATGTGGCACTCGAAGAAATTGTCCCGTTTATGCTCCCGTATTATGTGCTGGTAGAGAGCATTCTTCGAGGGAAATTCGGCACCGCACACCTCACAAATGGCACCGTCGGCCTTGTGGCCCGTCTCCTCAAAATGTTGTTGCAGCTTCTTTTGTGGAAACTTCAGGCCGCACTCGCCGCAAGGAAAGGCTACAAAAGAAATGTCGATTAGTATATATAATTGTTAATAGCATTTTATGGGGCGATCTATTGAAGATGGCGCTATATATGTTTGCATCGCATTGCTTTGGTGAAATTTACATTCACGCAGACTCACTTTTGAATTCCTTCTTGTTGTGAGACTCGACGTGCGCGTGAAATTGCTGTCGCCTGGAGTACGATTCTCCGCAAGTCTCGCAGACAAAGGGAAACTCCTTAACGTGCATAGTGCGGTTATGTTGAATAATTTCCTAAAACAGAAAGAAGAGTAAATTAATAAAATGTTATAATTTATATGACCAAGATTATTGTTACCTCTAGAGTATTGCCGTTAGGCTGGCCACAATCATGACAATAACCTGGATGCATCTTGTAGTGGTCTAGAAGTGATTTTCGTTTGCGATATGACTTGGGACACAGCAAGCAATTGTAGTTCGGTTTATCCTTCTTGCTGTTCGGCGTGTGCGCGCCTGCGTGTTGCGATGGTGGCGCCTGTAGAGAAGTGCTGCTACTACTACCGCCATCAATGAGCTGTTGCTTGGCCGCATCCAATTCATCTAGATCATTGTCAAGGTCATCATCATCCTCATCAGCTGACAGATCATTATCATCCAATTCAACGGACGAGTTATGTTGAGTCGCAACGTTCGGATCATTGCCCAAACTCGATAACGATGGCAAATGCGATGACTGGCCATGAACATGTACTCGGTTATTCAACATGGATGGCATGCCGCCCGTATTTTGTTGGAATTGGCGCTGGTGCTGCAATTGCTGTTGCTGCATGGCCACATGTTGCTCCATCATGCCGCCCATCATGGAGAGGGGCGTATTGCTTGAGCCATAGTGATTCTGATGATGTTGTTGTTGATGCTGCTGCTGCAGGTGCATCTCATTGGGTGCTATTTGTGCCATGGTTGAGGACATACCATGATCGATTTTGATGTTATTTTCTAGCATGGACAAGTGAGGCGGTGGTGCGTGTTCCTTTTTGTTGCAAGTTAAACTTGCAACATTATCAACTGCTTGCGCAGTCAGATGCTGCGACAGCGCAACACCATTGTTGTTGTTGTTTGTGTTGTTGGTATTGCTTGACGTAAGGCCGTTGATCACAAGATTTGCGTTTCTGTAAACAGTAAATTATAAATGTACATTATTAAAGATCCAAATAAAGTATTCTTAAAAGCACACTTACAGCTGCTGCTGATGATGGTGAGGAGGATGATGGTGAGCTCCAGTGGAAAGTGCTGTGTCCTCGCCATCTAGAAGCGGGCCAGGGACGCCATTGTCAATGACACCGCCGCCGCCGCTGCTACTGTTGCTGCTGTTTCCGCTACCACTGACGCTACCAGCACCACCAGCAGCCAACATATCATCTATTTCCGGCTCCATTTCCAGTCCATCGATAAGACGACCCGCGCCTACACCCTCGTCAATGAACTCTTCGAATTTCATAATCTCTTGTGCTGCCGACGACAGCTGCGACTCAGTCTCCGACTCCAGTTCCGAGTCGCCGAATGAGATAGCCGGCAGTTGGCGCTGCTGCTGCTGCTTCTCTGCATGAAGTGCAGCTGCCGCCGCAATTTCTTTACGCTCACGGTGCCGTCGCCATTCCTCCAACCGCTGCTCACGTAGTTCCTTAAGCACGCGGGCAGAAGGTGTGGTGCCTAACAGATGGCCGGTTATGACAAAATTCTCGAAGAATTGTTTGAGGAAAGGCTTGTGATGTTGGCTTATGGCCAATTTGAGGAGCGCCCGAAATTGTGCCTTAAACGCACGCTCATTGAACTCTCCCGAGCTGTGATGATAGCGCACGGTGTACTGGCAGTCATCGTGGAAAACATAACCCTCGCCAAGTCTAGGCCGCGTCGTTTTCGCCTCGATCAGTACGCTATTGGTACTTTCAAGCAGTGGCATATGGATATTGTTGGTTCGCTTTCGCTTTACCAACGCTTTCGATGCGATAGCCTTGAGTTGGCGTACCATAGACGCATCACAGCTATTGCTGCCATCATCGTCCTCATCTTCCTCGTCTGCACCAAAAGTTGCTGTGTACTTCCGTTTGACAAGGCAGCCGGCCACATTCATAGCTACTCCCGTGTGTATCAGATCAAGGGGATCACCGCCCCCTATACCAACTGCGACATTATTTCTGCGAGCTGCACTGCCCCGAAAATGAAGGCGCTTGCTCAGGGAAGACGAATTATCAGTGTCGGCATCGTCGTCAAGAAAATCAGGCTCATCATCGAGGCACATAAACTCCTCTTTGCAGAGGATTTTCTCGAAATTTTGATTCAAATCGGTGGAGGCGGCGGCTTCATCCTCGTTCTCCCTTTTAATTTGCCCCACCCCCAACCCGGCCTCCGTTTTCTCCTTCTTAGCGAGTAGCAGTTGCAACTGCTTGCTGTGGGCTAGCTTTGCTGAACTGGCGTCATTATCATTGGTTATGTGGCTGAATAGATTCCTGACGACTTGGTCGCAGGCTTCTGGATATTTACACTTAAGCGTTTTCAATAAATATTGGATAGCATCGCACTGCAATGCCGCATTAAGATGGCCCAGTAGATTTAAAGACTGATCCACCTGTAATATAAAAAAGGGGTAGAACATGAATACGGAATTTTTTTTATTAACTGTTAAGCAAAGCTGTAAAATAATATGCTAAGACCCATTCCGAGAATCACATGAAGCTTTTCCATCGTAAATAAACCAACAACTCTCTTGTGTCTTTCAACATATAAAACTAACTTGATTCTTTGATAGAGCAATGCAAACGGAGTAACTTGAGTCTTGGTGTCAGAAAATCTCATTCCCTAGTTTTTGTGTCCGCAAAACCGCTAAGGTAATACATATTTATGTATACATATAAGGTATATAAACAACAAGTATTGCTAAGAGGTAATGAAGGAATTTAATTAAAAAATCTATTTATTTATTTATAAACTAATAATGTAATATTACTGAGGTATATCCAAATTATTTTTAAGCCACTGTGCAATGCTGTTACTGGTCCAACAAGAAATTTTATTAAAGTTTCCTGTAATAAATTACCAACTTCCGTTTTGTGCTACCCATTCCCAGCCTACTACTCTGTCGGCCCCAAAGAAACCAAATTCGTATTAGGCTGTATGCTTTATAGGAAGGAGATCTTTTCGTTTAATCCCTAGCTGGTACGAGGATAAATTTAAAGTGTAGAGTTGCCACGTGTGCCCAAATTTCTATAGCTCTGAGCAATTAGGCTTCAATTAAATTGAACAAATCCCAAACAAACCAACACCAAAAACACATGTACGACTCAAAACTGTCATCAAATGCAATTACTGATTATGATTTTCCAAACAATTTAATGCAATTAGAGCGCCAAGAGAGTGAGCGCATCAATGAAACAAACGGTGAGCAGACAGCGCGGCGGCAGCGCCATTCACAACAGAGCGACGGCGGCGCCAGCAGCGCTGTTGACGCAAGCGATTAGCGTAGATGGCAAAAGCAAAAAGTGTGCATACTTTCATACATACACATATAAAACGACAACAATAATAAAGAAAAAAATTAAAAAAAAAAAAACAAAACGAGCTCGCTGCCAACGACGACGATGACAACACGTTGGTTGCTAAAGGGGGGACCGAGACGTGGCGCAGAGAAATTAAAACAGCTCACAATTTGTGCTACTTTTTCCCCATTCCACAATGTTGCCATCACTTACATACATACAAACAAACATTCAGCGCACATACACACACACAAACATTTGCGGATATTTGTGTGCAGCACAAGCCATCCCGTCCAACCAACCGGCCGACCCACCCGATATACATACATACGTATGAATGTATATGTGTGAGGGTATGTATTGGTAACAACATTTTGCTCACTGTGAAGCTCTCTCCCACAACCCACCCACTCCCAGGCATTTGTTGTTAGCGGTAATAAATGGAAGAGCGTGAGAGATAAAGAGGAAGGCAGGCTTCGAGGAGTTTTCTGACTTGGCTTGGTTGAACTTTTTAAATACCCTTTAACAAAAATCCACATATTGTTGAACGCGTTGAAAATGTAATCATTTAAGAGTAGGCATACATACATATGTATGTACATATGTATGTATGTGCATATGTATGTATGTACATCATTGAGTGCGCATTAAATTGTGTTTAAAATTGATAAAATATTTGGTATTCATGCATATGTATATACCTGTTAAGTATAATTTAATGCATGTAGTTTTATTTCGTAGTGTTCTAGGACTTGTATTTGTTATATACATACATACATATGTACGTGAATTGCCGACTCAGTAGAAAAAACTGCTTTTAGTTACAATGACAAATATATTTTTTTATATACCCTGTACCCGAAGAGTATACTGGTTTACTGCGAATTTATGTAACATCCAGATTGCAACGTTGTTAGACCCCACAAAGACTTAGTAGTATAGCATTACATTAATGGTTTTTTATTTGAGTACAGGGATTTTATGAGCTCGGACAGAACAACTCTAGCATAATATTCCACTTAAAGCTTGATTTCAACTTTGTACCTATACATTTATGTATATAATATATATGTATGTATGTAAAATGACGGAAAATATTGGCTGCATTAAATTTTTTTTCAGGTGGCAACGCCATTGGTTTGCGTTTTAATTGACAATACAATTTTTGTTGTTTAGATTTTCAGATAGCCCAACACGCACAACTAATACACACACACACACATACTTATACATATGTATATTGATGAGCTGAGTTGGTATGCGTGTGTGTGCAACGACTGGTGCGCAATGTTGACAAAAAGGCACATACTCGTATTAATTACATTTTATTTGTGTTCTAATTAAATTGTCTTTTTTCTATGTAACTCGCATACAGATGCATACACACAAGAGCCGGTGAGATGATAATATGAATGTATTCACATTCCTACTTACATATGTATGTACATACATGTATGTATATGTACAAACACATACATGTGTATACACATGTACACTTTAAATAACTCGGAAACCCAATTGAGCACAAGACTAACAAACTACTAACAATAAATTAAACAAAATAAACGCATCGATAAGCATACACATATACAAATACATACATACATATGTACATATTAAAGCAATGATTATCATTTTTTACTACACACAACATATCTGCGTATGGTTCTTGTTTGTGTGGGAATTGTAAATGAGTGCGACTATCTTGTACCCTTCGGCTTTGAAAAAAGATTAACCTTTTAGTTTTAGATTGAAATATCCTAACCCTATATTATTATTAAACCGGCGAAGGGATTTAGTTCTTTTATCAGTTTTCGAGTTAAAAGTACCTTATTCGTTAAGTGGACCGAACAGTGCTTGGTGATTGTATCGTTGTATAATTGCTAAAATAAAAAATAACTTTAAACTGTGTGTAATTCTAATCAGCTATTGTAGCTTAAAACGAAATGGAAATTTATTCTTATCTTTATAGTGCTAATGCATTGTGAAATTAAGACCAAAATTATTTAATCCATTTTGATTCCCTTACCTAAAGGATGTTCTAAGAAGTCTCAATATTTGAAAAGGCATGGAAGCCCAATTTCATTTATATAGAGATATGAATAACATGATAAAAGTAATTGAAATATTATACATATAAATGGACATCTATTATATATTGACGTTTGTACCTACATACATATGTATATAGCTTTAATTATTTATAGATTACTAAAATATTTCTTGTTTGTTAAGATATAACAATAAACATATTTCTGTCTTTTATGCAATACCTCATTATATGATGATGTTTATGGGGTGCACTACTCTAACACATCTTTTGTTTTATTTTGCAGAATCTACAGGTATTCCAGTCTTTATAAACTGTGCACTGATTTGTGAATTTTCCTCCCACTGTCCTTAGAAAGTTCCTTATTACTTACTTGAATTTCTGAACATCCACAAATATCCCCATTCCCAATAATTTGTTATTTCTTAAGTTAAATTATCGGTTGCTTGCTTATTCCATACACATTAAACATTTGTGACTAATTGATCTTCTGTGATTTTAAATTTATGTTTGTCTGGTTTTGCTTTCTTTCCTTTTTCGATGTTAATTTATAAATTATTATTTTTGCATAATAAATTCTAATACATACGCATTTACACATCATATATACATATGTATAATTCTTGCATAATGACACATTTATTAACATGGTAAACCAGCTAAGATCATGTTAGAAATAAAGCATTAATTTATTATTCTCTGAAATCTATTAATTGGATCTGTTGTAGGGCAGTCCAAATCCGCCGAGTCCCGAGGTGAATGCATTTCGTCTTGATTTATTTGACTTTAGCTGCCTTCTTTTGCTGTTAGTTCGTTTTGCTATTGTTATGTGGATATTCAACACATATATACACACATATACACGCACAGGGAAAGCTATCTTCAAGATGTATAAATATGTACTATACACACAATGTACATATTTAGTATTTGGGTTGCCAGCCAAACTGTAAACGTTGCAGTGGCAAGTGGGGCATAGCATTGGAGCTTGCTGCATTTTAAGCAAATTTATGTTATACTACGTTTTGCGCGTATGCGACTTGAGCTACACATTCGCACATATATATTCATGCACATGTGTACATATATATACGTACACTCTCAAAAATACAGACCAGAGATAGTACATGCACTAACATACACGCACACGGAGAAACATACCTTCTTATGTATGTATGTATGTATGTATGTATGAACATGCTCTCATAGTTTTACTAATAACATAAAAATAGCATTTTCGTTCGCTCTCTTTTGCGTTTTTGTTTTTCTGTGTTTCTGCATAGATATGTATTATTAGTAGTGTAACATTGTATATGTTCCTGTCTTAGCACCACTCCAATACACAAAAGAGTTTATGCTAGGTATGTACATATAGTATGTATGTATATAAAGTCATACCAGAGGGATTACAAAACAAAACAAAGTGAAAAGCTCCCGTCTCGCTCCGTCCAGCCGTCTTGCTCCTTTCTTGTTTCATCAAGCGAAACAACATTCATTCATGTCGTAAACTCAATTAAGGGCGATAAAAATTTAAATTGAGATGCATAAAAGCGGAATTAATTAAAACAGCACAAGCAACAACAAAAACAACAAGTGAAACAAAGAGCAAAGTAAAATTGCATTGAGGACCACTTAAATTAAATTTCCTTTTTCGTACAATAAACTAACGTTTCTAACATGGAAAATACCATTTTAAGCTAACCACTGCATAGTTGATGGAATTTCTTAGGCCAGGTGATACTGTTCGGATCCTGGCCAAAAATTCAATTGCGAGAAGAATGCTCTTACAACAAGAAAGATATGTATGTATGTCTGCATGTTCACACATACATATATACACGTAGAATATGTATGCACATGCATACATGTGTATGGGTTCATCCTGAACGTTAGCTTCGAACGATATTTTTAATATCCCCATAGGAATACATAGCCTTATGTGAACCTTACCAATTTATTATGTTGCTTATTAATAGAAGTTTATTTTGTTTATGTTTAAGATTTGCGTAAAAGAAAAAATAAATGATACGCTATTTGTTTTCCATAACTAAAAAATAAAATCAGTTTACCTTTTAGAAAGTTCTTATAAATGGCGTAGTTTATTTAATTAAAAACAAAAACCATTCCGCTTTTTAGTTTGACATAATTTGATTAATTTAAAGGCTTTTCTTTTTTCAAATAACGAAACACTTAAGAAAATCCTACATTTTATTTTAAACAATTTTATAAGAATGAAATAAAGAAATGCCACTTATTAATATAACCTATTATTAAAAGAAATCTCAAATTCTTTTCTTTTATTCTGAATATGAACATAAAGGAATTGAACGCACTTGCTCCACTGTGCATGGTGTTTACTATTCTCCGCTTGTGCTTTGCTCGTACATTCGTACTCATGCTCCTTCTCTCTTACACCAATACTCTTGTTATAAAACACGAACACACACACTCGTACACTTGCTCTTGGGGGCTTTGTTGTTTTTGTGTAGTCAAAGCCGCGCGCACGAGTTGGATTTCGTAGTATTCGTAGTATATACAGACATACAGATATATTTACATATACATATGTATATACATATATATAAATATACGTACATATTTATATATGTAAATGCGAAGATGTGTGTACGTACATAATAACTATGTACGTGTGTGTCGTTTATATGTATGTAGCGCCTGTTTGTAATATACCATGTATTTTTGTATAAGCGTACATATTTACATCTATGCATATAAATTTGTATGTGTTTGCTTATTTGAATTGTATGTACATATGTATGTATGCAGAAGTGTGCAGCCAAGTAATGTAATGTTGTTATAAACTAATAAAAATAAAAATAAATATTTTCTCAAAATAACGAGGAAAACAAAACAAAAGTGAATAATAGCAACGACAATATCAACAACAACAACAAACACGTCGACAACAGTAGAAAAAGTAATGAAATGGGTATGGGTCGAAAAGTGGGAGCAGCCGGACGGACGGGGTCGGGCAACAACAAAACTACAATTCATTTTAGAGGCAAATAGAAATGAAAAAAAATACCATTATGTGGCACTCTGGTCTTGGTCTTGGGCATGAGGTAAAGGGAGTGGTATGGGTTAGTACGTAGGTCTATGTGTGTGTAAAGCACCGCCTCAGATAGGGTGAAGTAGGGTGGGTGGTTTGTGTATGCTGGCGCAAGAGGAACGATACGGCGGAAGTTCACACAGACACAAGCACAATATAAAAGTGTGTGTTAGTATTTGAGCGAGAACTGATTGCGGGGGAAAACTGGTAGGTTAAACGAACGAAGCTTTTAAATAATAAAAACATCCAGAAGTGGAGGGCAGATGGGAAGCGAGTCGCCAAGATTGTATGTTTATTGAATGGAACTACATTAAAGACTACCAAAATATATATAGTTTTAGACAATTGATCAGTTTTAGATCCTAACCTGTCAAATTTCGAGAAACTCATTAACATGCATTTTTGTTTACTTCTCATGCTTCCGTTGATGGGCAGGAGTATGCGCGCTTGCATCTGTCTAATTGGAATAAGCAACGTGCATGTTGCATGGCCGCTAGCGATAAAAATTTGTACAAATTAAACAGTTGCTTATAAGTAGACTTTTCCATATTATACAAAGTAACGAATAGCTAGCCGTGCAAGTACATAAGACAGACGGGTCAACAACAACAACATAAATAACAGTGCACACTGTACTTCACTACATTTGTTATCTCTTCTCTATCTCACGCGTTTGCCTCCGTATTCGTACATACCGCGCGGCGCTGCCGCCGTCGACACCGCTGCCGCTCTCTTCTTTGCCTACGTATTACACGTTATTTGGCTACTCTCAATTAGACAATCGCGCGGAATTTAGAATATACATATCTACATAGATATACCTCACACTTGAGGGCGACCGGGAATGGGGTAAATTAACAAACATTATTTAATTACCAGTAATTTAAAATCCAACTGTGTAGTTTTGTTATCCATTTTGTTGTTGGCTTCTGCATTTGGCTGAATTTTATTTATACGTTTCACTCACACATACACTTGCACTGTGTGCACGACGACCACAACTTCAATTATACACATGCATATACAAATACAGATGTACGCGTGCATGTGTATTTTATTATTTCGATTTTTCTTTTGCTTGTGTTTCGCGTTTCTGTGCTTGCTTCGCTACAGCGCTGAGCTCTTTTTTTGTATTATTTCATTTTCCTCTTTTGCTTTCGACTTTTTGTACGCTGACGCTAGCAGCGCTGCTCGCACTCTATTATTTCGCTGCTGCCGCCAACGTTGCTGTCGCTGCGTCCACATACATCTCTCTTTATTGACAACATTGAGAAATTCCCATTGGGTTCACATATTTATGCATGGATGTGTGTGCATTTCACAGATTTCGTTGTTGCATAAATTATCAATAGATTCAAGCGAATCTTTAGCAAATATACACTTAGTTGCTCCTTGCTTGCCACCTTTTGTGGCACACACACACGCGCGCACAACGCACTCAATTGGTGCTGCTTCTGCTGTTTCTGTACCGAGCCAGTGGACATATGAAAAAAACGTTTTCCACGTTGTTTTTTATTTGCTTTTCAACGCGCGCACATGTTATACACTTTATACCATTGATTTGTCACTAAGGGGGAGGAAACCAATGCGCTACATACGTAATTTAATTAAATTTATTTACTACAAAACTCTCGACAAAAGCGACGGAATTTTCTTGGATCGGGTACTGGAGCTGCCAATCTGTGGTTCTTACGAAATTTGTGTAGCGCTGGCAACTCGATAACATATTTTGCATGGCGCGTTTTTCAACACAGCAACACTGCAGTGTTTAGAATAAAAAACAGATGCTGTTTATGATGCGCGGATTTCGAGTTTAATTTGATTTTATTGATTTAAAATATCGCTTAACTGAAATTGTATTTCCGTTTCTTTTTTTTTCAAGTACAAAATTTATACGTGGTGTATTGACGTCTACCATTACCCGTAAACTCTAATATGTCTAAGATTTTGACTGCGACTGTGCCTGTTTTTCTTTCTTAGCTGCTTCAGCTTCGGCCTCTAGTTTGTTGTATTTGTTAATGAGCTCTTCCACATCGGTTCTATCCAGCACTCTGTAGACTGTATTGTTGTCAATGCGCTGCAAAGTGGCCATTTCAACCTTTTCTGTTGTTAGCTTCGTGGTGTCCAAAGTCTTGCTCAGCACTTTAATGGCCAGATCCTTGGCTTCAGCAAGCTTAATGTTCTCCTTGTCGCCCAATTCCTGCTTCAGCATTGAGATGGCAGCACCAAAGTTGTTTCCAATGCAAGTGGCCTTCCAGCCACCGTAGTTACCACTGGGGTCTGACTGATATAGTTGGTAACCGTACTTGTTATCCCAACCCATGTACAGCAAAGATACTCCAAATGGACGTTTGCCTCCATACTGGGTGTAGGCCTGTTTAATGTCGCATAAGTGAGACACTAACTGCTCACATGGCATAACTTCTCCATAGCTGTACTGGTAACGCTGAGCAATTAGGCGTAACTCCGATGTCAACACATTTGCATCGGAAGTGATGCCGGCCACCGAGCAAACCATATTACTGGAAAACCCAAACATTAAGTCCAATCTATGATGCCTGTACGTTATAGTACTTACTCGTTTAGACGGTATATCTTTTCCGATGGGACGGCGCCGTCGAGCAACTTGTTTGTATTGCGACATTCAGCGGCCAGTAAAATGCCGTCTTCTGCCAGAATGCCCAAACATGTGCCGGCATGCGAGATGGCCTCCATGGCGTACTCAACTTGGTACAGGCGACCCTCTGGCGAGAAGATTGTAGTACGGGAATCATAGCGACGTGCCTACCAATGGCCAAGAATATTAATATTTCTTTATTTTTAACAATAAATGACATTTTGCGTAGCAAATTTATATGAAATACATATGGTGGCGCACCATTTGTACCATCAGGAGATCGGGCACAAAGATGTTTCATTTACTCACCATTTCAGATGAAAAATTGAATATTAAATTTTATTGAAAATTAAATTGCCCGTCCTCAGTTTCTGTCGCTACCAACAATTTTTTCTTGTCATTCAGTGTAGGGATGGAAGCGCATCAAAGTAAACAGAGGTGCCACCCGCCTGAAATCAGAGTCGCATAAGTTTTATTGTCGGCATTTTCGACTGCTGTTAAATAACATTAGCCTGCTGTATAACAACAGAGCATTAGCGCGGCAGATTTTTAACTTATTTCGTACTCACGAAATGGGCGATTTGCTAAGTGTAACTAAACTTTTTATTTTACTAATCATTAAATTAATCAGCATGTTTATTTATTTAATATTAAAATATACTTATTGCAGAATTGTGAAATATTCAAGAAGCTTGGCTTCGACAGCGCACATCAATGGATCTTATACGACGAGAAATTTGAAAAGTTCTTTAACTTTTTATCTGAAAGCATCACCGACGCCAACATACTCACAGAGCAGGAGGTATTAGAGAGGAACGAAATGATTGAACGTGGCGACTGGCTTATGGAATCGGAGCGTCTCCTTAAAATGCAACAAATTGAGTCGGAAAATCCCGGACTTCTGAGGTACACGCCCGATGATGTAAATTCTCTGACCGCTGAGATAGCCGCGTTGGAAGAGGCAACAAAGGATTATGTAGTTTTGATCGAGGACATGCAGTAAGTGCGCTAATTTAATGTCCGCATCAATTCCCCATATCATTTTTCAACGAAGAAACACGAAGCATCGAATCAACAACAATCTCAGTGAGCTGGAATGTGCGGTGACGGCCCTGCAAAACACGGAAAGGGAACTAATACAGGATTGCCAGAAGAAGGCCAAGCAATTGGAGGAAGTGGAGCGAGAGAATTTTCGGCTAAGTGCTGAGGCAAAGAAAAGCTTTACGAATATTGTGGGTATATCTGTCATACCATTATTCTGAGCAAATGTTCAGTTTTTAATTTGCAGCAAGTGCCTCCACTGTTTATGCACCAGTTGCCCCTGGAGCAGTACTTTCTTAAATGCGATTCTTTCATGCAGTATTTCTCATTGTATATGAAGGACAATTTTAAAATACAGGACTTTGCCGAATTTGAGAACGCCGATACTGATATGCAACACATCAATAGCAAGCTGGAGAACTTACAAAACTCGTAAGTCCCACATCATGAGACATGACTTTCTGTATAGGCCTGGACATTAAAAATTCACCATTCACAGCATTCAATACTACATGCTGGCATACATCAACGAAAAGGCCAAAGCGAAGGCCACGCAGGCCTTAATTGATCACATCGATCTTAACCAGATACACTGCATCAGCCTAACGGATATGACACGGGAAACGCACGAGCTGCAGCTCCTAAATGAGCATCATTTAAAGAACGCACACGACACACTACTGAATGCACTCACCATTCATGTGCAGCAGCACACACAGCAACGCATTGAGTTGGTTCTCTACGAGAACACGAAACAAAAACTCGAAAGGGCATTGCGACGCCGTGAAAATGACAAGCATCTGACTAAGATCATTTCGGATGCGCTGTCAAATGCGGAGCTCGTTTGGATAGCCATACAACTTGATTTAGAGAAGAAGCGCAACTACTTGGACAACAGTGAGCGGCTATCTGGGCAGGCCCAGGCCAGTTGGCAACGTGTCCAGCTAATGCGTTCACTTAACGCCACCCAACAAGGCATATACAATCAGTTTCTGCATGAATTAGCAAGTCTACTAAACACCCATCTCGCCCAAACTATACGTCCAGAGGCAAAAAGCTGTCTGTATGAGTATGAGAAATTTGTACGTCTGCTCTCCTATGCGCTACAGACTATGCTGAACCAGAAGTCCTACGCGACAGTTAATGAAGAACTTGCCGAGTTGTAAGTCAATTTTACGATGTGCAGATAAAACATAATGCTGATTTCTTTAACAATGTTTAGAAAACGACTCGAGCAAACGCTGCGACCGTTCGTGTACGACTCTCCCCTGGAGCAGCCGATGTTTACACATGTGCGCTATTTGTGTCCCATATTCAATGCAACGCGAAATCAGCAACGCTTTGAAGAAATGTTGCGTCACTTGCGCTTAGAGTTCCAGGAAAAAATTATAGAGCGCATGGTAAGTTGTGAAAGGTCTGTTAATTGATTCAGATAACTAAATCAAACTCTTTTAGGACAAGGAAAAGCTTTGGCGGTACAGCAAGCTGCTATGGATTTGGTTTCTTACTGAGCCGCAACGCGTTATTCACGCCATAGATGAAGTCAAGAAAGCTTCGGCAAAGATACCTGCACTTACTAGCAGCATTATGCGACCGGGTGGCGGCATTCAACGTAAATAATTGAAGTAATTAATGTAAATGAAGTAATAATATGAAATATTGGCTTATAAAGTCTTACTTTGTGTTGAGAAGAAGGAATCCACTAACATATATACATATTAAAATTTAATTTATTTATTGGCTTGAAACCAAATGTTTAAAACTTCATTTAAGGGACTGTGCGTTTTGTTGCACACAAAAAAAAAACGAAGAAAGAAAATAGGGTAGTAACACAGACATAGCCTAAATATACGCATTCTAAACATAACGTGCATGCATAGGCTGCAAAAAGTATGCCTACATATATGTATCTTGGTACGTGCTCTCAGTTCAACTGTATATCTTACCTAACGTCGTGCACTACCAATGGCTATGCATACAATTCGTGCTGTTTCGCGCAATTTGTCTTAGTACGGAGGCTGCTCGAACATCATTGTAAGCTAGACCATGAGGTAAAAAAACGAAAAGGTCGATAAGTTTCTTGGTTTAATCATTAGCCACAATCTTGATAGTCTTGTCTGCAGTGCTTTGACTTTTAATAGTAAGTCCTATTTCGGGAGTGCCTACCTGATCAGTTGATTGTAACTAAATAAACTAAAATATATGATAAACCTTCTGTAATCTTAGGAAATAAAAACGGACTTTTACAAGTATGCATTCGCTTGCTTCATGATCAGCTCTGGTGCTCCCAATGGTGCTCCCGAGTTAGTGATTGATACAATTAATACAAGCAATATGGATTTTTGAAGATTTTTGTGTATATTTTGTTGGCCCCAAATTAAACTTTAATCTTTAGATCTCTGCTATATAAAGCGTTGGTAGAATTTCAACCTCTGTTTGGGCTTCTTATTCACCTTTCGTGAATGTCCCTAGAACAGTAGTTTAAGTAACGCTTTTTCACAAACATAGCTAAGATCATAGTTTCTCTTGTGCGTTAAAGTTAACAATTAAGAATCTAGTAGTAATCTTTTAACCAAACTATCTTGTTACTCAATAAAAGATTCCCTGGTTAGGCTTTTTTATCTTAACAAAATATATAAAGGCTACTTACTTGCAAAGACACTTCACAAATTGTTTGAGTTGAACTTTCACATCCGGGTGCCAACAAACTTTGCCTAGGCAGTCATTGGCCATTGTATACATCCCGAATAGATTAAGCACACATCATGCACAAACTTGGAGACGCACACCCACACAGATAGACTCATTAACTGTTTGCAGCACGCGACACGTCGTCTGTTGACTGTTGCTCCTTCTAGCGGTGAAATAGACCGGCAAACAATTTAAATTCAAATATAGAACAGACGACAACATTAATGGCAAAAACGACTAGCGGCTAGTACAGAAACGGGGACAGAAGCAACAAAATGGCAACAAGTGAAAACAAACAAGACATTGGCATTGAAGTGGCAATGTTTGAGCATCCCTTCCCCATCCGGTCATCCCCTATTCCGTTAAGGACACACGTTGCTTGTGTTTGTTTCTAAGAGTGGGTCGCTTAAAGCGTGCGTTGTATTGCAACTTTAAAAGCCAAATGCAGGTTCAGATGCCCCTCGACTTGACAGTGCTGACCAGCATTTGCATTGCCGTCGCCTTTTCCATATGCATGCATGTAAAAAGCTGCAGCACACACTCACCCACACTCTCACCATGTAACGGACCGTAAATGGCCGAACCGTAGACGAAGAAGCAGCCGCCATTGCCATTGGCCGAATCGTTCGTAAAGCTTCGTGTGATGTGCTCCTTCGTGCTCCTACGCGATGACGCTTATGTCCTGTTGCCGAGAGGACCCTTAGTGGCACCTACGAGTATAAAAGAACCAACGGCACTCGCCTCTATCTCATTCGCCGGCCGAGCGCCTCAACGGGACAGTACTTGAATTTCCATGGCTAAGAGACATATTGAAGTGAAAGTGTTTGGCTAAATTATCAAATAAATCAGTGTCTGTGATTGACGGAAGAACTCTTCAATTATTGATATTTTACCGAAGACAATGAACTTAATAATTTAAAAACCTACTGGTGGCAAGTAAACAAACGCCGCTAAAGAGTTCAATTGTGATCTTTTATAAATAATAAAGAAAGTGCAACAACTGTGAAAGTTCTTAAAGCAACAGCATTAATATCTTCAACACTTAGACGCCTTTCCTGTGCACTTACAAGAAGCAACAACTGAACAATTATTTTCACTCCATTAGCTTTATTACTTGAGATTTGAATTAATTTCTAATTTCTATGTTGTTTGCTCTTGAAACTAAATGCTGACAATTTCTGAACGAAGCAAATTCTTTTTACAATTTTGATTTAAAATTAAAACTGTTGCTTGGTGGCCATAACAGTGAGTATAATTTACGAAAATATTTCAAGATTCCATATTCCAAAGAGCATGCGATTTATGAAATAATTTCAAGAGTTTTAACATTACACAGTATATAGTATATCTATTTAAAATCCTTGGGTAAACGTGTTTTTAATCCGTTTAATTATCTAGCATTGGCTTTATGTTGAACGCTTAATAATAATTTTTGTAAAAGAATGAAAATATAATTTCATTGCCTGACCTGAAAGTACACATTTAATTGATTTGCTTTGATTCCGATATAGATATAAGGATATAAGGCTGTATTTCCAATTTGATCTTAAAATAAATTTACGAATTTGTAGCAGCTAGAAAATAGAAGATGTTTCTTACGGAAATCAGCGTCGTTGTCAGCATGCTGATGTTTATATGCACAGTCAGCGTCCATATAGAGTGTAGAAGCATTGACCTCGACAACTGGGAGGACATTTCCAAGGAATTGACTACAGTGCCGCAGCAGAAGGGCAGCAACGAAAGCCTCGACATTGAGGTGTTCGAGCATATAAGAGACACAAAGCATCAGTCGTCTGAACTTAGTGAGTTCGAAATCGACTATAGCAAAATGCGTGTCTACACGGTTGGCGTCCTAATGGCATCTCATTTGGGTAAGTAGTCGGAATGAGTCTACAAATTGAAATACAGCGTCTCACACGCAACTTTCATCAAAAAGATTCACCATTTGACTTGGAACGTTGCGGCCCAGCAGTAGATTTGGCTTTAGACCAAATTAATAAACGATTTTTAAAGCCGCACAACGTCATGCTTAAAAAGAAGCAAGCCAGGTTAGTAAACAAAATTGTGCACGTTACCCAAATAAAAAGCATAAGTCGATTTTGAAATAAAGTTTTACATTTCAATGCCAATCATTATAGTAGGGAAACGTTTATTTTGTAGAAAATGTGGTAAACCGAAGAAGTCTACTGTTTGTAGCTATTAGAATATAAGAAAAAATTAAAAAGCAAGTATGTACGTCTGTCTGTTTCCATCACTATTACTAATTGAAAATCAAATTAAAACTAGGCACTGAGTATATTATTTTCTACAATTCTCTCAGACCGCTTTATATTATTTAGCAGTCATTTGATTTGAAAAATCAACTTTTACAAATTTACAAATATTTTTGATTCCAATGACTTTGTATAAAGATGTTTCTCTAATCCAACTACAGAGTTCGAAATGTTTGCAAATCAAATGAAATAACAAAAAATTAAGCATAGGCGTACAATTCATGTGAAGGCTAGAAAGACTCAAGAAGGAGTGGAATGTTAAACAAGATAGAACGCTACAGTCGAGCAAGCCCGACAGTAAAATAGCCTGTACTCTCCACAAATTTTTAAATTCCGAGAATTACGGAAGTTATAAGAAAAAATACGAATTGCGGGGGAGTGGGGGGGTGTATCAGAAAAAATAAACAAACTCGTTCTGCCTAGGGCTTATAGGAACCTTGATACCAATTTTGGTTATCCTAGCTCTTGTACTTACTGAGATCCTTGCGCTCATACAGACAGACGGACAGACGGTCAGACGGACATGGCTATATCGACTCGTCTTCTCATCCTGATCAAGAATATATATACTTTGTGGGGTCTGCCACGCCTCCTTCTGTGTGTTACATACATGCGCACAAAACTAGTATAGCCTTTCACCCTTTGGGTACAGGCTATAAAAAACCACTTTAATTATTTAAATTAAATTTGTAAAATTAAAATCTATGTCCTTTGTGTTTATATTAACGTATAGTACGTGCTTCATTTCATTATGAATTATTCTGATGAAGAGTATATGGACGTTACAAAAACTGAACGATTTCAAAATACCCATTAACCTTTCGAGTATTCTACAACTACGAGTATACCTGATCGACTTGGGCTGGCCGTACCCGAACATGGCCACTAATTGTTGGCCTTTCATCTTGTTAAATCAAGTCGATTTGCCGTTGCCGTTGCCGTTGCCAAGACACTGGTACTCGAACATTTATCTTTACCTTTTGCCTCGTCTGCGAGCACTTGTTGCGTGCAAGTCGGGCGAGTTAATTACTCGAATTTCATGACCGCTTTTTGATTGCGCACTTAAAGCGGCTCCTAAGCCTAAGCCGCCCACTTGGAACGCATTTGAAGCTGCTTTTCTGCATGAAAAAGTGCATGCTGTTGCCGTTTTGTTGACTTTTTGCCGTCTGATAAGCGAACCGTTAGTCGTTGACTTAAGTGTGCTCCTGACTTACATATCATTCTCTTCTTCTCCTCTTAACGCCGCCCATACAACCGCAACCTCAACCTTAATGGCCTTAACAGCTACCCATCGTGCTCGGGGGCCAAGGCGCCGGGACTGGCAGCTGATATGCATTTCAAGGACGATGTCATTGCTTTCATTGGACCCGCGTGTGCATTCGCCTTGGAGCCAGTTGCACGTTTGGCTGCCTATTGGAATACGCCCATTATAACGGGCATGGGCGATCAGGTGAGTAAAGCGTAGCCTTCCCTGGTGTCTTTGTCGACGTTAAAAGCGCGTGTACAACACGCTTAAAGTCTCCCTGCTGTTGTGTGTTTTTGGCTTGCGGTTCGCCATGCTCCACACTCAACACGTATACGCCCTGTGGCCCCAACGCACAGCACGACGCTTTAATTATTTGCTGTAGTTTAATGCACAAGACTAGTTAATCCCTTCCGCTATGGTTAAACACGGTCACTTCTTATTTTTCTTGCGCTGGCTCGCTTTTGTAATTACACGCTTTTAAATTTCTTTTGAATACGGACCTTTTCTATCGCCTGCTTTAATTTCAAATTCCTAAGATGCACGAAATTGCACAAAATGCGAGGAAATTGTTGTCAATTCACATTTTCATTAATAAGAAGGTGTTGTGCAGTAAATACCTGCATTTTTATGAAAATTCTAATCTTTTCTTTACTCCTTCAATTATCAATGCGTGTTATTATTTAACGCTCGTCAAATGCATTTTTTTCCTCTTCGAATAGCCACCTTCGGAAGGCGAGTTGACGGTCACTTCTGGCATATTAGGTCGGATTCACAAGTGGAAAAACGAGAGCACGGTAAGTGGAATAGAAACAATGTAAACAGAAACAAAAGGCACTAAAAATAGAAGAATGTTTAAAAGGCTATACAACATGCTTTAACCGAGTGGGGTCATCAGCGTTGACTTATTTGGTAAACCGATGATGAATTGATATTAAACATTCTAAAAAGTGTCATGAAGAGTCGAGTGTCACAGGCGCAGGCTCTAAATTAAGTATGCCAGTCAACGATGTTGCGAGTGGAACGTGCCTTGCAGAGGACACATGGACAGCCAACTGCATTCATGAGTTGCAGTTGCAGTTTGTGGGTGGACTCTGAATTGTTAGGAATGCCTTGTGGGGACGACTCCACTGTGTATGCATTTGTGAGCTGCTGATAAAAGTACAATACGAATATTTCCGCCTATTTTGAATTTCGGTTGCACTTTTGTCCTCCCAAGCGGTGCATTGTTAATTAAGCCCGAGTGCAGAGACTAGGAAATTTTGATTTCTCACACCATGGTGTTATTTAGGCGGTACATGACATGGATAATTGCTTGTTTCGGGCAGCCATAATACAGTGCACATTAATTGTATTCGGCACCACATCACCATGGACGGCAGTCCATGTAGTGGCGAGGCGTCGCGCACATGGTCTGAATATAATGTGCCCTTATTACAGCTTTTGATTGACAAAACATTCAGAATCTATATTCAGATGTTGAAAATTGGGGGAATATTTGCAAGTTAAATTACTTACGACATTTTGAGGACCTTAAAATCGTCATTCAACAATCTAACATTTTTAAATTTCGGGTCTAGGGACATGTTGGAAATAATCCCTATAAATCCATATCAATAAATCTATATAAGTAATAAGCAATTAAATGTTGCTAATCATAATTCTTTTGTCTGTTTCTTTTATTGGATTTTCCCTGTGAAACTTCGAAATATAATCTTACGGCCATTCAATTTCTTAATCTTCAAAAGGGTTCATGTTTTAAATTGATTGTAGGAAAGGCAATAAATGTCGCTTACAATAAACTGTTTTTATATATTACAACTATTTACGTAAACAAAATGTCTTAAAATTTAAGTGAAAAAAAAATTAGGATAAGAATTGCTTTTGATTAGAATTAAATCAAACGAGTCGAGTCCGATATATCCTCTACGCTGTTCGAACACATTATTCTTAATTAATATTATTTTAGCTCCTTACATTTTGTTTAAATATTTGATATTAATTTGCAGCAGTGACGGGGCAAAAAATTCGTTTACAATTAACAAGCATTCAAATACAAAATGGTGCAGGAAAAGGTGAAAAACTGACTCAAAAACTGTATAATGATTATGCAAGAATTAAAGAAGCATTGAAAAAAAAATTGAGCTTGCCCTTTCCTGGCCTTGAAAGTACCTACTTGTAGATATCTAAAATTGTCATGCGGCCGGACGGATATATCTAGATCAACACTTCATATCCTGCTGAATATATATTTACTTTTTGAGGTCTACCGCGCCTATTTGCCTTCAAATTTTGAACCAGTTTTCCATCAGTAAGATTGTTCCTACATTGATTTATATTTTCCAAGTGGGTGGTGTTTTGCGATTTTGTGTAAATTATTTCATGGTTGTTTACGAGCTATATATGTATATACTTATATACTCTAATATACTAATAACACTTGGAGCTTTATACAGCGCTCTAACAACTGCCTAATCTTGATTGATGCATTTGGCAATTGTTTTCCAAAACACACAGGGCGTGTTTAAAGACAAATCGAACTACCCTACGCTGACCCGCATGTCATACTGCCAGTGTCGTCTCAAGTTGGTCTTTGCCAGCATTTTCCGGCAGTTCAAGTGGAAGCATGTCGCCCTGCTGGTCGACCGTTCCGACCTCTTCTCGTTGACGGTCGGCAAGAATCTGGAATATGGACTACGCCAGGAGGGCTTGCTGAGCTTCGTCCGCGAGTTGAATGGCAACGAGGAGGAAATCTATGAGAACTATCTTAAGGATGCCAGCATGTATGCAAGAGGTAGGTCGAGCCCCTCACATCTCGAGTATATGATGATGCAGGCTTGCGATTTCTCAAAACATTTACAGTCGTAATACTATCGGTTCGAGGAGTATTAGTTCGAAAGTTCATGCTGGCAGCACACAGTCTTGGTATGACAAATGGCGAGTGGGTATTTCTGGATGTGGAAATATTTCAGGTGCGTCTACACATTTGAAAAATGTTAAAAATAAACATAAGATATTGAATTATAGAGCTCCTACTGGGGCGATCATGACTGGGAAATGGGCGATGAGAATGATAAGAAGGCTCGGAAAGCCTATGAAGCTTTGCTGCGTGTGTCCCTGTTGCAGCCGACAAGCCCAACTTTCCAGGATTTTGCTGAGCATGTCCGTGAGATGGCCAAGAAGTACAATTATACATTTGGAGAGGGCGAGGAGGTAAACTTTTTCATCGGTGCTTTCTACGATGGCGTCTATTTGCTGGGCATGGCGCTCAATGAGACGTTGACCGAAGGCGGCGATATACGTGATGGCGTTAATATAACGAGACGAATGTGGAACAGAACTTTCAATGGCATTACCGGTACATAAGGCTAGCTGTTCAATCAAAAAGTATTTGCTAATAAATCAATCTTTCTATTTCAAATTGCAGGTCATGTTCGTATTGACGATAATGGTGATCGGGATGCAGATTATTCGATTCTGGATTTGGATCCCATAAATGGAAAGTTTTCAGGTAGATTCTCATTTTCATTTTTGCAAGAAAAAATATGACGGATTTTATTTATAATTAAAATGTTTGCTGTCTACTTGTATTATATTTTGTAGTGGTGGCGCACTATTATGGTCTGCATAGGTAGGTTTTTTCAGCCGCTCATTCAAAAATTGACGACAATTAAGTTTTTAAAATTTTAGGGAATATGCCGCTGTGCATGGAAAGAAGATTCATTGGCCTGGGGGACGGGAGGAGTCACCTCCTGATGTTCCACCATGTGGGTATCTGGGAAACTCTCCAGATTGTTATAGCAATGGTAAAGGGAACTAATTCTGCGCTTAAAACTCTGCAACAATTGTTTTTTTTCTTACAGAGACAACGATTATGTATTCCATTTTTGGACTGGGTCTATTTCTTGGGCTAACATTTCTGGTTATCTGCCTGCTTCAAAAGTAAGTACTCGTATATTTTTGCAGACGCACTATATAGATAGGAAGTCAATGTTAAATTCTCTGCAGACAGATGAAACTTAGCAAGGAGCTCCACAACATGTCGTGGCGAGTGCGACCCGAGGATGTTCTAATCGAAATGGGTGGCATGTTTGGCTCCAAAGGCGGCCTGCAACGTCTCGATGTGGAGAACATATCTCTGCAACAGTTCGGCATACATTCTGGCCGAGCCTCCATAGCCAGCTTTGCATCCCTGCCTCCACAGGTCTTCACCACCATTGGTCAGTTCAAGGGAGAGCGTGTGGCCATCAAGAAAGTGAATGTCAAGAAGGTGGAAGTCACTTCCACGCTGCTGTGGGAGATCAAGCAAGCACGCGACGTGAGTCACGAGAACACGGTGCGGTTTGTGGGCGCCTGCATTGATTTGCCACGCCCTACTGTGCTCATATTGACGGAATATTGCTCCCGTGGCAGCCTAAAGGATGTGCTCGAGAACGAGGCCATTGAACTGGACTGGAATTTCCGCATGTCGCTCATTCACGATATTGTCAAGGGCATGAGTTATCTCCACAATAGTGACGTGGAGGCGCATGGAAAATTGCGGTCCTGCAACTGTTTAATAGATGGGCGATTCGTCCTCAAGATATCAGACTTTGGTCTAAATACGTTGACCACACCGTCCGATTTTGTGCGCGATCAAAACTATTACATCAGTAAGTCCTCTTATGAATTTCAAATAAACTATCGACTCATAACGAAACACGGCAGAGCTCTTGTGGATTGCGCCGGAACTATTGCCTATGACTTCGATTCCTGGCTGTCCGGCTACGCAACGGGGTGATGTCTACTCGTTCGGCATCATACTTGAGGAGATTGTAAATCGGGGCGGACCCTATCAGGAGGCGAGACAGCAAATGGACGTGCACACAATTCTCCATAAGGTGCGTCAGTGTGAGTATCCACCGTTTCGGCCGCTCATACGGGAGCGGGAATGTCCGCCTGACCTGCTGGTTCTGATGGAAAAGTGCTGGGCCGACAATCAGGAGGAGCGACCCGCATTTTCAACAATTAGAAGCAACATACGCACCATTATGAAGTGAGTATCAGGCTGTCTCGTAGTTTATTCTTCCTCAAACAATATCGTATTGCAGAGGATTCTGTGAGAATTTAATGGACGATCTGCTCAATCGCATGGAACAGTATGCCAATAATTTGGAAAGTCTTGTTGAGGAAAAAACCAGACAACTGAGTCTCGAGAAGCAACGCACCGAGGAGTTACTGTATCAGATACTGCCCCGGCCAGTGGCTCAACAATTGATGGCTGGGGACTTGGTGCAGCCCGAGGAATTCAGCAGTGTGACCATATATTTTAGTGATATCGTGGGCTTCACCGAACTCTGTGCCCGCAGTAGCCCCATGGATGTTGTTAGTTTCCTAAATGATCTCTACAGCACATTCGATCGCATCATTGGCTTCTACGATGTTTATAAAGTAGGTACAAGATATTAATTTGATGTTTAAATCTAACATTATTATCTTCTACTTATTAGGTTGAAACTATTGGGGACGCGTATCTGGTGGTTTCTGGTCTGCCGGAGCCGAACGGTGACAAGCACGCGCGTGAGATTGCTCTCATGGCTTTGGATATATTACAAGCCGTGTCTTCCTTCAACTTGAAGCATAAGCCCGAATACAAAATCCAGATACGCATTGGCATGCATTCGGGATCCGTGTGCGCTGGCGTTGTGGGCAAGAAAATGCCCCATTATTGTCTCTTTGGTGATACTGTAAATACTGCCTCACGCATGGAGTCGACGGGATTGCGTAAATATTGGTCTTGAATCGAATGTTTTTCGGGGGACAATGAATCCGTTTCTTTACAGCAGGCAAAATTCACGTCTCCTCGGCCACCAAGGAGATTCTAGACAAGTTCGGCACATTTGAATTGGAGTCTCGCGGCGATGTCGAGCTAAAGGGCAAGGGCACTGTAACCACCTATTGGCTAAATAGCACCACCGAAGAAGATGCGCGTCCACCAACTCCACCAGTTGCAGGCATCGACGAAGTACCCTTCCCCCTTCTGTTCGCCGGTATGAGCAAGTAAGTAATACGATGGCTGGGATGGCCAGGGATGGCTGGTAATGTCTAATTAGGCTACAAGTAAAGTTTTGAAATACTTTATCTCTAATCCATACTAATACTCCATTACTAATACATTTTTTATAAATACATAATAGGTGTCTAAATTGATATTTACATGTGTAGTTTTTAAGTGTATAAATGGAATGAAGCGAAAGCACTGTGATAGGAAAAAGTTTTGGCATTAAATATCATGGCTATATGCACGTTGATACAAAATTGATAAAATTACTGTTTAACGCCGCATTTTTCTTTATGCCTCTCTAAACACATCTTAAATATGAAATTAGTAAATGTTCTTAAATATAAGAGTATAGGTACGAGAGTATCTGTTGGGCGTTTAATATTCTAAAGTATTTATTCGAGGAGTTTATATATTAGATATATGTATAACATGAAATATGCTTGTTTAACAAAAAATATTAATTGAATACCTATTTCAAAAGATCTGATTTTGTAGGGAACACTTACTTGTAAGCAAGCAGTTTGCAAACATTTCATGAAAGAAGCACACACAGCGAGTGGATGCCTATGAAACAATTTTATGTGGAAATGTCTTTAAAAGCATGCTCTAAATGTTAACATAGTAAAAGGAGAAAGTATCATTATAACATACATATATATTTGGTTTTATGTTAATGGCATTCTGAACACAGATATTCTTTCTCTCAGAAAGCACGAGCATTATAAGGTTTATCGAAATATTGCCTGGTGTGGGTCCAAAGCAAAGTGTAAGAATTCAGCTTTTATATATGTATACATATGATATAACTGCAAAGAACCCCATTTGTTTTCTTTCATTATCTTATATGTATGGTTTTCGAATTACGCCGTAACCATCATGACAAAAAGAGCATGATTACAAAAATGTCAAAGTTATCATAAAATTTAATAACTTTCCAACCTAGGACAGATCTTAAATAAAGAATAAAGATTTAAAAAATAACAGATTTAAAAATAATAATAATATATGTATTATAATTATTTCCTTAATGTCTATACAAGTTCAAACATGTAATACATTATTGCTTTACATAACTTATATAATGCATGTATGAAACGCTTAATGGAACTAACATGAATTTGAATTCAAGTATTCAAGTATATATACATATATATATATATCTATCAACTACCACTTTTTATTAAAAAATATGTTGTGTTTTGCCCAATAGCAATAAATAAGTATTTAAATATTCTATTCAAGTACAAACTAATACACCTAATTCTGTTTTTACACGGTAGATTGGTTCCAGAAAAAGTCGTGTAGGAAAAAACATGTTATGTTATTTTAATTCGTGCTAAATGGAATAATGTCATGTAACCATATATAAAATGTTTAATTTTTAAAATCGAAACCGTGTAAAAAAAGACAGTGTAAAAACAGAATTAGGTGTAACCACTTAATGGAGCTAAAATGAGTTTGAATTCAATATCTACCACTTGTTAAGAAATAAATAAGTATTTCAATATTTTTTGCTCTACATAACTGAGAGTATTAACCTTTTAATGGAACTTAAATGAATTTGAATTCATCTATTAATGAACTAATATGTATGTAAATACACATACACCAAATTCTGTTTTTACACGGTAGATTGGTTCCACAAACAACCGTGTAAAAAAGACATTGACCATTTGCAAAAATAGGTGATTGGTTCCTTATCTCTAAAGAAATATATATGCAATTTTGAATTTTCAAACCGTGTTTTATCAAAATCGTGCAAAAAAAGACCGTGTGAAAAGAGAATTAGGTGTATTTATGTAGCTAACACCCCTTCTATGCTTTGCCCAATTCAATTGAAATAATATATTCATGTATTAAAGTGTTTTTTGTATTGTAAATCGGAACCGTGTTATTTCCTCAGTACGCAGCCAGACCTTTCAGTCGAATATAGAAGTCTCGAGGGTGAGCCGAGGGTGAAAGCTCACAACTAAGCTTTGGCCAAGCCTCCCCTTCATTGGGGTACAAAAAGTGGTTACTTTTACTCAAGCAGCCATCAGCTGTGCTTGTCACGAAAGCTTTCACGGGATACAATATTTTTGCACTGCTAGCTGGGGTAGTTGGTCCATAAACAAAATTGAAAAGCAAGTGCTACAAAAAATTGAGAAAATGTTTGGGGCACACAAGTCTCAAGCCGGGATTTATAAGCACATACCGTAGATTGGTGGTGCAGTGCGTCCGCTAGCCATGTAGTCAGCGAACAAAGTGTCGCAGTGTACATACATACTTACATACAACCTGTAGTTTGGGTCTGGTTATCATAACAAGGCCTCAGAGATAGTGGATAGTGAATAGATTGCCGCAAGATGAAGATCTTTCGGTTCCGTTTGGTCAAAGTGCTGCTCCTGGCCTTCCTTATCGTCAATCTGGTGTTCTTCTACTACACCTGGAACACGCTGCTCTGGCGTCGAATTAGCAAGGCACTGGCCAGCAGTAGCAGCGAACCCAAGGCCGGACCGCAGGTGGGCAAGCTATCGGCCAAGGACAAGGCGCGCAATGCCAACAAACACATCCGGAAGTCCATTACGATTGTGTTCTACGGTCACTATAACTTTGAGCACGATCTGAAGGCGACAATAGACAGCATATTGGATGTGATACCGAACATGCCGATTCTGGTGCTGCAGGAGGGTGCTGCGGAATACGCCTACCCGCCGATTAAATACGAACGTAATTTAACCAGCGGAGAGGAGCATACAGTGCGCTTTATGAGTCTCGCTTTCGATGTGCAAAAGACACATGACCAGTTGGATCCACTCCGTGAGATACATACAAAGTACGTGCTCTTCATGCCCGATAGCGTGCGGCTGAGCAGCAAGAATCTGTTGCAGAAAATCTTGCGGGAAATTAACACGGTTGGGGGCAACATTGGCAAGTCGTCCCAGCAACACCGTGTGACCATCGCACCGGAGCAGACGGTGCGACGCCTGCTCATCGTACCATTTGTTGGTAATCTAAAGTCCTTCAGCGGCTGCACGCAAATCAAAATGGATCTGCCCCACTGGACGATGGAGTACGTGGCCACCAATAATAGTGCACATTGTGACTTGGTATGTGGGACAGAATAGTACTTTTATGCATAATGAAACCTTTCTAAACTGATATTGTTTCTTACAATTAGTTTGTGCAAAAGCACGCCATATTATTGGACGTGGAGGTGCTCCGATCCATGCCGGAACCATTCACGCTGCCCTTCCCCGAGATGCTATACATTCAGGCGAAAATTGCAAACCTGGCGGTAAATTGTACTTGAAGCCCTGCGGAATATATTGATATGCTCATTTGTTTGTGTTTGCCTTTACAGACGACCGTATTTCCCCAATACTTCCAGGAAGGTCGTCGACTATTCTCTTCATTTCATACCAAGCAGCGACGTATGGAGCTGCGGCGTCGACAGTTCAGAGACATGTACAGGAAGCTACAGATCAAGCGAATTGTGCGCCGCACCCACAAAGTGAACACCAAGGCCAGCACAAACAGCAACAATGCCAACTGGCAGCCCCATAGTCTGGTACTGGACTCACAGTTCTCCTCGTCGAATTTCTCGCTGCCACAAGTCACGGAAATAGATTTGTTCGGATGCGAGCGCACCACCAAGTCATGTATAGGAACAGTGTACAACAATCGACCCTTCTACTACTATTTGGGGAAGCACACGCCGCCCTGTTGTCTGGATAAGCTGAAGACCACATTCAATCACGTGCTCGAGGAATTTGAGAACGTTGGCATACGCTACTGGCTAGACAATTACTCCCTGAAGAGCGCCATTGAGACGAATCAGCTATCCCCAGATGCCTATGACATCGACATTAGCTTCAATGTGCAGGATCTGGAACGATCGAATGCAATGAAGAAATCGCAGAGCAAACCCTTTGTGGACAATGAGGGTTTCTATTGGATCAAAGCCACCGATGGACACTACTTTCGGGTCCAGTTCTCCAAGCTCAACCAGGTGGGCGTCAATCTACTTCCGTACGAGATCACGGGCAACGAAGTACGAGCTAATGGCTTCTTTGGCTGGAAGGCAAGCAGCTTTTCAGCCGACTACCTGCATCCCATGTCGACAGTTTTGTTTCTTGGGAAGAGCGTTATGTGCCCAAATAATGTGCTTGAGTATCTTGAGTCCAAAGATATTAAAGTCAAATCCGAAGATATGGCCATAGAGGATGAATAAGTAACCGTAACCGTAATTAGTTTCACATTTTTGTTGAATATTTAGCATACATCTACCATTAGAAACTTTATATTTCTAAAAGTCTGAACTATTTGTTGATTTATTTATAATGAAAAGAATTCGTTCCTTCATTTGTTTGCCAGTCTAAGTTAATAGCTGATTTGTATAGATCTATTTCTAAGTAGCGAATGTAACGGGGAGATTCATGATTCTACACGTATATTAATGTTTGTATACAATTTGAATAAATCTTAATGTGTAACATATACCTACCGCAATAAAAACTATCTGTCAACGGACATACGTGTATTACTTTATAATTTCTTGACTGGTAAAAGTTTTGGAAGAACATATAGCTGATTCATTCTGGGCACGGGCTGCTCTTGCTTTTTCTATAGGGATTGTGAGAACAAGAACAGCTCTGATCGTGCCCAGAATTTAATCCTAGCTGCGTACAGTTGTGGCTGTGTCCGGCACAATTGTGCCCTCGGGTAGTTCGCGCACCAGGGAAAGTAACTTTTCCAGCTTCGCAATTTGCAGTGTAGTCTGGTCGAGGTACGACTGCTTCTTTGGAGGCTTGACCATGACGCGCAAATTGGGCGACAGCTTTAGTGAGGTGGTAACGCCCCTGTAAGGACAAAAATGCATAGCATCTGTGAACTCTAGTACCTTCTACTCACTTCTCATCTCCAACAACAATGAAGGGAAGCTTCTCGTTGAAGGACAAGCGTGTCAGTTTGTTCTTCCGTTTGGGCACAACGGCCTGCACGCAAATGGCCTTGTATTTGTTCACATTTAAGTCGAAGACGTAAACCTTCCCCTCTGTGGTGACAGCTGCAAACACTGTGCTGGAGTATGGAGCCCACTTCACATCGCCCACCGCCGAGCCCAGATCGAATATGAAAAGGGGATCGGCGCGCATGTCCTCCCACACCTTGACGCGCCAGTCGCCTCCACAGGACACAAAAATGTTGGAGTTGAAACGATTAAAATCTATGCGGTAGACAGACATATTGTGCGCATTGTAGGTCATCAAGTACTTGGAACTAAAGGCTGTGCTGCACTTGTAAATAAAACCGTCCTCGGTGCCAATTAGAAATATTTTTGGATCTATCGGATGAAACTTCATGCAGCAGCCACAGCTTTTTAGAGTGAGTTTTGTGCCATCTGGGCCATCCACCAAGCCATTCTCCAGGTACAGCGTAATTATCGTAGTTACCCAGAGCTTGTTCTGCATGAGGATCCAATTGAAGACGCGCCCATCGGAGGAGACTGAATAGAAATTGATTTCGCCATCGTTCATGTCGGGACCCCACTTGAGTTGCCACACGCACTCGGAGTGCTTTCCGTTGACGCCCTTGGACATGTACAAGGGCTCGCGGCAATTCTCGCGCAGGTTATAGACAGCCACATTGCCATCGTATAGCCCAACAACAACGAGAAACGGATAGTTCGGGTGTATGTCACAGCACATGACGCCGCAGTCGGTTTGTACTAATACAAAATATTCAAAAGTATTCCAAGTCTATTGAAATGATTCAAAAACTCACTTATGTAGTCCGGAAAGGAGGGATTCTTAACAGTAAACAGACACAAGTAGCCCTCATTGGCCTGCTTCATAAAGTCATCTATTGCAATCGTAAGGGTGTAAGGTGTAGACTGGAAGGGATGTTTGCAATTTTGGGTATACTTACGTGATCCGAAGCAGACGGCGAATAAATCATAGTAGCATGGATTGAAGATGATGTCTGTAACACTCATTTTCTTTGTTTTCTCATACTGGAACTTCCACAAGGGCAGCAGATTGCCTTCACCCTCGCGGAACTCATCCGCCGAGTCTTCCCAGTAGCGATAGTCGTGAGCAATATCATCGAAGATGTTCTGGTTAATCATGCGTTCGAGAATTTGCCAGCACTTGAGATATTTTCGATTCAGCTGCTCGGCCTGTAGAGATTTGTCAGTGAGCTTCTTCTGCTGCATGCTGCGTTTGCGATCTGCTTGCTTCGTACTGTCTTTCTGTTGCTCCTCAAAGTCCTCCAAATAGGAGTCGTAGATGACCCATTGCAAGACATTGGCTCCAAATTGTGAACGTGGTGGTGGAACGGTTTGGGTATCCACACTCTACCATTTAAAATATTGGGTAGGGCATTACTATATAGCACTTGTACACTCTTACCCGTTTCGGATAGGAGAAAGTCAGCGCGGCTCTCTCACAATAGTTGAACTGATTGATAAGTTTCCGTTTCTTCCCCTGAGAAACTACCGCCTTTTTCTGGTCAGCGGGCTCCTCATCTTCGACAGCAGCCTCGCCGTCGCCCTCCTCGGCCTCTTGCTCGCCATCTGCTGCCTTGCCTTCTTCTTCCTGATCGTCTCCTTCGGTTTCTCCCTCGTCACCCTGTTTGTCATCCCCTGCATCGCTTTTATTTTCATCGTCCGATTCGCCGTCTCCCTCCCCGTCGCCTTCAACCACGGGCTCTTGTGCCTCGACCGCTGAATAGTTGGGCATTGGCAGCGGAACACCTAAATATCAATTCAACTAAATCATTAAACGAACTAAGCCATTTCACTCTCTATGTGCTCTTCACCGATTTCATCGGACTCTTCGATTTGTAGTCGTGCTTCCTCAGAGTCCACATGCAGCGAATTTCCCGGGTAACTTATCAGTGTGACCGTATTGCCTGGCAATGGCGCCGGCACATATTCGCCCTCCTTGAAGCTGAACACCACCAGATTGCGAATAACATTGGTGTTGGTTGGAGTTAGAACTTTCGTAAACTCCTCTCCCAGTTCAGCTTCAGTTAAGTCCAGTTGGTCGTCTGGTTTCGCCAATTGACGCGACTTTGTCCAGGGATCAAAGTCCTCGGAGTCGCCACCACTTTCCGTCTTCGACTTTGACGATCTAATCTGTTTTAAAGAGTTCGAGGTTCTTCAATCTACTCATGCTATTGGCGTGCAGCACAGAGCTTAGTGTTGTTGTTGTTGGTGTATGAAATATATTTGTGGGAAGTGCGGCAAAAAATTGCTTTAGAAAAAGGCTCAGCATAACAGAGACTCAGAAACTCACCTGCCAGGACACCACATTGCATGGCTTAGCTACTCAATAGGAATCAAAAAGCAATTAGTTGAGAACTAAGGTCGAATAAAAGGTGCAGCAATTTTGATTTAACAATCCAACAATCTGGACGATTTGTTGGCGAAAAAAGATATCTACAAAAAATAGAGCTGATAGTTAAAGTAAGAAAGTATAAACAAGCATGCAGCATGCGAATCATTTACATGGTTATCATATTTGAGTTATTGTTGATTTTACTCGTATATATTTGTATGGGGGGGGGGCACCCTTTCCAAGGATGAGAGCCAAATTAAATCTTGAATTTATAATAAATGCAACGCAATAACTAACTCTCTTTTATTTTAGTGAATTTTTATTCACTCTCTGGCACTTTTCTTGGAAGGGGTACTGAATTCGACGAACCGAATTCGGTGTTATATTTGTTTATTTCTCCGTTTCAGTTACCTCCTGCTCGTCTTGCTGGTCCGACAGATCATCAGCACTGCCCACATCCTGCGTTGGCGCGACTGCATTGTCTGACATTTTGACTAAACTGTACACTGGGAGAGTGGGGAGTGGGTGGAGTGACTTGATAAGCGGCCGATCAGTACTTTTTACTATACATTAGCAATTCGCTGTTAAGCTACATTGATTGACACTTGGGTTAGCGAAAAGAAATAGCTTAGGTTGGTATTGTACGATATTAACAAATAGAGAAAGAAATAGAGAGCATATGCGATATTTACAGTACTTATTTACACTTGGGTAGCGTTTTTGATTGAGATGAAGGTTTCAAAGCCAATTATGAGCGAGAGAAATGTTAAAGGTATACGTAAAAGTTGCTACATATTGTATTTACAGAATTGCCATTGTTGTTGTTGCTACAAAACTACCCACACACAGATACGCACACACAAACGTATGTACAATACATTTAATTGGTCTACTTGCGAAACAAAGCAATTTGCATTGGGTCTAGCGATTAGTCTAACTGCTCAGTTACGAAGCATTAATAATCATATACCGCCATAGCTTTGTTGGCCAGTTTCCACATCTCGGTACAACTTGTCTGAGAACCCGAACTTGAACGCGTTCAATTCAAATGGTTTCTACTTATGAGTGCAAGCGAAAAATCACGTATACGCCCCGTTGATCAACTGAACAGTTTGGAAAACGCAGCACAACTGAACCTTCTGTGTGGTGCAAGCTAATAATACAGCTGCGGCAAGCAACAACAAACAATATAGTCAGTCCTTATGAAATATGACAGAAGACAATGCCGACGAGGAGGACTTTGGCGGTACGAGGTTGACGCGTCAGCACGCTCTTCACGTAAACTTTTCAACTCGCAACCAAAAAACTTCAACGCTGACGGTGGCAGCCACGTCATAGGTCGGAGCTGTTGCTACTTTTGATGATGATAGTGGGTGAACCTGGTCTAATACACTATGTGTGTGTGTGGGCGAATAAACAAATTAAAAGGAGCACCAACACCATTAACTCAAATGTCGAGCGTTACATAAATGAGAAACATATTTATTTTTACGACCGCCTTAAAGGTGAGTAAAGAGTCATATTTTGTTCTGATTTATAGACTTTTTTATTGTGTTACATATGATTGCCGTCAGCACACCTCCCAGTCAGTCAGACAACTAGTCATAGCCATCAGGAATCACAAAAAACAACATTTTTTATAGTTGATCAAAATATAGTACATTTATAATGGACAGCTGACGATCTGCAGGCCCGATGTGTCACGCACACAACTGAGCCAGACGCCCGCCACCAAGTACGGACACCCATGCTCCCCAATCCCAGTCCAGTCGTTTGGGTGGGCTTCTTTCCGTTTACAAATTGCAAATTATGTTTCGTGACAAAGTCACATCAGAGCGCCAATAAGTTTTCGCTACGCTCCAGCAAACTTATTAAAAAGTAATCGCAAATTTTTAAATAAACTCGTGTGACGAAGGCCAAAGTAATACGTAGGCAGCTGGCATTATGTGTGCGTCCAAGGACTACCAACAATCATCAAAAATTTGCTTGCATACCGTTTGGAGCTGTCGACGCGTTTAGACGTGGCTGCCTTAGCAGCTCCTCATTGTGTTTTGTTTGTGCAAATATTTTCAGTGTAGCTGTGTGTGCGAATGTGTTTGTTGTGGTTCTACAACAGTGCTTCGTGGCTTGGTCTTGCCTTCGGTGCCTTACATGCAGTTACATAATTTACCTTCATTCTATACGCAGTATAATTACCTTTTGTGGCTTATTCTGCTTGCCATCGCCCTTGAATTTTTTATCCCCCATGGTAATTGTTTGTTTGTAGTGTTCAGCACCTTTTCTCTGTCTTAGATTTCTTAAAAATGAATGTTCCTGCGCACACAACTCCACAATTTTAATCAAGCTCTTCTCATTAACTTTGCGGCTGACTTCTATTTCAGAAGTAATATTTCTGATAAAAGCGAATAAACGTGTGAGCCTCTTCAGTAAATTTTTTTTACGTAATGGTATGCGTGGTGTGCTCTATTGTCTAATCCGCTGGCATTGTTTACTGGAGTTTCTATAGAGATTTGCCACAGCTACAGACACACTCACGCACATTCTCTCATTTGCATATCGATTCAGTTTGGCAAGCAAAAAGTACGTCATCCTTTAAAGAAAATACTAAAATCGTACAACTAATTCATATGATGTTTAATAATTATCATATTAATTACAACAACGCAAGTCCAATATGATACACGATTTTCCGCTTACATTAAAAGGTCGATAGCTTCTATTTACGTATTTGTCAACTTATCAACTGCCGACTGTTTATTTGTAATCTGATCTGATTTCAATATTTAATAAAGTAACGCATTTAAAAGCATTTTTTGTTCGCTTAAAATTCTGTCCTAAAGGTGTACTAAAAAATTTGATACATACTACATAATAGGTGAAATGAGGCATGCTACAAGGTGTGTTCCAAAGTAAACCGGACTTTAAAAAAACAGAACAAATGCTTTTTTCGGCAAAATCAATTTATTTTATTCAAAATAGTCTCCTTCTTCTTCAATACAGCTTTTTGCATGATCCAAAAGCATGTCGAACGAGTGTTTTAGCTCGTTGGCCGGTATGGCCGCCAGTCTGCCGGTGCAAGCCTTTTGAAGGGCCTCTACGTCTGCAGAACGCTTTCCTCTCATGGGCAAATGCATTTTTCCGAAAAGGTAGAAGTCGCACGGTGCCATGTCAGGTGAATACGGCGAGTGGTTAATGGTTAAAATGTGATGTTTGGTCAAAAACTCGTTCACAAGCGTCGATCGTCTGAGCAATTTTTGGTCGTCAGTCAATTTGTGCGGAACAAACCGTGCACACACCTTTCGTAAGCCCAAATGTTCAATTCCACTTCCATCAATTTCAATGATGATTTCGGCTGATTTTTGATGAATTCACGTACAGTTTCGATGGAATGATGATCACGATGATCACGAATTTTGATAGGCCCACATGTTGATCGTCATTTATGTGCTCACGACCACTTTGAAAACGTTGAAACCACTCGTGCACTCTGCTACGGGATAGGCAATCATCGCCGTAAACTTATTCCATCAATTGAAACGTTTCGGTAAAAGTTTTACCACTTTTAAAACAAAATTTAATGTTGGCTCTAGTTCATTTTCGCACCGATAACACAAACATACTGACACTTAAAACGCAAAAACTTCACTTCCAATCTATGAAATGTCATGAAATTCTCACTGGACAATCGATAAAGATAGCAGATTCTAACGCACCAGTCGACATATAGTTAGCGCAACCAGGGGGCCAACTTAATGACATAGGAATGATTGGTATACACTTTTTATTTAATAACTTATTGTATTTATTTCAAAACTAAATGCTCGCTAAACAGTAAAAACAAAACAAATCCATATGAGAATGTGTACGCGAAATGGCATGCAATGAATATTCAAGCTGCCTAGTATTCTTATATAGTATAGCACTTAATATAGCTGGTATACCCTTTTAATTTTGATACTTTGATTGATATAGATATCAAAAAACGATTGCATTGATATACTTTTACCTTTTTTTGTTTGCTTTTAGTAGAAACTCGCGAGTATTACTAAGTATTTATGTATCGCTTTCCGTTTTTCTAAGTTATAGGTTGAGGCATTCCGTTCTTTATAGCACCGACTGCGACAAACCTCTGTGGTCGTGCTCTAGTGCACGCTTTTGAGCTCACTTTTTGCATTAAACATCTAAAGGTCATCTTATATATCAATTTGTTTATTGTACAGAATACAGTATAGCTATATATATACATCAAGATCATGTTTAAAAGTTAGGTATGACAGGTATTTAAATTCTATGTATTTGTATGGAATTTTATGTATATTGTCTCATGCTCTTCACATATCGCACTGGTAGTTCCGGCAAATAGACGCTGATAAAGAACATTATAGGTCCGAACAATATCATGCAGATTATCCAGTAAATAATGTTGAAAACTGTAAAGGCGTCCATATAAGAACAACGGTTGCCAGTTTCGATCCGCAAACTTGTAGTGTTATAAATTATTAGCTAATATCACTAAACACCTGGCGGGGAGATAATGCAATAAACCAAAACAAGTTTATCGCGCCGATGTTTCCAATAAGTTTCAAATAAAAATCTCTGCAGGTCACTTTAGGCTTTAGGCTTATATGTCACGTCACATAATCTTAAGTTCTCATTGACCGTTGTAGATGTGTGTTTTCGACTCTTTAAGCACGCCACCTTTAAGTAGAAGAAAATAAAATACTTAGTTAATATGAAGCACCAAGAAGAATGCGAAATTAAAAAAGGAAAAGTAAAACGCTTACAGCACTGCAGTTAACACTTGCCGCGACCTCGCAACTGAAGGAAATGATCGAACTGCCGAATGACTCAGGCGCTTTTATATCGGTCAGACTCAGACTCGGGCTCAGAGACACAGTTTCGGTTTATTTTTGGGAACTACCCCAGCTTTGGGCCATTCACCAAAATGTGACGTTGTACCTGGTTTTTTACGCAAATGCCACAACGTGACGCTCTTGGCTGCAAACCTGTAACTGATGTGTCGGGTCTGAGGCTGGCGCTACTAGAGCTCGAACTGGTTCTAAAGCTTCCCCCCACAATTACACACAATCGCGTGCCGCTCACTCATGAGTGCCTGCGAATATATACTATATGTATGTATAATGGTTGTTGTTTTCATTTTTAACTGTGTTGTTGTCGTTGACAATGAGCTAAAAGCTTTCAAATTGTTTGCGCCAAATGTTTGTTTTCTATCTATAGCACATACATATATGTATGTATGTATGTATGTATGTATATGCGTTTGTGTCCGTAATTGGCCAAGGCAACTAAATAATTCAACTAACTGGTTTTCAATTCAATTTGTGCTATGGCATTATACTCGCAAAGTAGAACCTGTACTGGCCAGCTGCTATGGCTCCATTCTTCAAGATATTTATATTATCGATTTTGAAAAATATTTATTAATGTTTAATGATAGCAGTATGGCAAGTCATAATGTTATCAACTTACTCCAAAATACTTGTACATATATACTTTTCTTATATGAACGCTTATCGTGTTCTTTAAAGATTACAGGAATCAATGTTGCTTGCATAATTGTCGAAAAATATCAACAATAATGAAATGGTATTTCGAGCTGATAATGGAATCTCAACATTGAAAATCTCTCTATGCAAATAGATATATGTAGATTGTCGTAAATGGCTAGAGATCACAAATTAAAATGTGTGATTGATAGTGTTATCAACTTACTCGTAAATACATATATACTTTTATTCGTATATGAACGCTTATCGCGTCTTTTCAAGATTACAGCAATCAATATTGCTCACCTAATTGTCGAAAAATATGATCAATAATAGAATACAGTTGATAATGGAATCTCAACATCGCAACTCTTTGTAAACAGATAGTCATAAAATATATTTAGAGATCACAAATTACAATTTTGAACGCAAAACTATTGTTCCCATTTGAGAGTCTTCTTAAATTTATAGGGAGAATTGTTAGTTTTTAAAAACGTGTATACAACTTACATTATGTAAAAATAATTGTCGCTATCCTTGCGTTTGGGATCATATTGATTTATGTTCTTTATGGCCGATTTTCCAGAGCTGGCATCCGCAGCATGCAACTGACTGTTCCAGCGCGGCCAACGACCTGTAATGGCATTGAGTCCATTTTGTTGTTGCCGATTTCCGAGATTGTTTTCTTTGTTGGAGTTTGCAAAAAACGATTTTACGCTATCCATTATGTGCCTGATGTTATTATTGCTAGCGTTGCCGAGTTCAAGCCGACTAGGAAATAAAATTGGCAAAGCCATTAATATTAAATAATACAGATATAAGTATAATAAAAATATTTTTAGTACATAATGAATGAGTATTTATTTATTTGAATGGTTGCTACGAGTCCAGTGCTGCTATAAGTGATGGTAAGTAACTTAAGAGGTAAGTGTTCTCGAATTTCTGAGTAAGTATAAGTATATACTACATGTATTATTATGAAGGCATTTTTACTGCGCCTTAATTTTAGAGCGCAAACATAACTGTAACGGAATTTAGGCCACAAATATAAATTGCCACATAAACAATATTAACTGTGGTAAATGCGCAGTTCATGGCTAAGATTACTATCGCCCATATTTATATGCATATATCCACTTCTTTAGCAGCGAAACAAAGAGAACGTTCTCGATTTATACTCTACACTGAAAGGGGCCTATAAGGTTGTTGATCAGCAAGACGGGGAGAGTCTGCCAGTTCGTTGAATATAATCGAATAATTTGCTTAAAACTAGTTTTGTTTTTCTGATTTTTTTTTCAACACTGTTTTAATGCCTATTTAGGTCCCGGCTATTTTTAACAACCATAAGAAAATTTCTGTAAAAATTGTAAGCCCTGTCTTACAACGGACGATTTTTGTTGCTGCTTGCATGACGTGTTCAGTAAACAAGCAGTGCAAAGCAGTGCCGTTGCTGTTACTTTGAATTTTCGCCTTCATTTTATAAAATATTTTTGTTTCACTGGCTATCTAAGAGTGCGTCAACACATTCCACCACTTTTTAAATAATACTATACTATGTGCTACTCTGTACATATGTATATACATGTATATACAGTAAAACACACTGATCTAATTGGTAACATAAATAAACATATGTATTTGTAGTATGTGTTTATTCTCGTATGCGCACACTTAAATGCGCAAAATGCGTCTTAAATATTGCATGTGTATTTTGTTCAGATTAACATCTACCTACATACATATAGTATATATAGCACAATCCTATTATCAATGAATAGCTCTTAACAGTTCAAGACAGTTCGGTTGGTGCTGCTGATAATAAAATGATTTGAAATTATCAGCCACGAGCACATTTTTTTTTTGTGTATCTAAAATACATGCACGTAGTACAGATTTGAAAGCAATATTTTATTTTATATCTAAAGCCTTGTTACTATAAGCCGTCAAGGAATACAAATGAAGTGTCACCCATGCTCCCATAATTGTTAGGTTATATGCAGGCATATACATAGATACATACATACATATATGTACATATGTATGTATGTTGTATGTGATTTTTATTTCAGTTAAACATAAACAAATTTACACAGCTGTAGGGTAGACCTACCTCAAGATTATTAACAAGAACTGTATTTAAACACACTCTAACTGTGGCAGCAAGCGTGGCAAGTTCTTTCTTCAGTCCTAACCAACGCCCAGATTCAGGGGCTCGTTCACAAATGTGATTAGTTTGACACGATTTTTTCCTATGCCTTTTCTTGTGCTCTGCAGTTTGCTTTAACTATGCAAAATTATGTGCATATGTATGAACGTGTGTATGTAATGTGTTTGGGCTTGGCTCCACTTAACCGACGTCACGAGCGGCACAAAATGCTAAAGCGAGTAGTGAACTGTTTCGCACAATGTCTGCGATCGCACTGATCGGTCCGCTCGATCGGACCGCCGTTGCCGGCTTCAACCGAACGCGCTGGGTAGTTTTTCAATTAATTATGAAAGGCGAAGGCGTCGTATATACTAATGTACGTATGTATGTATGTATGTATGTATGTACGTTTGTACTAGTGTAGATACAGTTGTGCAAACATAAATAAACACGCTGCTGTATGAATATGTATGTTTGTATGTACCTACATATGTACATATATACTATATATTAATGTTGCGTTGCTTATTGCTGGTCTTTATGTACAAGCATACATATGTATGTATATAAACATGGTCATGTACATAAATATGTGTGTGTATGTATGCATGCATGTTTGTATAGTACGCTACGGTCTGACATGGAAAGGCGGTTTTTCTAGTTTGTTTTGATCGTTGCTTCTGTTTTCGTTTTCATTTTCATTTATTAATTGATATACAAACGATACGAGTACAAACATACATATGTACATGTTTTTATGTACATACATACATACATATGTACAACTACTAACGTCTTATATATGCATGTGTATAACTGTTCAACGTATTTTAAGCATTAACGGCTGTGTTATTTTTGACATCTTCTACCTGAAATTTAAATGACTTCGCAAATGTTAACAATAACGACAACACCAATGCCAACCTCTCTGCATTTTAAGTATAAATGCCTCTACCTTAGCGATAATTGTGCATCTGCTTCCTCCCTCGACGCGTCGATACGCTTCAACGCTCTGAGGTTGTCAGTGATAAGGCGCGCTGGCATGTTGTATATTTAGATACTTATGTACATACATACATATGTATGTGTTTATATACATCGGTATGTGTACATACAGACAATATGTACATACATATTTTTACAACGCCAACTGCTAACCTTACGTTTTTAAGCAGAGCGTAATATTACTTTGGACTTTGGACTTTACAGTTTTTCTCTTCGAATTTTTCAATGTAAATGAACTTTGCTCGCACGCCGGCTTGTTTATATGTATGTATGCATGTATTTCCTATACATCAGACTGAATTAACTTGCTAATAGAGTCCGGTGCGTTCAATCAACATTGACGCATACAATTAAAATTTAATAGGTTTATTATTCTGGTAAATGGAATACTGGAATCGAGCTGTTTTCTTTTATCAATTGCTTCAACCTAAATGATTTATTCAAATTTAAATGCCGAACGAATATTTGTAATGTTTTTTAATTTGACTATCAACGGGCTGACTATGAAATAGACAACAAACATAAACTACACATATGTAGATAAGTACATTATAGTAATAGTAGTAATATATATATCAAAAACATCAATAAAAAATTAATCAATTTGAAGTTGTATACCATGTTTCGCATCTAGGAGTACTCCAAATTATGTGAACGAAAATAAATAACAACAAACGACTTATCAGACCAACTCTACCTATACATATCTATAGATGGAAAGACTAATCAAACAATCCAATCTAAATTGAATTATTTTAAAGTTTATGAAAATTGTTTTACATTCTTAAAAGATGTTGCCAAATATAATACAACATTAAATTCGCAATAATTTGTTGCAGATGAATATGGTTGTGTATCCAACAGTATGCATCCAATATTATAGCACATATTTTATTTCGACCTAAATACTATCAAAAATACAAGTACTGTGCGTTTGGTGACCTTAACACGCTCGATGATTCTTTCGAAAACCAAAAACTAAATGATTAATAAATTACTTTCTAATGGTTTTGCACATTTCACAAATCGCTGCACAGATAAAGCAGCCAATCGAACTAAATTGTGGTCTGATGTTGGGGTTTTGTGTCAGTCATCGCGAGTTTAAAAATGAACAACACACGCATACTGCGCACTACAAATATCCTTTTGCTATTGACGGGCTACCAACTGCATTGGTTCGTGGCGAAGTCGCACCGTTTTCGAGTGTCCATCGTCCCCGTCATTGGACTCGTAGTGCTCAGCTGCATTTACATTGCCTGCCTCGTGCAGCATTTTGAGGCACACTCATTGCTGCAGTTGGTCAAATCCATGTCTCCATTTCTGCATGGCTTAATACGCCTTCAGGCGCTACTGGGAGTCAAAGTATTTATCTACGCCTTCTATGCGTCCGCACGATCGATAGGCCCCGCTAATGACATTGCAAAGACATTGCCCTTTAAGTCCAATGGAAGTGGAAATGACAGGAAGGACTACTATGCCTATGCCCTGATTTTCTCTACCTTGTCCGTGCTGTTTGGTTTGGGATTTTACATAGCTTACGAAATGGATTTTGTTTTGCCGCCCCTCGAACACATCATGATCGGATTAGGGCTCTTCATACCACACTATGTATTGGGTGGTGCTTTGAGATTCTTCAACATTTTGTCCTGGCTGAGCTGTGATCAGCTGCAGCATTTACGGACCGATGTGGAAGAAGAGCTGGGCGTCTGCATGGCTAAGCAAAATGCAAAAATTGAACTAGCATCCACATCGTTGGCTACATCAGGGAGCTCAGTCAGGATGGAGGCACTGCAGCGTCAATGCCAACAGTTGGAACAGCTTGCAGGGAGACTGGAAAGACTATTTCAGGCAATGCAACGTTCACTGATCTTGCTTTTTGTGGTTAATTCTCACTGTTTGCTCGGCGGCATTTACATTTATATATACTACTACAACGTCTGGTATGTATTGTTGGAGGGTTCTTTGCGCCGTGTCTTCTATGCCGGCAATATACTTATCTATGCGTGCATCCTTTGCGACTATATCGGACTGCTGCTAACACAGATGCTACTGCAACGAGAGGTGGGTTTTACTAAACTTACATATATTGATTTTTGTTGTTGTGTCTAAAATTACGGCTCGATCGTATTTAGGAAATTTTTAATGTATAAATGTATAATGTATAAATATACATTAAAAATTAGGTATGAGAATAGGTCGTAAAGTATATTGCATATCCCAATTACTGTTCGAAATTAATATTGATTTTCGTAATTTCATTTTATCCTTTAAGAAATCAGAGTATTTTTGTTTTTATCGGCTACAGCTCCCTTTCTGTCGAGGATCTCATTCTCACAAACTTACAATACATTCGTTATTTCAAAATATTCAATGGAAATAATTTTTATATCAGAGCAACGTTTGACAGGTTAGCTGGGGTATATATATATATATATATATATATATATATATATATATATATATATATATATATATATATATATATAACTGATAACAATGCATTTAAAGATTTATAGCGAACAATATAAAAATAAAAATGATGCATATTGAATGCGACTGATTAGCTAAGCTTCTATTGTTTGCAGCGTTCCAAATTTTTGGAGCATCTCAAATTGTCACTGAGCCAAAGAGAATGGATGCCCAAGGACATGCGTTCAGTTGTTAAGGACATGCGAAACATTTTGTGCAGCGCTTTCAATTTCAAATTCTGCTCCGTACTACGCTTTGATGTGGCACATTTTGCATTGGTAAGTGCAATGAAAATAATGAATTAGCAAGCATTTATGGATTTTTCTTGTAGCTACAAATACTTCAAGGACTAACTATTGCAGTCATTGTCCTTTATGTATATTTTAATGATACGATTTCCGCTATAAATGACAGCATTGGAGGCAACGATGATGAGTAGTTGGAAAAATGTGTAGCCTACTTTGAGGCTGAGATGAAAAGCCATCAGTTTGGTTATAAATTGAAACTGTAATAAAATGAATTTATTTCAGTACCACATTCTTATACTTAGTTATAATGTGCGCATTTCCTTATTACAAATACTGCAAACCACCTTACAGGGTGCAGGGGCAGTGGTTAGTCGACGAGCATCCGTTGTGGGGGGCATGCGTCTTGCATTTGTCACCTTACCGCTCTCCACGCAGCAGCAAAGCAGAAAACTCAGCGGCACCGCCTCGCCCTCCTCCAAAGTCTGTGGCAGATTGCGACCACGCGTCTCGGGCAGGAAGAGGCTGGCAAAACCGCCAATTATGAGCAGTCCGCCCATTATGATCAATGGCAGTACCAGCATGTGCTGACCCTGCGGGAGGAATGTCCATGACTTGAATGCTTGTTAGGGATTGGGGAATTAACTTACCATGTGGTTGATTATGGGGATGACGATGGGTCCAATCATTGCAATCACCGAGCTAAAGCTCATGCCCAGTCCACGTACCACAGTCGGATAGAGCTCGGAGGCCAGCAACGGTAGCACCACAAATGCAGATGATATTCCCATTTTTCCGATGCAGTAGAGCAGCAACATGATATCTGCTCTCTGTTGATACAGCAACGTAGCCACACAGGCTACGCCTCCCACCAGCATCGAGATGAAGAGTATCCATCGTCGTCCAAAGTAGCTCAAGCCCGGCCAGAGCAACAGGTACGTGGGCAGCTCGACAGCGCCAGCCAGGAAGAAGTTCCAGATCTCATCACCACCAAGAGCGGGTGCGTAGTAACTGAGGCCCACATATACGCTGGTGTTGGCAAACCAAATTAATGTGATGATCAGTGTCTTGCGACGCATGTTAGTGCCGCGAAATAGATCCAAAATGCCATAATGCATTTCCGCTGGCTTTGGACACACCAGCTTCTGCTGAAGATTCGTTACAAACTCATTGGATACGCGGACACCATTCACTCGTGCGATAATCTTGAGGATTCGAGCCGCACGCTTTGGCTTTCCAACCGCCATTAACCATCGCGGCGATTCGGGCATTACAAAGAAGCAGGAAAACAGCATGAGTAGCGGTAGAGAAACCGCCAAGGTCAAATAACGCCAATCCCGAATCACATACACAACTCCGGCTAGCAGGACGAGACCCAGGGAGTAGGCTATATTGGACACAATGGTGCAGAAGACTCGACGATCGGGACCCACCAGCTCGATAGCTTTAAAGAGCACATTAATAGCATGGTAGAGAAATCCATTGGAAACTCACCCAGAACATAGGGACTGGCCAGAATTGCTGGTACTGTCAGACCCACAACGAAACGAAATCCCAGCCAGGAATAATAGTTCCAGGCGAAAGCACTAGCTGCACAAGCCACGATCTCCAGCAGTAAATAAGCATAGAAGGAGGGCCGGCGACCCCAGAAATCCTGCAGATAACCAAACACATAATTACCCACCAATCCCCCAATACCAAAAATGACCAGCGCCAGGGTTACGTATAAGCTCTTGTCGCAGACTAGGTTCCACTGCCAAGAGAAACAACTTAGAGTTGTATAATATAATGGATTATTTGCTACCCACCTCCTGAACCACAGTGTTGGGATACATGGACTTATCATAGTGCCAGCCATGCTGGCATGGCACAGTGCGTATCTTATCAGTTCTTCCCATGTGCATAGACTGTTCCCGCTGTAGATCGTATGGCGTTCGATACTCGAGATAGCGCACCAGATCGCTATAATTCCTTAGGTACATAGAACACTCGGCGTATTCGCCATTGGCATGTCGTGGTATACTCAGATTCTTGACCAGCGTTACGTAATCCTGCGTCCATGGCTCCAGCTCGGGAATGCGACACCAATGTGTGGGCGTGGCTGCAATAAACAGCTGACTGCGTCGTACACGGTCAGTAACAAAAGATGAATGAAAAGGATTCGGTGGGACTGGGTGTCCAGTATTCTAAACTGAATAACTGCCAACGTAAAAAGGCAGAAACTGTTCAGTCTAAGGATGACTTTGGAGGTCACCCACCTGTAGGCGTGAAAAGCGCATGGCAATGCAGCTGGCAGTAGGACCGAACATATAATGATCTTTTGATACAAGCCAAAAGATCCCACCTCCTTAAGTACTTCATCGAAATCCATATGTATATGTGGATTGTATGAGAAAGTTGATCTGTTTTCCAACTGCTGCGCACCCAAATCAAACGCGCTCGCCAAACTAAATGAAAACCTTGCGCACTTCCAGCCAAGGAATTGGCGAGCCGATTTGATTGCGGAGACTACACCAGTGGCGCATCCGGAAGGGTGCATTCACCAAGGCCCAGAAAAGCTGGCCCCGACTCTGGGCCGCCTGTGCTGACGAGCCGAATTTCAATTGGACATAATTACATTATGGCTTTTCATGTGTTTTAATTAATTGGACACTGCTGCGCAGACAAGGCCCGAGGCACGCCGGGAGATCGTTAGGGCGACAATAGCTGGTACAAAATAGAAGAATAGCAGCGCGGTTGTAGTTTTCTAAGCTGAACACTGCACACATGTTGAATTCGTTGTTTAGTTTTATTTCTTTCGTGTCGTTCTCCACTCGACACTAGCACGTAATCTCGGTTAGCTTATATAATAAATAGATTAGGTGAGCTCCCATTTAGTTGCGAGCAAGCCCAATAATGGTAAGTATGTACATGAAGATGTTGATGATGTCCAGATAAAGATTCAGAGCTGCAAAAATGTACTCCTCCGGACTGATCGAGTACTTATGATTCCCACCGAGCATCAGTTGCGTGTCGTACACCAAATAAACGGAGAAGAGCAGAGCACCCAACGAGGCGTAGACAAGTCCGATGATCTTTCCAGGTATGAAGATAGCAATGATGCCGAAAATGATGAAGACCACCAGGCAGGCGACCAACACTCCTCCACACATCGTGAAATCGTATTTTGTTTGCAGTGCAAACAGCGTCAGTCCTAAGCTCACAGCTGCCGTGATGCCGACAGCCATCAGGACCTCATCAGCCTGATATTGTCCGGCAACTATGCCCAGCAAAAAGGATTCGGCCAGCGTGAAGAGGAACAGGAAGATGAAATTAATTGGCGTCTTTCGGCGCACGCTCTCACAGCAGGCCATGCAGATCATGGTCACTATGAGCACTGCCAGAGCAATCCAGAAGAGCGACGGATGCTGCATAGTCCAGTCCTGTGTGGCTTTCGAGAACGTGAAAACGCTTACGAATCCAAAAGTGATCAGAAGTTGGCACTGAGGGTAACCAGTTATTGATGTTAACATATATCTTTTGTATTCCAACAACACTTACCATTAAAATGAGGTAGACTTTGCGGATGAATCCTTTTCGTATGCTCTGATCATCGAATGAAAAGTTCTTGTCCGCCTCCGCATCCGGATAGGCGCCATTGTTGTCACCTGCTGGAAAATTAAATTCGAAAAATTCACATCATTTTTATGATTAATAGGGACTGCTTCACCATATTGAAAATGATTGCTCATTGCCGTTCCAGAAACGCGTTCGTCTAAAGTGGTTTTATTTAATATGTACGTCTTAGTCGTTCGAGTTGCGGAAATTGCCTGAAAAAGCGCTCAGGTGTCCATTTAACGTCCATATGAAGATTAAGCTAAAACTTATCACACACACCTAAAACTCTGCCCGACTGCTGTTATAGATAACAGCGAAAGGTGTTTTTGTTCTTTTTTTGTGCGTCACTACAGTTCAATTTATTATAGTCCCACAATATCGTACATATATATGTGTATATAAAAGCTATATTGGTAATTGTTACATTGCTATATATAGTAGTATATTTGAACCATTCTGAATCACACAGATAGCTTGTCTTATCAATGCATTTGATAAGAAAGAAGAAATCAAGCTAACAAACACACAGGTAAATACGTGTATGTGGAAAAGCTTTTTCTCCCCACAACAAAGGTGAATGAAGCAATCGTTGCTCCACATATGCATAAATATTTCATAATAGAAACATAATCAAAACAGAGTAAAGTTTAAAGATCGCGCTTTCTAGTGGAAATTCCACACTATATATGGAAAGGGTATTGTATGTGTTAAGGTCTTTCTACTTATTTACTAGCAGGGAAATACCTTATACATACATATATGCAAGTACATATATATGTACCGATATAGCTAGATGCGGTTAATCTTATCTCCCACATCACATTTGAAAGCTTACCTTGATATTGGTACATTTGATTGCAATGAATATAATTTGTCGCAAGTACTTGTATAAATGACCAAATTTATATGACCTTATTAAAAATATATTGTAGTATGCCCGGTAGCCTTTTTCGATCGCGTTGCTCGAAGATTCGAACTAAAACTGTGGAGGTGACACACACACACCAGGTGGTTGGGCAGTCAGTCGCCAGGTGTGCCGGCACAATTTCCAAATATTTGGTAGTGGCAGACTTATCGCGAGATAACAGTAACTTAGACACTCGAACTGATAGTAGTAGTGTGATGGTGTGTCTGTGTGTGTGGTAGGCGCGTTGATTATGCTAAGTAAATATTAATTTTAAAACACTAAGCGAAAGCATTCACAAGCAACTCCATCTGGCGACTGACGAGCTCAGTTTCTAATCGGAGCCGACAACGCCCCTGGTTGAGTTTCAGCCAAAGAAGACCTATAAGTAGTACATTGCCCGTTTCTTTACTCATAGTCGTTCGATTTGTGCAGTTGATTCAAAGTATATAGTATATAAAACACAATGAGCGGGTTTCATTATAAATAAATAAATATATGCCCTTTATTCTTGACTATTACACTGCTAGTTACAATGTTTCATTTGCCTTACATCTCTGAATACGAATTTAGTGCTTAACAAGAGCTGCAAGCAACATTGCTTATACAAACTTGTATAGTAAATATTGTACATATATGTATGTATATTCAGTAATTGTTTTTATTGTTGCATGTAATATAATTTTTTGGTTTTAATATTCAATCAGGTAAGTTCGTATGGAAACAATTCTTGAGCACTTTCAAAGCATGTTCCAAAATATATAACAAACAAAAAATTTAAGTAACTTATTCATGCTAAACCGAAGGCCTATACTGCATATTAAAACATAAACAGACTTCTGCATACTTGGGAGCTAAGCATAGGCCTTAAACAACATAATACTCCATCCACATAACGAAAATGTCAACTCAAAATATAATTCAATAATTTCGAAACAGTTTTTTAGTCGAAAAAGGTAACTCAGAAAATAAAAATTCACAAAGTTTAAGATCTAAGCAAGTTTGCTGTGTAACAAATGAGATATAGCTGAAGTTGGAAATTTCCACATTTTATAGAATTTGGTAATGCAATTTTAGTGCCAAATAATATTAATAAGCAAGTTGTAGCTACGTTGCATTGCTTGATTTCTGTAATCAAATTTTTGAAATGCGCGGCAATTGAAATTAGTCTCGCGAAGCGCCAATTATAGTAAGAATGTAGAGGAAAATATTAATAATATCCAAATAGAGATTCAAAGCAGCAAAAATATACTCTTCCGGACTAATCGAATACTTGTGATCGCCGCCCATCATCATTTGAGTGTCATAGATTAGATAAACCGAAAATAGTAGAGCGCCGATGGAGGCATAGACAAGTGTAATTACTCTGCCTGGGAAAAACATGGCTATTATACCAAATAACATGAAGACCACCAAACAAGCGACAAGAATTCCGCCCATCATTGTGAAATCATATTTTGTCTGCATGGCGAAAAGGGTCAAAGCTAAGCAAACAGCTGCTGTAATTCCCACAGCCATTAGAACCTGAAAATAATTTACAAAATTAGTTAATCCATATAGCATTGATATACTATGCATTAAAAATACCTCTGTCGAATTAAAACGACCAGCTGTAACACCACATAAGAACGATTGAGCCAACGTAAATAATCCTAAGAAGATGAAGTTGGTCGGTGTCTGGCGTCGCACGCTATCGCAGCAAGCCATGCTCAGCATTGTAATAAGCATCACGGCCAGAGCCACCCAGAACAGCCAAGGATTCCTAGCGGCAAATTGTTTGGTACCGTCGTGGAATACAAAGAGTGAAACAGCGCCAAAGGTGACGATGAGTTGGCCCTGATTAATAATTGGAAACGAAAGACAATTAGTTAAAGAGTTATTGGATGTTTTAAATCACCACAAGGTGCTTACCATTAAGATCATATACACTTTTCGTATGAATCCTCTGCGAATGCTTTGATCGTCAAAGGCGAAATTCTTGGGCTGACTCTCGGGATCATCGTAGGCCCCATATCCAGAAGGGGGTTGAACGAAGCCGGGTTGAGGCGCATATGCCCCTTGTGGAGGATATCCTCCTTGTGGTGGATATCCACCTTGTGGATAACCACCTGGGTATCCACCTTGTGGAGCATAGCCACCCTGGGGTGGATAACCGCCTTGGGGCGGATATCCCCCTTGAGGTGGATAGCCACCTGGTGGAGGATAGCCACCGCCTCCAAAATATTGTTGATTGGGATCTGTTAAATTGAAAAATACATTTTAAAAAACACTTCGTGCCTATGAATGTGATGTTTATGTTCTATAGAATGGAAAGACATATATGCGGTCCCGTAATATGGACCTGCACATTATTTACTGTGAGTCGCAAGTCTGGAGCTATTTAAAGTACTCAAAAACCTTTAGTTTCTTTAATCTATATGAACGAAAATAAAAAAATTACAAATTGATGCTCAGACATGCAAACATATACCCAAAATGAACAAGGAAAAATAAGAGCTCCTTTTGAATAACCTGAACTTTAGTGTGTTTATAGAAATCTCAATTTCGTATGCGTCTGGAATAATCACTGAATTGCTAAACAAAAGCAGGCAGAACATCAATACTAACGTAAACAATGAAAAACAATGGCAGACAAAACGAAGCTTGTAAAAACAAGATGAAAGCATGCGAAACGGATAAGCAGAACCAAATGATTTAGATAACAACTAAAAGAATTAAATTAAAGTAAACCTTGGTACTGCGGGTATTGTGGTACACTTTGCCAAGACATTGCTGCTTTTTTGGCGAATTTGCTCAACTGTTGTTACAATGTTTGTGTAGGTGCGTGTTCTCTAACGCACTAAATATGCTGCAAAGTAAACCCAAGAATCTGTTAGTTAGCATTGTCTTTGCTAGCACACTCACCATGCATTTTATCAGGTATAGCTGGTTTCTAAGCAGGTTTCTGGACAAGTTACCTGAAAAGGATAAACATGATAGAATAGTAAAACTTAAGGGGCATCAATTATATTAAAAGCAATATGTACTACAAAGTATGGCACATCTAATCTGTTAGTGCTGGTGCTAATTAAATTAAAAGCAACACTTTCGTGGCTGAACACAACTACAAAATTAATTGTTGTGCCAGGAGTTGGCTGTCGCTAAGCGGTCTATTTGAAGTGCAATTAGTCTTATTTTGCGTTTGCAAATCATAAACATTGCGTGCCTCCACACGGTCTCACGGCCACTCATATTTTTGTTATGGCCAGTTTTGCGAGTTTGATGTGAGCGACTTCCGAGGTTTGGTTGCTCACTCAAGAAGCCACTGGCGTCACCATGTTCTTATTTCAAATATATACATACACATGTATGTATGTACATATGTACATCCACTATCTACGCAATAAAGGAGAGCAAACTTCTTGAAAAATTGCAGCTGCCGATACTAAGTGGTGACTCACCATTTGGTAAAAAATGGATCAAATTTTAAGGGAAGAACACGTATTTATTAACCGTCCGACAATTCTGTATGCCCAAAATGAACCTTTTTGCACCCGAGAAGTACAACACTTACCTTTTTAATGTTCCTTACGAAGTATATATGGAAAATACCAACGTCTACCTTATTCACAACAAATTCTTCTGGAAAAGTAAATTACAGATGACAATAAAGTCATACAACGATAACTTTTAGGAATATCGATGTTTTGACAGGGTTGCCAGACTGCGAGTATACATCGCGACTAGATTTCTTCGATAGCCCCAGCTCTGCGAGCATGCTGCAACATCTCTCTAGCCTGGTGTAATCAATTCGCTTTTTTTGTATTAAAAAGGTAAAGTATAGCAAGTGATGCACTTATTACAACTTGAAAGTGTCATAGTCATTGATAAATTGTGTGTGAAATAGTGTCAGTGGACGCGTGAAAGCTGTGCATGCGTCACTCGTTTAGGTTATGTGTGTGTGTCAGCCGCATAGAGACAATAAGCCTCGGACTATATGCAAACGCGTCACAAAGGGCTGAAGAGCAATGCGTGTGGGTGATTGAACTGACGCAAAAAGCCGGAAGCGAGCTGATCTAAATTGCAATTACATGCAAAAGTAGACGCTGTGCTAAATTCTATTTATATATACATATGTGACGCAATAGTTGATCTCTTGGTAACACAGACATACAACGTCCCTCGCCTGTTGCTTATCAGCTGCGGTTTATGAATTTATGTACGATACTAAACAAATTATTTGCTGATTTATTTCACAGCCGTTTTCGTGCATTCCAAAATGGTCGAGGACAAGGAGAATGTAGCCGTTGTGGGTCAGGAGCAAGTCTCCAAAAAGGCAGCGAAGAAACAAGCAAAGGCAGCAAAAGTAAGTTTGTGTACGTGGCGTGCAGCTTGCCCGATAACGCACATACATATGTTCTTATACATTTTTTTGTTTCTGTTTTACTAACACGCCATTATCTCGATAGAAAGCTGAGCAGAAGGCAGAGACTGCAACCACTGTTGCTGCTGATGGTTCGGCCGGCGATAATGCAGTTGATACCGCTGTGGGTTTATATGGTGTCTCTGAGCTGATACAGTCTAAGGACAAGCGGACGGAACGCAACTTTGTAGATGTGCACGAACTGAGTAATCATGTAGGCAAGGGCTTGGTCTGGGTGCGGGGACGTGTGCATACTTCTCGTGCCAAGGGCAAACAGTGTTTCCTCGTTTTACGTCAGCAGAGCAGCACGGTGCAGTGCATCCTGGCAGTTGGTGATGTCGTTTCCAAGCAGATGGTCAAATTTGCCGGCAAGTAAGTGCATGTCTCGCCAGAGAGTTCCTATAATTTACTTACATAGCTCTGTGGCATTTGCAGCATACCAAGGGAGAGCATTATTGATATTCAGGCAAAACCAGTGTCGGTGCCAAACAAGATTGAATCATGTACCGAGCAATTATTGGAGCTGTGCATCGAACAGATTTTTGTCATCTCGCAGGCAAAGGCTCAGCTGCCACTACAGATTGAAGATGCAGCACGCCCTGAAAATCCAGATGATGTTGAGAGTCTCAACATTCGCGTGAATCAGGATACGAGGCTGGATAACCGTGTGCTCGATCTGAGAACGCCAGCAAATCAGGCAATATTTCGCCTTGAAGCTGGTGTATGTCGTCTGTTTCGCGATATTCTTACCGAAAAAGGATTCACTGAAATTCATACGCCCAAGATTATATCCGCAGCTAGTGAGGGTGGTGCCAATGTCTTTACTGTAAGCTACTTTAAGGATTCAGCATATCTGGCTCAATCACCACAACTCTACAAGCAAATGGCTATCGCAGCTGATTTTGATAAGGTGTTTACAGTGGGCGCTGTTTTCCGCGCTGAGGACTCAAACACACATAGGCATTTGACCGAATTTGTGGGGCTTGATTTGGAGATGGCATTCAAGTATCACTATCATGAAGTGTTACACACCATTGGCAACACCTTCACCGCTATCTTCAAGGGGTTGCGCGACAAGTATAGCCGGGAAATCGAAGCTGTTGGACAGCAATATAGAGTGGAGCCTTTCAAGTTCTTGGAACCACCGCTTATATTGCAGTTTTCAGAAGGCGTCGCTATGCTGCGCGAAGCTGGTGTGGAGACCGGCGACGAGGAGGATTTGTCAACACCCAATGAGAAGCTGCTCGGCCGTTTGGTAAAAGCCAAATACGACACCGATTTTTACATATTGGATAAGTTCCCATTGGCGATACGTCCCTTTTATACAATGCCTGATCCCAATAATCCTATCTATTCGAACTCATACGATATGTTCATGCGGGGCGAAGAAATTCTGTCTGGCGCACAGCGCATACACGACCCAGAGTACTTAATTGAACGTGCAAAGCACCATGGCATTGGTAAGTAATCCTCACATTAAAGATTATCAATAAAAAAACCTTTCATTTGAATTCTCTTTTTACAGATATTTCAAAAATTGCGGCTTATATTGAATCGTTCCGATATGGCTGCCCACCTCATGCTGGCGGTGGCATCGGTATGGAACGCGTCGTCATGTTATATCTGGGATTGGACAACATTCGGAAAACATCAATGTTCCCACGTGATCCCAAACGGCTAACACCTTAAACATTGAGCCTTTAATTGAAAATAATTGAATACAATTCGAACTTTTAATTTAATTTCCTTATGACTTTCCAAACTGTGTGCGTTCAGTTAACAAATTTCTGTTCGGTTTCTGTAGACCCTTGCCTATTTTTATGTTTATACTCTGCCTCACAAAACTTTCATGCTGCAAAGTTGTATAACAACGAGAACTGTAAAGACTGTATAGAGTCTAATTGGTTTAAATGAACGGTATCAAATAAATCTTTGCGAGTGTGTTTGTACTTTATCCCGATGGTGTCTTTTCTATTATGTTGCAGAGAGATATCATTAAACATGATTTCAAAAGGATTTGGTGGTTATCTAATATATTTTATTTGGTCCTAAAGGTGAATAATTCAGATGTGAATATGGACAGTTCTAGAGAAAATGTCTAGTCTATAATTAGTCAGAAAAGGAAAACTAACTCTTGTGCAGCTACAAAGCAACTGTTAGTTGATATAGAAAATCTATAATTATTTGATAACTTGAGCCTAAATATTACGAAAAATAAAATATGCCGTTTTAATGTAATGGACACATATTGAACATTTATTGTAAAGCTATGTATGGTAAACAAAACTCAAGTTGTCAAAGGATCTCCAATACTCATTTATTGGCATTATCAAAAAAATCCAGCCAAGATTTAACTGAAAGCTACTTCAGTTAATCCATTTCAATCTTTTACCTGTGCAACGAAAATTTACTGAAATACCGTTGAGACATGCAACTTATCGCACAAGTGCACCTACTCGACAAGCAAAACAAAAACACAATAAATTGTATACACTTCCAAGCAGATTATTATCAATACGTCACGTTGTACCCAACTGGAACACTGTTGACACAGTTGAGAAATACTTTTCGGCCGAACAAAAGGACGAATTCCTTTCAATAATCTCTGTGTGTTTGTGTGTGCGTGCATGCATTGCGCTATCGGCAAACGAACTTTAAAATCAGACAACAGAACGACAAACAGAGCAGAGCATACTGAACAGAAGAACGGCAGCAGAACAGAGTCGCTGTCTACTTCAAGACAAAATTGAGACGCACTCCATTTTATTTTCACACCGCGGCATCGTTAACCCAGACACCCGCACTGCAACCCCTGCCCGCATATTTATCCTCAATAGAGCGTGGAACGCACACCAACAAAGAAATGGGCGGTGCTGAGACACAAACACAAGCACACACTCATGGATACACAGTAGTCGTCTCGTTCGCACACACACAGTGGCTGCGTTAATGAGCGAGTCGGCCTGCACTTTATGCCATTTTGTTTGTGCGTTTCCTGCGCAGCTGCTGCTTCCGTTGCTGCTGCTGGCACTGCATTGAGCAACTTTTGGGCCCAACTGTGACTCGCCAGCCAGTTGCTATTGTCTCCGCACAGCGAATGCGCGCGTCTTCCAATCGAGCGGCGGTACATAACTTCTTCATTCACGAATTGTGTAGAAGCTCGTCAGCTGGCAGCGAGTCCCCAGCTTCCGAGCCCCCGTCGACGTCGTCGTTGTCGTCATCATCGTCGTGGTCGTCATTGTGTGGCAACGTGAAAAGTGAGCGATCGCCGCAAGTGCAGCTCGAGCTTGTTGTCGATGCATGCGGTAGCAATTAAAAGATTTCTCCTGCCAACTAGCCGCCATCTATTTGATGCATCTCAAGTGACTATAATGCTTTAAAGATATATCCACACGTATGTAAAGCTCATCTGAGCATCGTCGTCGCAGCCGTTGTCGTTGTCGTTGCCACCGCCGCCGCCGCCACAGCCGCCGCGCGGGTAACTCAAAAGAATTTATGGAATTTGGCATTTGTGGATTTAGCGAAAATATTTTCATTGAGTGTGCGAGCAAATGTTTTTGTGTACGCTTCGGTTTCAGCTCTGGCTACTGCCGATGCTGCTCCAAGCGACCGACTTGTGTGTGTGCGCTGCCGTAAAAGTTGCGTGAAAATTTTAAATATTCACGTGCGAATTCCGCAGTTTATGATTATTAAAATTACTGTTTCCACATCGAATTCAAATTAACAATAAACAAATGCAAATCAGTTGAAATATGTCCGAAATGCAAAATGCGCTGCAAATGTCATATTTACTGATACACAGAAAAGTGCTTTAAAAAACAAAACAACCATTAAAAAACAATTCATGAGCTACCCTTGGATTACACATTCGAATTAAAAAGTGGTAAGAACAAATGTTTGTGTATTTTTAATATTCATATACATATAAGCTCCTCAATTGCCGACGGAATGTAAATCAGCTACAAGTATGTAAATACATATCATATTGGATATACGCCTTATAATAAAATCTTTTACCGCTGATATTAATATCCACAAGAAGTAACAAACCGCTTAACTTGCAGTTTATTATGACGCCGAAGTTTAAGGACTATATTTTATTAGGAATTGAAAAAAAAAAACAACTTCTGAAATTATATGTGAATGCCAATACTAATACTATTTAAATCATTATTGAAAATGTCAAAACCTTTCTAATGATTTGATTAATATATATTGAAACATGATTTAAAAAATTTTCTAGTGTCTTTCCCGGCGGCAAATCTCATTACGAAAATCCTTCATCTTTCTATCATAGTTCAAAGTATTATTCAAAATTTTTGATATTTATGAAAATTAACAGCAGAAATGTTATTGTCGAAGTTAGAAAATATAATATTCCATCAATCTGACTTCTCAAACTGTGTTGAAGTATGAGCTAAAATCAAGTTTACAGTGGAAATAAATCGAGTTGGTATTCAAAGCCCTATACATTAGATTCTCTTATTAAAGAAACAAGCTTAGATTTTAAAATTGTAAGCGAAAACAAATACTCATGTAAAGCTTATTAGAATGTAATTTAGAAGGGTCTCTGTATTGTAATTTATTTTGTTCTCCAGCCATCTCAATTGTAATTTGTATTTCTAATTTTTATGGCCCATCATATTGAGCATGTAGTATGCACAGATTACATTTTTACCCAATCAATTTTAAATGCATTTTTCTCTTCGTTTTCACAGCTTGCACTTGTAGCGGAAAATCTGGAGCATCACATTGTCATGCCAACGCCGCAGGGAGTGGCAAAAAATGATTATGAGAGACACAAACAAAATAACATCCCATAAAAGCATAAACAACAATAAGAATAATAACAAACACTGCAGCAATGATAATTGCAAGTGCCTGTGGGTACAAACAAAGCAAAACCAGTGAAGAAAGTTTCAGGCAAAAAGTGTAAAAGAAAAAAAAAACAACAAAATAAGTAGGAAAAATTCGTAGAAAGAAGCTTGTGGATTAAACAAAAGAAAAACATAATGGAAAAGGAGTAAAAGAAATGCAATTAAAACGCTTTTAATACAAACGCGATGGTGTTTTACAATATGTAAATATAATTAGCCGAGCGGAGTTTTCATTCCTGGAATTCGCCATTGCCAACCGCAGCGGCAACAACAACAACAACAACTGCAACAATTGCAACATCTACAGTAAAAACAACAACAACAACAATATAAATACAAAAACACGCTACCACAACTAGAGCCGGTTTTATAATTACTCCACTGTACTGCAAACTCCACTGGCGGCAAAGTTTTTTTTTGTTGACCAGGCCTTGCGAGCTCACCTAGCCACGTCGTTGGCCATAGGCGGTGGGTGAGGAGTGTGTGTTGACGTTGGAGTTTGAGAGGCAACTGCAACTGCCAGTGGCCTGCAGCTGCATAGAAAATTGCCTGCGATTCAGAAAACAGCAATTGCAAATGCAATTTTCATGAAAACAAGTGCCCCTTCACAACAAACCGACAACCGACGACCGACAACGACGTCCACGCCACGTCCATTTTGAAAATCTATTGAAGAACTGCCTGCACAGAAAAAACGAAGTGATTTCCTTGTGTCCGTGTGTGTGTTGTATGTGCGTGTGCTTGTGTGGGCAAATTTAAATTAGTGCTGCACTTTGTTACTCATACGTGTATGTGCTGTGCTGTGTGATTTAAGTCCGAATAAGGTCTAACTTCTAAGCCGCTCCACCCGTCGCCCCGATTGATCCACCTCCTAGCGACCCACGGACTGCTGCAGCGACGATGGCAGTGTCCTGCCCTGAAGTAATGTACGGTGCTTATTATCCATATCTGTATGGGCGCGCTGGACCAAGTCGTTCCTTCTACCAATATGAAAGGGTAAGTGTTGTTTAATTTTCCACTTTTAGATTTGAACCAAATAATATGTGTGAAAGATGCGCATTAATGGAGTAAGCACACCCCGAACAATAGATTAAGTATATGTATGTTTTTTGAAATGAAATACGACTTCAATAGTATAGGCTATATTTTAACGATTGTTTTCTCCAGACAAGAACTATGTTAAATATTCCCAAACAAAATCTGAACGCATCTATCAAGAATTTGCATAATTCAATTCAATTTTTCATAATTAAATGAGAAACTAAATTAGTGTACACTTGTTCTGGTAACTTTGGATTTTTAAAGCGAACAATTAAGTGGAAAAGGGGTGTATGTATACGTTGTTATTCTGGTAGTTTTGGGCTTTTAAAGCAAACAATTTAGTATAAAGAGGTTGAAAGAAAAAACTACTGTTTAATCGCATTATAATGGAGTACTAAGGTGATGGCCTTTTATGAGCAAATCTGCACAATTTTGTTAAATATAGATACGGAGCTTTCTAAAACTAATACTTCATAGCATTAGAGATGACGATTACCTGTTAGTTTTTAGCTTCTTCAGCAATCAGCGATTGGCAAAAAGTTGCTGAATGTTTCTCTCCCATCATTATCAGTCTTCTCTGTCTCGGGTGTTTATATTTATTCAAATCTAAAGAGAGCTGTAATATTCCATCTAAAAACACATTCAGTTAATGTGATAAATGTTTGTACAACGAAGTTGGAAGTCACAATCGAAATTATTATTCTATACTTAGTAATAGTTCTAAATTGAAGTCAGCTCTTTATTTTGGGACAGCAAGTATCAAACAGTAAGCAAAATAGATGCACAGATAATCTATTTTTAAGCTGAAGTGTACAATAGTAACACTAATTGACTAGAAATAAAATTTTCAAGAACACACTCCTGAATAAATTATTATTTTCGCTAAATATAGTACAAAACCTACTTGGACCGGTCTACTATTTAGTATTTTAATACATTTATTTAGAATTATTTGTACTAGACTCAAATTGTTTGATTTGCCAAAAAACTCCAAGAAGTGTTACAAAAAAATCGCCTGAAAGCAGACGAACCATTGTAGCCTTTATCTAATTTTAGTGTTCATTCAATATTAATTGAGTTTAATCTTTAAAACTTTCATGCTTTGAAGATCATTGAAGTAATCAGAAGTTCTATCACACACATGTTGCAGTTAATAATTCAGCTCCCAGCCAATTTGTTCGCTGTGTTCCCATGCATAATTACAATCGACTAACAAATCATAAGAATTCACGCAAATCGCTAAATTTTTAACGAAATTTTTTCAAAGAATCTGAGGCAATGTTGTTTGGTTCGCATTTTGTTTGTGGCTTGCCCTTTTGCCAACATTGATTTCGAAGATTTCTGTGACAAGTACAGAAAAGTTCTCACGATGCCAAAAGCGTTTCGGACATCACAGTTTCCAAAAGGGTCCTCCTCTGCCTTCGTCTCCCTCGGTCGCGCCCGGTTTGAGGCTCTTCTGTTTTTGCCTTGAGGCTGCTCAGCTTGTCGCTGGGGCACAAAGAAATTCTTGTGTCGCAAGTTCCAATTATACAAGGCCGCGGCACCAAATCGAAATTGGCCTTTTATGTAAGTAACCGATACGACACGATTCTGATTCTATGCTTTGCATGCCCATAAACAGGCCCAGATAAACTCCAAATCGCCAATGTGCACGGGCCTCTCGAGCTCTTCGAACCAATCGCCAATCTCCAGATTGAGTCAGCACTACTGCTCTGACCGGTTTATTTGGCTGCCCACAGTCAGAGTCATAGTCACAGTCGATGTCGATGTCGCAGTTGCGGTCGCAACTTGGAGACGGAGACTCACAGTTTTGTCTGCCAGTCGACACTTTTTTGTCGCTGCTGCATTGCCGGAGGAAAACCTTTTTGTTTGTTAATTTATTGTGTGTATCGCCATTAGTTCTTGCCGAGCTCCGATCAAAAAACAGCCCCCAAAACGGAGCGCTTTGTGTTTTGTCAACTGGCAGCCCTACGCAAGCCGCCAACACGACTGCGATCAGATAAACCAGCAGCAGCAGCAGCCGTTGCCTCTTCAGGCGACAGTGTCCGAAAGAAAAAGTTTGCCCAAAAAGCCCAACTGACCAACTGTCTCTTTGTTGTTGCTGTCGTTGCCTCTGTGGCCGGTGCTTTGGTACCTTCTTGCCTGCCTCTGCGTTCAGCCGAAACGTGTCCCTGGTTCCTCTGGCTGGCAGTGTTCCGCCTGTCCCGCCGACCGGGCCCGTCCCCGTGATTTATGCCGTGTGATTTTCATCCTGACTGCTCAACATAATCGAAATATCGTTTCACCTAATAACAAGTACGCGCCAAAGCCAAACAAACCGCATCGTCGACTGCAGTCGCTCGAAATTCCTTTCGTCGTTTCAATTTAAAGTCCAATACTGTTGTATCTTTTGCATTCTACCCGCTGAGCCGAGCGGAGAGGAGCGGACAGGAGAGGAGCGAAGCGGAGACAGACAGGCAACCACAGTGGCCAAGTGGCCGCATTTGTTTGTAGGCTACTGCACTTTTGCGCATGTTGGGGCGATTTGGCAATTTGGCAGCCGATGGCAGTCGATGTGGCTGGCGATTGATCGTGTCTGGCGATAAGCGGCACGCTGATTATGTGCTTAAAACAACTGACAGATACAGATACATTCGCCAGCATTATTTGTCGCAAATGCTTGCACTTCATAAAAATGCATTCGGCCGTGAATACATCTGGCTCTCATATGCATATACCCATGACAATACCAACTGCGAAATTTTCACAAATATACATGTATTTTGAAATCAACATGAATAGAAGAAGAGCTTTCAAATATGGGTTAAAAAGTTCTTTATATAGTAGTATACAAAATCCTATTTCAAATATATGAAATGGTTATAAAAGTAGTAGCTATCAAAGATAAATCACATTCGTGGTAAAAGAGTAAGAGCTGCGGCCAAAAATTCTTAATAATTATTGTGCTGAAATGCACAACTCTTTTAATCTTAAGAACAACAAGTACTCGCAAAATAATCCAACACTTTAGTGGACGGCAGAACTATACATAATGCGGCCTATTAGCCTAGTCGGTCTTTTGGTTGCAAAAAAGTTTTTAGAGCTGAAATTTAAATTGTAATTAAATGCTAGAAAGCATATATTAGGTTTGTGCAAGATGAAAAATGTTGCAAGCGGAAGCAAGCATTTCCGACCTTATCGGCATGAGCATATGCGGCCGAGTCATTTAAGCCATGTCTATCTGTCTGTGCGTCCGTCTGTATGAACACCTAGATCTCAGTGACTATAAGAGCTAGAGACAACAAATATTGCACACAAATGTCTTAACTGTGACCACAGTACTAGTTTATTTCAAAATCTTCCTTCTTCCCTTTTTTCGCCTGCTACAGCATTTCGTCAAAACTGTCCGGAATTAAACAGCCTTATGAACTAAACTTTGTGTATATTATTTATAAGTATTCAATAATATACTTTTATTTTAAATTGCATCTAAGTTGGGAAATTTTAAGCAAAAGTTATTAGCGAAATCATTATACCCTGAACATTAAGCGTAAGAGGGTATACTAGTTTTGCTCTTTGGGTACAGGGTTTTCACTGACGGCCTGTTTGACTATAGCATTCATTTTATATTATTTGCATTGTATTTTATGTTATGTATAAAACGAAGTAATTAGTTAACAGCAGAAGTAATGAAACAATAATAAAAATCGATTTCATTTTTAGAAATTAGAAATTAAAGCAGATGCAAGTTTAATTTACTTACTAAAGAGCAAAAATTAGTTCCAACCCATCAAGTAAACTGATATTAAGACATTCCCTTTGTATGCGCTTGGTATGTGGTATTGAAGCTGACATTGCCTCTTCAACACACTCAGCACCTTTTAGATATTTTCCCCACAAGTAGATGACTCGGCAGTTGTGTTAATTAAGCCGCAGATGTTCAAGTTGCCGCAAACAACTTAAAAAACAAATTAAGACTTTGTAAACAAGGCGAAACAGCCAAACAGTTGCCACCTTGAACAAGAGAACGCAAATGTGTTCACTCGTACAAGATACTTTTTGGTTGTTAACCTCCAGCTAGGTTAGCACTTAATATAGGGGGGCGCGTAACGCCACATAGTTGTTGCACATAAATCAATGGCGCTGTCAATGAGTGCAGTTTTCAAATGGATCGTGCTGGTTAACCCATTATTAACCCTTAACACTCTGAGAAGCGGCGCGTGCGGGGGAGTTATATTTAGAAATCATAGCATGGCACAAAGACACCAAATGCTCCATGACACTGGGTTATCAGCCACTTATAGCATATATTTGGAGCAGCGACCATGCTAATGGGCTCATTAAAGAGCATAAACAGCAGCAGCAGCAGCAGCAGAGGCAGCAGCAGCTAGGGGCAGGGAGCAGTTCGGGGTTAGAAGGTGTTGCTGTTGCTGCTCGTAAATTGTCGCGAGCGTCGCATTATGCCTGACACCTCGCTAAGCTTGAAGATTGTGGCGTGATTATCGCCTGTCTGTGCATGGTGCCATGGTGACCTAACCAGCGCCTAACCCCTCCCCCATGAGACGCCCTCAACCTTTTCGGTACGTCTTCGGCGGCGACTGCGTGACAATATGCGGCATGCTCGTAAATTTAATGGCTTCACTGCATTTTCCATCAACATAAATTTTCGTATTGTGTCATTTTCAATTTGCTGAAACGCGCTCAACGTGCTCATAATTCATTGCACACACACACTCACACTCACACACACACACACTAACTCCTCACCCACTTGAAACTAAACTCAAATATCCATTCGGCTATTCTCCGATACTTAGAAAATAGTAAACTGATATATTTTTCGAATCTATCGCTCGACTTGTTAATTTAATAATGTAGTCAGCGTTAAAGAAATGAGTAGAGGGAGAACAAGGACGCTCCAACCCACTCCCACAAATACGAATAAAATATTTTAGCTAAATAATAAACTAGACTTTTCAAAAAGAAAACAAACAAACAACAATGTTGGCAAAATCCATTTAGAAATACACTTAAAGCATGTAGAACGAGTGTTTTAGCTCGTTGGTTCATACCGGCCATAGGTCTTCAGTAGCTTTTTGGATGCCTGCTACCTCCACATAATTTCCTTTCCTTTTATCGGCAAATGCATTTCATTAAAAACTTAAAAGCCCACCGTTCCGAATCAGGTCGTCAATTCTCTGTCCCTTACTTTATAGACTTCTTTCTTTAAATCTCATCTTGTTTTCTGCGACCATATAATCCAAAGAATATTTGCTAAAATGGATTATATTTGGCCTCCCTTGGTTGAGGTCTGATGTTCAATATTAATACTTTGAATTGTATATTTCAATTCCGCCTGACATACGACCTTTGACCCCATTGTACAATAAACTGAAAAAAGGTAATCAACTCATTTCACAAAAAAAAAACAATATTTTGTATTAACGGCAATTAAAAGGGGGCGTAATAATGTTGCTGAGTTATTAACATACAAATTGTCTAAGGGTTGCAATCAAATTAAACCACCCCAAAAAAATATATCCTTGATACGCCCATTATTATATTGAAGGGCTTATGGACCAATTGAAGTCCACTTCTGTGTGTTTTTTTACAGAATTAAGTTATGATTTAAATTTGACAGTATGGAATGACACTTTTTAGATCAAGTTCTAAAATAGGGACTTCTAAATATGGTAACGCTATATATAACGCGATTATAAATAAATATGTGAACCACAAAATAATATACACATACATATGTACATATACTGTTCTCGTCAAGTGCAAATGAAGACTTTATATTGACTCCGAGAGACCTATGCAGTCTGTCAAATACCTTCAAAGGGAAAACAGGTACACCTATGGCTATATTTGTAAAAAAAAAACAACTTTATTTAGATTACATGATAGTTAAAAATAGAGATTTAAAAAGATTGTAGAGTGTTAAAGTCGTGCCAATCCCACTCAGTCATTCAACTAAAATAAATTTTGTTGTTCCAATCATTTCGATGATTATATGAGTAAGCTTTAACCGTAGTATAATATAGAGGCAATATAAAAAGTGTATACTATACAAGTAGAAAAGAAAATATCGAAATAGACAGAAAAGTTTTAAGTACTATGACTGGAATTAGAACCGATTTACTTAACTTTGTTACGATATCTAAATAAATAAGACCGTTATCCTATTAACTAACCCATCGGTCCTTCAGGAGCTTCATAAATAATCAGACTATATATGGTTTATAATAAAATTGTTCTGCATATATGGATAAGACAAGTCTGCATTCCAAGTTTGGTGGCCTTAGTTTAATGTCCAGGCGATCATGTCTATATTGAATTGACTCGTCATATCCTTTGTACCTAAGCCATGCGGTCTGCCACGCCTCCTTCTGCTGTAACTTACACTGGGCATAGAGTTTCTATTATTATATTATAATATTCTTTCATCTTTTGGACACAATGATAAAAAGGGTATTATGGTTTATTCTAATTACACATTTCTTTTTCACTTAAGAAAACATAATTACTTTAATTGAGTGAACTGCAAATATAGTTATTTTTCTATTTCTAATCCTTCGATTATAATTGCAGTTCAACCAGGACTTGTACTCGTCATCGGGCGTTCAGTTGGCCGCCTCCTCAAGCGCCTCTGGCAGCTCTCATTCACCCTGCAGTCCCATCTTGCCACCATCGGTGAGCGCCAATGCGGCAGCCGCGGCTGTTGCAGCAGCGGCCCACAATACGGCAGCAGCTGCCGCAGCCGCTGTCGCCAACCAAGCCAGCTCCTCAAGCCTACAACTGGGCTCAGTCGGTGCGTTGGGTGGCGGTGGTGGCAGCGGTGTAGGGGGCGGTGTTGTTGGCAGCAGTAGCGGCGTTTTGGGCAGCAATCTGGGCAGCCAACTGCCAACCAGCGGCGGCTCAGGAAGCACTGGCCTGGGCATGAGTCCTGGTCTAGGCGGTGCGCTTCCTAACACACTGCACAGTCGGACGCATCAAACCAAAGAAGAGGATCTCATAGTGCCGCGCAGTGAGGCTGAAGGTGAGTTTCCTACCGTAAATAGAATAAAAAATCCAAAACCAATGCAAGCCTAACCTACAGTGAAAGCTTCTACTAGCGAACATTTAATTCATAGATAAAATATTAAAATATATATATAGCTAAGAGAGCTTTAAAGATGTATGTATAAAATGGCAGATGAGTAGATTGGAATATATTAAAACATACAAGTATATTTAAAAGGCAATGAGTGAGTGCTTCTACTAGCAAACATTTAATTCATAGATAAATAATAATTAAAACATATAGTGTATTGTATGTATAGTTAGGTATATGGGAAGCGTTAAAAATGTATGTGTAAAATGACAGATGAGTAGATTGGAATATATTTGTATAGATAATTAAAAGAGAGTAAAATGCACAAACAGATAAAACAACATTTGAAAACAAACAACCAACAGCATATTAAGAAAGTGGCACAAATGCCGTAAAAGGAAGAGTACAACTAAACTAAAAGACTTATTGCACTTCAAACAAAGATAATACTTCGCACTTTATAAAAATCATTTAAAAATCAAATGAAAATAAAAATAAACAATTTGTATAAGGAGCTGACGAATCTTTTTAGGACAGTTAGGAAGAAGGAACGACTAATAGGCAATACCTGAATAAATATAAATTCATAAATAATTTGGTATGTGGAGAAGATTTAATTTAAAAACAACCATCTAATTGAGTCTAAGTATTAGGTGGGCTGATTTGAATACTTATTCGAAATGATTCATGATTTTGCAGGCATTTGCAAATTTAATTAATTGATCGAACCGAAATGAATATTAATTAGAGTGCTCTCAAAGTCTTGAAAGGCTAGTTTGTAGAAGCAGGAACCTAAAAGGATAAAATCCGCTGCTAGAGCTTTCACTGTGCGTGTTTTTCTTTTTGAGAGCTCAAGCGGGACGCCACAAAATTGTGCGCAACTAATTAATTTGCAAATTGCTGAGATTGTTCGTTGACAATCATCGGAGTGGTGGTCGCGTAGGTTGCTCTGTCGTATACTGGTGGTGGTGGTGGTGCTGGTGGTGCTGGCGCATTCCAGCAAGTTAACATTCAATAATTTATACAAAATAATATTCTAGATATGCAATGCAAATTGAATGAAGAACAAAAAACAGCGATGAAAAGCGTGCTGGGCAGCGTTGCGCAGCGCAACGCCACTTGCCGCATTTTAATGGCCATTAAAATGTTAATTAACAAATGTTTTCTGCACAAAAATATGCTGACGTATCTTTCTGTATCTCCGTATGGATATGTCGGTGTGTTTATGTGCGTGTGTGTGTGTTTGCTTTGATTGCAGCGCGTCTCGTGGGCTCCCAACAGCATCATCACAATGAATCATCCTGCAGCTCGGGTCCGGACTCGCCGCGGCACACGCATTCGCATTCACATTCTCTGCATGCGGCATCGGCGGGTGCGGGAGGGGGCGCTGTCGGTGGCGTGGCATCTGTGACGGGTGCCATGTCAAAGGATCTGCCACTGGACACCAACAGCAGCAGCGGCAGCAATAGCCAAGGACGAGCTCAGTATCTTTCGGCCACCTGCGTTGTATTCACCAACTACTCGGGCGATACGGCCAGTGTGGTCGATGAACATTTCTCCCGAGCACTTAACTACAACAATAAGGACGCTAAAGGTAGGTAAACCACATTAAGTTGTAAGCAGACTTGATATATCATTTAAATTTGTGTCATTCATTTAGGGGCCTGGGCCCCCCAAAGCCCCTACACACATCCTCACGCATCCCAACGTTTCCATTTTGTCGTCGGGATATGAACATTTTGATCAAAAGACCGCGCATGTCATGTACTTGTCCCAGCTGTCAGTTTGCGTGTTTGCTGCTGCGTTTGTATTACATTTTCCCAGAACGCCGCACCACATACACAAACTAGCACACTAACTAATTTTATAATTACACTCAAGAAAAAACGAAACGCAAACATTGGAAGTTATTAAAACGTTGCACGCCATTTCAATGGTAGAAGTATATGTACACAGTACTACTCTCACCTCATACTTGTAGACACATTTTAAAAATCAGTTGTCGTTAAAATATAGTACTATCTATGTAATACTGAAGCTGCAGCAAGATACGAACTCAATATCCCTCAAATCAACATTATTTTGGGCTTTACATTTTAAACTTACTTGTCTGACCATAATTTAGTATAAGATTGTGAATAAATTAAATTTTTTTTTTGACAAAATCTTGTTTCTTTACTCTTCAAAGATTTCAAAAATAATTGAACTGCAAACATAGCACTTTTTCCATTAATAGATTTTACCATTTAAGACATTTAGTCAGTCATAGAGGCAGACAATGCGCTAGTCTAAAACAAAGTCACAATTTTGTGCGATATACAAAAAATATTTTTTTAAAACATGTTCATCCATCAGATGCATTGCATCAGATGAGTCCATTATTAGGAATTTACCATTTAAGACATCTAGTTAGTCATAGAGGCAGATAATGCTCTAGTCCGAAACATAGTCACAATATATATTATTTAAACTAGTTAATCCATCAGAAGCATTGCACCAGAGGAGTCCATTTAAGATATGTAGTTTTCGTAGAGGCAGATAATGCTCTAGTCCGAAACATAGTTACAATTTTGTGCGATATAGAAGATATATATTTTTTTTAAACTAGTTTATCCATCAAATGCATTGCATCAGAGGAGTCCATTGTTATGATTTTACCATTTAAGTTACCTAGTTAGTCATAGAGGCAGATAATGTGCTAGTCTAAAACATAGTCAGAATTTTGTGAGATATACTATTTTTTTTATAAACATGTTCATCCATCAGGTGCATTGCATGAGAGGAGTCCATTTAAGACATCTAATTAGTTATAGAGGCAGAGTTTATGCATCAGATGCATTGCATCAGATGAGTCCATTATTAGTTTAGTTTAATACAGATTTTACAACTACTTAATGAACCCATGCGTTCAACTTATAGAAAAAAATAATGTAAATTTACAACAGAAGATTCCTTTTCATAATTTGTAACAAACTTCTCCTGTTTTATTTTAATTTAACGTATTATTCACCACTATAACGTACAACCATGGTTGAACAAATCCAATGCAACCATATAATTAAATAATTGTTCTCCTTAGGATAAATCTTAAAGAAAGAATAAAGATTTTTAAAAAATAAATAAAAAAAAACTTATTCACTACTACCACTGATGTTTAAGTAGTTCGATTTCAGTATTAATTTTATAAATGACGTTTAACTAAAGATTAGTTTACTATTCGTAGTGCATAACCTGTTAGTTCCAGTACAGTATCTAAGACATAAACAAGGGGCTAGGTTCAAGCCGCAGCGACCTAGAATTTTTGTGGTTCTATTTTTGGCGTGTTATTCCCAGCTGAAATATTTTTGTACACCTACAGGATTGTATTTTAGCGTTCTACTTGATAAACCATTAAGAAAGCCCTCGCAAATTCAAATGACGTATGCACATTTATTTTTTTTGAATTCACTTTGAAATGACAGCGTTGGCATTCGCGCAGTCGCCGGTGGCCCCCTCGACTGCCCCTCCGGGTGCTAACCAAGCAAATGCCACTGACGAGTCGTCGCTGCAGTGCGTCGCACACAATAACCAAATAAATCAAGTTGCCACTTGCCACTCGCTTGTTCTTTCGATTTCAAAATTAATTACCTCCTTTAATGAAGATAAACGTTTCGTTTGTTCATGCCTGTCTGTCTATGTAGTGCCTTCTTGTTTCGCCTTTACTTTCCTTAAGTTGTTTTTAATATACGAGTATGTATGAGTATGTTTGCTTTATTTTTGTACATATGTACAGAATTCTTGTTAGCGCTCGTTGCTTGCATGTGCTATGCAGTGCTCTAAATTTGTTTTAATTTCATTAACACGAGCACGAGCTGTGCATATGCCAGTCCATATCCATATCTACATATATCCATAACTACTTGTATATCCAGAGCCATATGAGCAAGAGCAGGCTGCTAATCTGCAGTGAAAGGTAATGAATGTGAGCTTCAATTCCCAATCAATTATCCTTATTGTCACCTTGAGGCGCGTGCAGGTTGTAAAGCCATTTGTGGCCCACACATTTGCATGCTAAACAGATAATGCTAGGTAATGGCTCGTACGTGTTGCTCAGAGTCGGCTTTAAGAGCTGAAATCCACACCCACGTACAAGTACAGACACAATGAACATTTTGTGGTGTATCCAGCATTTACCACCAATCGCAATACCTGTCTACCTTTTGTTCAGCTCCTGTGGCTCCCATTTGCCATTTGCCGTTTGGCTGCGGAATGAAGCAAGTGCGGCAAATGGAAGCTGCTGCCATTATTGGCACTTTGATTGCAAAATTGTGAGGCATTTAAATTTCATTCGACACGCGATAATTGGAAATTTTCGTGTATTTGGTCAACTAATTTGGGGAAAGCAATTTGCAAACGACATGCCACATAATAAGGTCGATGATGCTTCAAATGTATTCAGGCAAGATATCATCTTTAAATTCAATTTAATTACAGCTAGTACATAGAATTTAAAATAAATGCGTTACAATGTTAACTGGGAATTTTAACCTATTTGGGTTGCGGTGTCCTCAACTATTTAAATTATATTTATTGGCCATTTAATACAATTACTTAAGGAGATATCGTAACTAAGAGATATGTATTTTCATCAATAATTGTTGATGAAACTTTCATAAAAGTGCTTTTGCTGCTTTGGTGCTTTTGTGGAGAAAATATTCAAGATCTTCAAAATTAGAATTCTTGTAAGTACTCTTAAAATAGGGCCAATGCGGTCTTTGTTTGTAAACGACTTTTCCCTCACTATAGTTGTGGTTATTAGTTAAATAATATCTGTATTTTTCTTCCTTCCCCATTGGATCGAACTTACTCGTATATAAACAGTCAGGAATCTATGCAATATCGCGTGAAAAAATGCCAAATCCTCTGTCCTCGGCCGAAGCAGTTTTGCATTGACAAAAAATTATCAATGATGTGGAGTTATTATACTATATGGGTAAAACATAAAAAGTTTTCATTCAACCTTTCTGCAATTATGAAACTTACTCTCCAAATATAAGTGTTCCTTCAGTGTACAATAAGCTTTCTGTCAAGCACATGTTTTTAATAAATTAGCTAAAATTGAACAAGGTAAGCAACATATACTTATAGAGCTCTTAAGCTAATAATTAGCACATTAATTTGTGTTATGTTACGAGTAGGCTTTGAAAAGTAAGCCCAAGAAAAGGTTTTGTAGCAGAAAACTATATTTTAGTATAGAACTCCTATTCTGTTAAAAAAAAAGTAGTATTGCACTTATGACATGCTTGGGGAATTTGACCAGTTTGTGCGCAGATTGTTTGCCTGTCTGACCGAAATTCAGAATTTCACATCCTCGTATGTCATTCCCTTTGAATAGTTATTTCACATTGTTTTTGAACTCTGAGGACGGTACAACTTCCAATAATCAAATCCGCCAAATACGGACGTATGTGGTTAAAAACAATTATATGAATGCAATAATCGATTGTTTTTTTACGAAGTTGTAAGAAAAACCAATTTTTTGCTTGTATAAACAAATATTTGTTTTGCAACAATTTTTTTTCTAATTCCATGCATATCACGAAATAGGCCCAATCTCAGCAATTAATGATTGCCATAATAGTTGTGGTTAGACAGCTCACTTAACACATTCCGCTAGTGAAAACGAACTCAGCCTACACGATTTTGGTTAACAGAGAAAAAATAGAAATTGTTTTATTTTCATTTTGTTTTTTTTTAGATAGATGGCAGCGCATTGCTTAATGGTATTTAAAGTTCATTTTGGCCATTTGTCTATCTGAGCGGTTTGTTGTCGTAAATACAAATACACACACACATACGCACACACACACACAGACACAGACAGGCAAGCGAATTTACATTGATGTGTACTTTAAAAACTATGCAGTATTTATATAAATTTTTTTAATGCATATATAAAGCCATGAAATGCATGTGTGTGTGTGTGTGTGTGTGTGTTTGTATATCTAGTTGGAATGTGCTATGAAATGTCGCCGGAATGCGATGCGGTCTACGCTGCTGTTGTTCTTGTTGTGTTGCTGTTGTTGTGCGGTTCGTCTGGCGGTGCCAATGCCGAATGCCGCATAGATTCCTCATTACGGTTTTAAAATGCATTTCAATTAACTGCTCACTCGAGATATACCAGCACCAAACAACAACAACAACAACAACAACTTCAACAACTAGCATATATGTATATATGTATATAGAGAGTGTGGCACGCTTGCACTTTCAGTTGCCGCTGACTCGGGCTGCTTTAAATATCATCAGCGCTACAACAAGAAGAACAACAACAACGCTTCGATTCCGTGGATCATCCTCGTCCTCAGCTGCGTCGACTGCAGTTGTTCTTTGGGTGTTTTGGGGTCTCTTTGCCTCTCGGTGCTCGCTCGCTATTTGCCGTGGCACATTCATATGATATTCGAATTTCGAATGCTATTTAATTAGATGCTTGAGAAATTCGATTTAAAATTCCTTGGCACCCGCTGTAGGGCACACAACACGCGGCTATTTTGATTACGATTACCGTGCTGTATCTATTTAAAGGACAAGGGAAATGTGACTGCGACTCGCAATCGCATCGATGGCCATGTGTGTGGTTTCGGCTTATCTGCCAAGCCATAAATTTAGGTTTAGCCCTAAACTGGACAGCTTCATTAGTCGTAGGACGAGCGCAAAGTGCCGCTTGCCGGGTGAAAGGTGAGTTGCAGGTAGGCTGACAATTTTTCGGCTACTTTCATGAAACATGAAAAGAAAAGGCGTGTCGCCAAAAACAGCAGCAGCAGCAGCAACATCGGTAGCACCAGAAACTGCAAATACTCGCTGCTTGGCTTGCACATTAATGGGAATTCCTTGCCGCCATTTGACGTCTTCTTGCGTCGAAGCGAGTGACTGAGTGAATGACTATGACGACTTCTTGCCCGACAGCCGTCGGCTGTTACTCCTGCACTGAATGGGCACGCGGCATCGCCAACCAGCCAACCAGCTACACAGACAGTCAACTAGTCAGCCAGGCAACCAGCCGCATCATCAGCATTCAGTGCACACACAAACAACGTGCCTGGCAAGTCGCGATGCCGCGGCAGTCAACAAACAGGCCAAACATTACACATCCACATCCTCGTCTTCGTCCTCGTCCTCGTCCTCGAAGTCGCCAAACCCACCCGCCTCAGCGTCCAACTGCAGCAGTTGTTGTATATTTTTCTCTCGAATTGAGTTTGGAATGTTGTCAACGCAAATGCATGCGCCTATGTATGTTTCTGAATCGTTCCAGAGACGATTCAGAGCCCACAGAACAGATGAAGAAGGGGCAAGGGCTGGCTGCATATGTGCATGCCACAGACGCTGCCAACCAACCAAAAGTTGTTGCTATTTTCGGCAACAATTTTCCAACGTCAACAGCAGCCCGCTGCAGCGGCTCCATTACTCGTACACTTCGTGCGCCTTCCCAATGTAATGAAGATGTCTTTGGGAGCTGCCTCCGCTGCTGACGCTGCTGTGCATTTTCATAAGCGCGTAGATTTACAAACATTTAATACAAGTGATGATCCTGAACACGGACCCCACTAAACATTCCGCGCAGTTATTTGCAACAAGCCGTGGCGCCGCAAGCAACAACGCGACGTGCCATTCAGTTCCTCTTCACTGCCCACCTCTTTCAGAATTGTGCTCCTTGTGTTGTGTCGTTTATTTAATCATTGTATGGTTAAAGTAATGCTCTGGGGTGATGAAAAGCCCACTATATTTGAATAAAGTATTTTAAAGTGTAAAACAGAACTTTTACTTATATTTTTTGGTTCAATATATGGTCAACGATAGCTCTCAAGATTCCACAATTACCGAATCGTGCCTTTGAAAGATAAAGCTTGACAAGGTCTCCTGTGCGCTCGTGTCTCAGTAACAGCCCCTCTAACTGTCCTTTCGGGCACCCAATTGATTCATTTTCTCTGTTCCCCCACTCTTATTGCAATTTCGAAAAATCTATAATAAATTCCAGTAACTTCCTCAAATAGAGCGCGCCCGGGTTGAGAAGCATCTTTGTTTAAATGAAATCATTTGAGTATTTATTATTAGTTCTTACAATTTGAATTATAAATTCCATTTTATAGCCACTTTAAGTCCCATACACACTGATCCAAATTGCCAACACTGTACAATAATCATTCGATGATGCTTTGTTATTCTAGAAAGCAACAGTCCAATGTCAACTCGCAATTTCCCACCATCGTTTTGGAACAGCAATTACGTGCACCCCCTACCCGCGCCCACACATCCACAGGTGAGTTCCAAGTGCCAGACAATGCCAAAAGTAGCATCGAAATCGATTAACTGTCATGCAAGCAACAATTACCTGGCGGCCATAACAAAATGCGCTCGGACCCAATGGTCCTTAGCTTCTGCAGGCACAGCGGTCACTTGGCATTTTAAATAAGTTGTAATTCGGCCCCAGTGCAATGGTCCAAGCTGATTGTGCATCTCTGCTCTGCTCCTATCTCTCCTTCTCACGCAACAGGTTAGCGACTTGTACGGCACAGCGACGGACACAGGCTACGCCACAGATCCTTGGGTGCCGCATGCGGCGGCAGCACACTATGGATATGCGGCGCATGCGCACGCGGCACATGCGCATGCCTATCACCACAATATGGCGCAATACGGTAGCCTGTTGAGACTGCCACAGCAGTACAGTCATGGTTCAAGGTAAGTTCGATTACAGTAGAAGACGCTTAAGACGAAGCAAGTGGAATGATATGAGCAATTCCAATTCCCCCTTCAAATCCCTAAAGTATATTGACATAAACATTGTTAGACAAAGCAGGGAAAATTCGTCAAGCATACAAGTATAAATGAATACACAAAACACTCCAAACCAACATAAAATGGACCTTCTCCCTTGACTTGAATATTAAATATCTTAAGTTTCAATATTTTAACAATTGGAAAACCGGAAAAGTGACCGAACTAAAGGAATAAGTTTAATTGTTAAAATTTAATCCCCTGTATTGCTTCTTGGAGTTTTGAATTTACAAATTATGGAAAGTAATTCACATGCCTAGAAACTAATCGGTTTTTTGTCCCTTTTTTATGTGACTCAAATATTATTTGACTAAGGACAATATGAGACATGTTCTATGTGCTTCTCATTATTATACCCTGTAGCCGTAGGGTAAAAAGGGTATATTAGGTTTGTGCAAAGTATGTAACATGCAGAAGGAAGCATCTCCGACCCCATATAGAATATATATTTTGAATCAGCATGACGAGAGAAATCGATTTAGGCATGTCCGTCCGTCCGTCTGCCAATCTGTCCGTCCGTCTGTCTGGATGAACGCAAGGATCTCAGAAACCATAAAGGCTGGAATAACCAAAGTTGGTATCCAGATTCTCCTAAGTCCGAGAAAGGACGAGTTTATTTTACTTTTTTGAATTTCCCGGGTACAGGGTATTTCACTGTCGGGCTTGCTCGACTGTAGCGTTCTCTCTTGTTTTGTTGAAGAAATGAGCGTTTCTACACCTACCTACCTACAGCTCTAACTGCTGTATCTGCTTTAGTTCTTTTACCAATATTTTATTTATAAATTAGATGTAATTTTTTTCTAAGCAATAGATGACTAGGTCAGTTATTAACTGGATGCCAATTCCAAGTTCTCATCTAACTATGTGTATAAGAGCTTGAAGCTCTTAAGCAATGTCTACTGTATTAGTTACACTTTGAATTGTTGTAGCAGCCATTCTAACATTTCGCCTCACCCTTTGCCTCCTTTGGGGGCCAACTGGGCTCGTTCTCTCATTTCAGGTTACACCACGACCAGCAGACGGCTCATGCGCTGGAAAGTGCGGCGGCTTACTCGAGTTACCCAACAATGGCAGGTGTGTACGAGTATACTTGACCAATGCACACCATCCGACTCTGTGTTTACATCAAAGGCGATTTACATGCCGGCGTTGTCAGAGTTTATTGCGTTGACATGACAACCCTCTTCATATGTATATTCTTACGTTTGTGTTTTAATAAAATATTCTCTCTGTTTACCTTTTTCATTTGCTATGCCGCACAAAGGCTTGGAAGCTCAAGTGCAGGAATCATCAAAGGATCTGTATTGGTTCTGAAGAACCACATCAAGTGTGTTATCCTTTCGCTTCAACCAGCTGACGTGTGCCGTCTACAAAAACACAAAGGAGAGCTGTTGTTTATGTATAATAATAAAATAAAAAAATACGCCCAAATACTTAAAAGAATTCACAAAAAAATACTAAGAAAATGAAATGAAATGTGCAAGCTTACGTTTGAGAAATCTACTACAAATTAACAAAGAAATGCCTATAAATATAAAAATCATTTACATCTACAATTTCAGGTTTAATTATTGTAGCTAATTACATGTGTACAATACCTACATACATACATACATACATACATAAATACTTGGCAAATATTTGCGTTAATTTGTAATTATTAATTTAATTAATGAATTCGCTTTTAAGCAAAATGCAGTCTGTGTTTCTTGTGAGGTTTTCGTAAGCATTAATTAATTTTACTCGAAATGTATTGCAAACAAACAGTTTCATATTATACGTATAGATATATACATATACATATATATATATATATGTATGTATATACGTATGTATAGAACATACCTATGTATTTTGTATTGTACAACCTTATAAGTTTAGCATCCCATATCAGCAAATTAGACACTCGTACATATAAATAAATATAAATTATAAATATACGATATATTCTTATGCATAATATGCGTTAGTTTTTTCGGCAATGTTTACTTAAACGATAATAATGCTAACGTTAATAAGTAACCGACATTTCTTGTATAGTTAACAACTTGAAGATAAACCTAAAGCTAGAATTTATTTTGTTTAAAACTCAAATTTTGAATTTCACAAATTAGGTTATGAACAAATAGTTACAAGCGATAAACATTTAAAGACAAAATCACACAATTGACTAAAATAAAACACTTTGAATACAATCGAAACAATTGATTTATTTTCATTGTTGGTGGAGGGAGGGGCAATCAAAGGGAACGGAATAATCTTTTCCATTCAGCACAACATTTCTCTCTGGATTGGATTACTTCATTGCCTGCGGTCATAATTTATACGTGCCGCTTGCTGCCTAATGATTTCATTCTGATTAAGCAAATATGTATGCATATGAGATACCATCTAAACGGCAGCAAGATAAAATCCAAAAAATAAAAAAATTTAATAATCGTTAATTTCACATGTGCATGTTTTCCACGCCATTTAGCCAGGCGCCTTATTAATCTCGAGCTATTTATCATCTGCAGTGGCGGCATAAAAACCAAAACCAAAACAAAAACAAACAAGCAAAGATGCATAATTAATGAAAAACAAATCTCAGATAGTCTTCTTCACGGTTGGCAGCGGCTTCAGTCTGCAGCTGAGCGGCCAAGTCATAAATAAGACACAGAAATGTGTGACTGTGGATAAGACCGATGGGATGAGGACTGCAGCAGTAGCTACTACGTGCAGCGCTCCATTGATGCCTAAACCAGTGGCTTCTTTTTCCATTCACTTCCTTTACGAAGCCGTACTTACTTAGCTTCAGTTAGTTCTATACTCTCTATTAAGTTTTAAGCTTAGTCTATACTATAAGGATGAGTCTCACTATCTATTGGAGGAGGCTGAACACCGTAATGGTGCTAGGGCATGAAATGTATTTTGTATATACATATGTGATACAAAATACACAATGAAATGAAAAATATATTCCAATTACTGTGTTTTAATTGATAAACTATCAGGTATACACAATTATTTTCTAAATAAACTAATCTATTATGAAGTAAAGTTATTTGATTTGATTTTGTTTAGGCTTTCTTAGCTTAACAGGTTTTTATTTATAATTTTTATGTTTTCCTAACAAAATACACAAAGAAATGAAAAATATATTCCAATTACTGTGTTTTAATTGATAAACTATCAGGTATACGCAATTATTTTCTAAATAAACTAATCTATTATGAAGTAAGGTTATTTGATTTGATTTTGTTTAGGCTTTCTTAGCTTAACAGGTTTTTGTTTATAATTTTTATGTTTTCCTAACAAAATATAAAAAGAAATGAAAAAAAAAATCAATCAATAAACTATATGGAATACGCAATTATTCTCAAAAGCGATATGAGTAGAAACTAATCCCCTTATGCAGTAAAGCTATTTGATTTGATTTTGTTTAGGCTTTCCTAGCTTAAAAGTTTTTTGTTATATAATAATTTTTACAATTAGTTATAAATTTAATAATAACAATGAAATTTTGTATATATTGTTTTCCCGAGTCGACAGTGAGTGTTTGTTGAATTAAATATAAATAAATAAATAAAGTGTATGATCGCTTATCCCATATGTTGAATGCAGCTGAGTGAGATATAAATAATTGCATCCCAAATCTATAATTTATTCACAATAATTTATTCAGCATTAAACGACCCATAAGGCACAAATAAAGGACTCCATAAGTTGGTGGGGAAGGGTATACTGTATCCGTACTTGTATTCTCTTGTTCATAGGATTGCTATTATACAATGCGAGTACATTGGAAAATACGCAACATATTATTGACTTTCAATGACTTATCGCGCAGTTGGCCAACTTTGCGCGCATCACTGAACATTTGGTCGATTCAGTCAGGGCAGTCGGCTCTCCAGTTCTCCAGCTCTCCAGTCACCCAGTCAGTGGCATTAAGGCATCGATCCTCGCTCATGAATTAAAGAAACGTACAAACGCGCGACATGCGCCCGTGTGTGTATTTACATTAGCCCTCTTTTTTTGCCACTTGCTCACCCGCCCGGTCTTAGTTGGCCAAGTCGGCTGGCGTTGTCGGGGCCGCCGCTTCTCGCACTGCAACGGAACAAATTTATTACTGATCGATGGCAGCGGCTGCACTGCATCTTCTCTCTCTATCTCTCTCTCTCTCTCTCTCTCCTTCTCTCTCTGTCCTTCTATCTACCTCTCCTTCTCTGTCGCTCTACAATTGTGTAGGCACATTATTTTAGCATAAGAATTCAATAATTCCGACAGCCACAACTCGGGCGGCTGCTGACGCCGTTACCAGGTCGGCCAAGGTGTTCAACAATTCGCCAATGCCTTGGGTTTATCGCTTTTTAATAACTGGAGCTGCCAGTGTTTAAATTTTGTTCTCCTTTTCTTTTTTCTGTTTCTGTTTTTTTTTTATTTATTTTTTTTTTTTTTTGTTGTGCTGCACTCGAACTGTTGTCACTCATTTTTGACCAGAGGACGACAGATGGTTCCGTTTTGGCGGCACAGACTTCCTTCCGTTGCTTGCGATGGACAGAACCAAGACTCGCATAAATTTGCGATGCATTGTGGCATTTTGTTGGCGTGTACATTAAGTTTTATTGTCGCATTGTGTGGTAATGAGTTAGTTCCTCAAAAAACTGAGCAAAACTTGTTAATGTTGTTTTATCAAGCGAGGTGAATGGGTAGGGAATTGGGCTTAACTGAACAGAATGTGACATATGTTGGGTATTACACAATTGAAAGGGTATTAGCCGCCTTGGTTGTAAATCGCGAATTTTATGGAGTAGTTATACAAAAGGTAATATCAAAAGTAATTTAAAGTTTTCATCTTTTTTCACGATTGCATGTAATTTGTTTAGAAACTGGACTAATTTACTCACTTGTTCATTTTCTTCACAAAACAGAAGTCAGCTTTCAGATGCAGTTCTAAGTATAGAAAGCCTTCAATTGAATATATTCAGAATAAAACAACCCAATCTCATGAGTAATCTGTATACAAGGGTTCCAAAATCACTAGTAAATGGATCAGAGGCGCTCTTCACGAGATTCAGATTAATATTTTAGCCATTCTCTACAATATTGTCAATCCATTGATGCCATTTTTACTAGCTTTAGAGAGTGTATTGTTTAATAAATAAATAAGCATAAATTAAACTATTTTCTAATTTGACACTTTTTTTAATGTATAATAACAAAGGCGAATTTGTGAAATTTTAAAGCTTAATTTATTGGGAACCACCTACCTGTACAAAAATAACAGTCAAATATTTCAATTGCTGACAGAATCTGAATTTGAGTCCAGAGCTTTCTTGTCATGAATATCTGTAATACAATACAATATGTTTTATATATTTGGAGGTATTAGTTTAAAGATTTGCTCTTTTCTGTTTGTGCTAAGATTATTTATGTTTCAATAGAAGTAATTAACATTTTTCTCGATATTTATTTACATTTTTTATCACAAAACTTGGTAATCACTCAGTTGGTATATTTGAAAGATTTGTAGTTTTCCACAATGTTTTCCAAATATAAAATCAATAAATTTGTTAAAAATGCACAATAAGAATTTATTAGTTGCTCTCAAATTATAAGAAAATTAATTCGGTTGCAGATAAACAAAGCACTCCAGAATTGTTAGTGTGCCATGGAATGAACAAATCGCTGTATGTGATAAATTTTGTCAACAAAAGGCAACGCCAAAGTCGATAATAAATAAAATAGAAAAACAATCATGAGTGGAACGGAAAAACAACAACAGAAATCTGTATATTTTTGGTAACACTTGGGCCCGTCGAGTGAGTCTACTTGGAGTGGGTGCGAGGGCGGAGGAGAAGGGGCCACGAGTAGCAGAGCAGAGTGTCAACTATTAAAACTTTAGGCCGTGTGGCACACTTTATGGGGCGCAGCTCGTGGTCTGCCCACAAAACATAAATAAACAAAAGCCATTGAGTGGCGATGTCGGCTTCTGTGGCGTTTGTCGTCTTGTTTGTCTTTTGGGCATTCGCATCCACGGTGCACGCGCTCGTCACGCTCCCGACTGGCACGTAGAGAAAGTAAAAGTGGAGCTGCCCTAGGGCTCTTAAATGCTTAATGGCCAATCGTAAATTTGATCAAATTGAATTGGCTGCTAATTGTGTACACTGTATAGATATACTATACTACTATAGATGTGCGTACGAACTCCCCGAACTGAGTTATGACTGTCAAGGTGCACACTGACATTTCTCACGATCTCAAATGTCCTGAGAGCGAGCAGAGTCTGTGGCAGAGGCAGAGCCTCTAACATGCCACGGTTGTGCGGTAACCACTCACACAAAGTGCGCTCAGTCAGAAATCAATTTATAATTAACGTAGAATTAACATATTTCGACCACATGTTCGCTCATTTGCTCAACGGCGTCGTGTTGTGTGTTGTGTCGTCCATTGATCCCACATGCAGCGCAAAGCCAACCTCGGCAATGCCGTTGATTACAGACAGCCAGCCAGCCAGCCAGCTACTGCTAGTGCGGTTTGCTGGTCGCCGCATCCCGACGGCCATGGCTCCAACTTCAGCTCCTGCGGCTGCCATGGACTATCAGCAGCGTTAAAAAAGCAATACATCATTT